CACCACTGCGCAAAGCCACACTCCCCGCGCAACATCAGTACACCAAACCACATGTGCCTAACGTCGTGGATGCCCTCCCCCCCCCCCATCGCTGCATAGACCTCGACGCGGGGTGGTTTGCTGGTTGCTGTGGTAATAATTTGTGCTCAATTGTTTTCTGATTCACCATTGTTTTCGCGGATTTTATTAGGGTCTTTGCCGCCGCTGTTGGTTTGCGGATTGCTGCTGACTTTGGACACTTGCGTGACACAAAGGCGATTGTCGGAAGTATAATTTCAAGAACAGTCAAGCAAGGATAAATGAAAAAGCCGCAGCCGCTGGTTATGCTGCTGCTGCTGCTTCGGGTGGCGGTCATGGTGCTGGCCCAAGACGCGTGTGATGTCTGCAACTGCCATGATACTGTCATTGAATCCTGCCAGGAATCGATCACGGCGGTTCCAACGAACATTCCCGTCACAACTACCATTCTGTACGACAAAGCATTTACTCATGCATTCGCCGACAGTCCGCACTCACAAGACTTGAGCGGACTTGGACAGGGACCTCTCGCAAACTGGCATCACCACCGTGGACGGTACGGCATTCTCGGGCCTGACCAATCTTGAAAGCCTGTGCGTAGTTCTTTGAGCAAAAACAGACAACGACATCTTGGTTGTAACGGTTGATCCGATTGTCTCACGCGCAGAATGCATGGCATGAACTGACTTTTTGTTCGTAGGAACCTGGCGGAGACTCCGATCACTCTTATTTACGACAGCGCATTTGCATCCTTGGCGAATCTTCGATCATTGTGCGTAACTCTTTTTGCTGGACTGGTCAATTCTGCACGGTCTTTTCTCTCACGCAAAATGCAACCCTGCCCTGATCAGAAATCTCGCCGACACCTTGTTCACCGATTTAAACGATGATGTGCTTGAACCATTGACGGGTCTGGAAACATTGTGAGAAAAAGGCTGGGCTCGCATTGTCACTCTTGCCACAGACTCACGCGACTGGGATTGAATTTTGCCAGGGATTTGTCCGGCTCCATGATCGAAAATGTTTATGATTTCGCGTTCGAGTACATGGCGAATCTTCAAACCTTGTAAGGATGACTGGAAATGCAGCGAGGGTTTGCATCGTTGAACTTAAATGCAAAATTGCGCTGGTTGGCAGGAGTTGGTCTGGCATGAAGGTTTCGACCATTACCGAGAATACGTTTGTCGGCTTGACCTCGTTGCAAAGCCTGTAAGGATCTGCGATGCGTGTTGTTAAACAGGAACAACCCTGACCATTGTGCGATCACAACACAGAGCTCTGGGCGGCGTGGCACTGACCTCGATTTCACCAAATGCATTTTCCATGCTCACATCTCTCACATCGTTGTAAGAAGAGACCAAAATTCTGTCATTCGCCAGTGATCACCATTGCTGCTGATGTACTCACGGACTTGCGCAGAGCGTTCGCTCGCTGCGGCTTTTCCTCAATCTCATCCGCCTTGCTGTCCCCGTTGTCGAGTCTAGCATCTTTGTGAGCATGTCCGACGTGCCCCCAATGCATTGAGAATGCGAGATTGCTCACATCCGTTTCATTCCTCTCTTTCAACCATCATGCAGCCGCATTGGATTCACTCCCATCCCAGATATTCCATCAGACCTCTTTACAAACCTCGCGGCTCTGACAGACATGTACAAAGTTGGTTTGTTTTTTGCGCAAACTATGTCTTGTCACCTCACTCCTCGTAACCGTGTTTCAAACCCGTTATTAGCAAGTTCGAGTTTATGCCAGTTACAAGCCTCCCGGCCAATGTGTTTGCTGGACTTTCGAGTTTGCAAGATTTGTACGAAAAACCCTTGAGGCTTGGAATGCGTCAGCAACTCTGCAAGCGCTCACATGACGTGTTTTCACTTTTCAGAGAGCTTCGATCACTTGAACTTTCAAGCTTGCCAGCATCTGTTTTCGATGATCTCACTTCGCTGACGCGGCTGTACGGACTAGCAGCTGACTTGCAGGGATTGGAGTGAACTACCCGTTCTCACTTGACCATGCTGGTTGCTTTGCCTTGCTTGCATGTAGGCTTTTGACCGACAACCAACTTACCAGCATTCCCGTTGACCAGTTCAAAGATTTGACGGCAATGACTTGGCTGTAAGTGAGCACCATTACGTTTCCTCGCATTTTCAAGCGCTCATCATCTCTGGCGTCAATTGTACTTTTTCGCAGCGGTCTGATCGGCAACAACCTCACCACGCTGCCTCCAGGTTTGTTCAAAGACCTGCAGCAGCTGACGACAGTTGCCCTGGTGTCCAATCCATTCACGGGCGTTGCTCCTCCGAGTACGTACGGCAGTGCCCAAGTCCCCGAAAGTGAGTCACAGCAAAACTCACGCTGACAGTTTTTGAAACGTTGAAAAAAACCCAGCCATGATTGATCTACCTTTTTCGCTCGCCTTGCAACAGAGTGCCACTGGCAATGCGCGACCTGTTTTGGTGCTGGTGCTGGATCGTGCTGCCCTTCCAACTGTCTCAGTTGCACCGCTGCCAATGTCTGCACCGCTTGCTATAGCGCGAGTTACATTCTGACCGACGGATACTGTCTCATTCCTGAGCAGCTGTCCGCCTCGATAGCTTCAGCCTCTTCTGCATCGGCGGGTTTGGCCACATCCGCCTCCATTGCTTCTGCCACTGAGGCGTCACTTGCGTCGATGGCATCCACCTCTGCAGCTTCAATTGCATCCAATGCACCAAACACTGACAGCAACGACTCCTCCCTGTTGCCACTTATCTTGGGCATTGTTGGAGGAGCGCTGCTGCTCGCCATCATCGTCGCCGTGGTGATTTGGCGCCGTCGACGAGCCGCCAAGCCTCTGGCTTCTCGATTGTCGTCGTCGTCGTCGTCAAGTCCATCCAGCACCAATGTTTGGGTAGCAAAGGCTAGTCCGGCGGCTGATCGTTCCAACGCGTACTCGGCCATCCATGCGACGCACAACCCAACATACGAGGCGACTGGCAATCCCACGTACGAGGACCTCAATGTCCCCGCCAGCGGCTACGCGGCATTGTCAGCAGCTGAACCCGTTTACCAAAGCACCGAGACTCCCACCGTGGTGTATGCCGAGACCTCTACTGCGGCAAAGTCGTCCAACCATACGTTTGGCGCAAATCCTTCTGCCACCACCTACGCTGCAATTGGTTCCACTGCGAACGAACCCGTCTATCAAAGTACCGAGTCTGCGGGCTCTGCCAACTACGCCAGCCCGGAAAGGACTCCGACCTATGCGGACACGTCCATCGCGTCCACGAGCGCTGGTTATGCGACACCAACTTCGTATGCCACAATCTCATCGGACTGATCCCTCAGCCAGCTTGCCGTGTTTGTTTGTCACCCCGTTGTTTCTTTTGCGTTGTCTCGTCCGCTCGTTTCCGTTCCTTTTTGTACAAAGTGTGAATGTTTCTCTTGATTTGTGTTGTCGTTTGTTGAATTAGATTGCGTTGACCTTTTTATTTGCCATCGTCCTGTGATTGCTGTGTCTTCAAAGGCTCGATTCTTGTAATTCAGTCGTTTTATCATTGCTTTCTCGTCTCACTTTTTCAGAACCAGTGTTTCTGAGATTGGCAGCATTTCGCCACCCACTGCTCCTGCCGACCCACCCCTCCCTGCCACCCCACCATCACCCCGCGTCTCCCCTTCCCCCCCCCAGGGGTCTGAATGTCGAACGCGTCCCCAGTGTCGACGCCAGGCGGTGCTGGTGCTGGCCTCGGATCGGCCTTTCCCACCGCTCCAACCCCATCCGCGACTGGCTCGTCGTCCTCTGCGCCTGGGTCGATCGGTGCTGCGGCTGCCTCGTCATCTTCATCATCGTCATCATCAGCCACGTCAGCGGGCGCCATTCCACCGGCGGCGTCAATGGCAACTGCACTCGCTGCCGAGGACGCGCTGACCAATGTGTTTCGCTTGGTACGTACGGCACAAGCTCGTCTGACTTACCAACCCACACCACGACTCATAGAAAAGGGCGTGTATTTGTCAAATCTCATCGCTAAACATGGTTGTTGGCGAATTTGATCAGGTCTCGATGGATAGGATCTGCTGGAGGCGATTCGAGTACAATCCAAGCACTGCAACGCCGGCTGCATACGAGCGAGGTGGTAACAATGCCGGCGAACTCGATGCAAGCGATGATGGGCTGTTGGATGGAAGCCCCGATCTGGATCCGTTCGCCGAGTCGTTGGAGGACACCGAGTACCTGTCGAAATCCGAGCGCGATGCGCAACCTCAGATTGTACGCATGCTCAAGACTCCGCTCGTTCGTGCATTCACGCAACTGCTCTCTCAAGGCAAGCCCGTCTGCTGGACGCAAAGTGCCACGAGAGACCATGCGCTCGATGCCGGGTTTCTGGAGCCGACGTTCTCATCAGCGTCCGCGAATCGCAACAGCAGGCCACAACAACAACAACAACAAGCAGATCCATTCGGCGCCCCACCGACTGCGACCTTCGCCTCCAGCTCTATTCAGACTCTGTGGGTGTTTTCTTTCGATGGCAACAAGCCACCCCTCGTGAGCGATGGCGTTAGTCTTCACCGTCTTACAGGTGCGTTCGAGTCATAAGGCTGCTTGTTTGTGCATGCCGGGGGGGGTTTGTGTATTGAAGCTCAACGTGCACTGATCACTCGCGATCGACTCGATGTTTGTTGCTTTGCGATCGCAGAGATTGAGTCAGGAACTCTCGCAGATGCCGATGACAGCCAGTCGGCTTTCGCGGGTCCGCTCTGGCGACCATTATGCAAAGCTGTGACGAACATGCTGGAGCGGCATTTTCTCGTTTCCGGCTTTGTTCGAGTGGATGACTTGTTTGTACTGAGCGACCCGGACTTTGACAACTCGGCACCGTACGTTTTTTGTGTTTTTTTCATTTTTGCTTGTTTTTTCTCATCTGGCTGTTCCTGGTACAGCAATCTGACATGCGCCTTTTCCATTGTCCGACCAACAGACCATTGGCTTTCTCCATTACCCTTCATGCACATGACGATGCAGTGTTTGCACATGCACGATTACGGTCGTCGTCTGTCCGGCCAATGTTGTTCCAGGACGCCGCCCACTTTTTGCCTTCGCCTTCTTCTGGCACTGCAGGGGACCACAGCGCCAGTGCAACGCCACAATTTCGGTCTTCTGTCGCGCCACCATCAAGGTTACAAGGTACTTTCGTGCCTCTGGGTGTTTTGTTCACTTTATTCGAGTCGGCGTGCAGCCTCTTACTTTGTCTGTGCCCCATTGTTTCTTCCTTTGTTTCTTTCGTTCGTCTTTGGGTGACAATTTATCGCACTAGTTATCCTCGCACCTCATGGATTTCCAGCCACCCTTCGTGGAATCGTTTGGGATGATGAACCGAGTGACGACTCGCTGAAAGCTGGAGGCACGAGCCAGCACCCGCTGACAGAATCCTGGGCTGAAGCGTTGGGATGCCCCGAAGGCACTCTTTCGGGACGGGTGGCCACTGCAACGTGGCCTGGTGGTCGGTGGCCAACTGCTGTTCTCGTTACCCTCAGCAGTAGCCTGCTTGAAAGTCCCATTCCGTTTGATTCGAGTTACTCTACTCCACCAAACGAGTCGTCGATTGACAGCAGCGCCTTGCTCCGGACGTCCGATGCGACACTGGCGTTTGGCAATGAAACAGAATCACAAACCACGTTGGCATATCCAACGCAGCTCGTTTTCGTTGCGAGCAACGACTCGTTTGCCGAACGATCTCGTAAACGAGGCACAAACAGCACCCGCAACTTGCTCGAACGCACCTTTGCGACCTGTTGCTTTCCTGACAGCGGCCCGTCCACAGGGTACTCGCGCCAATATTTAAGCTTGCTGCTTGATCCACGAACTCCGTCCATGCCACAGCACATTCGCAATGCTGCGGTCCAGCGAGTCATTCATACTTTTCAACAACAGCAACAACAACAGCAGCAGCAGCAGCAGCAGTTACTGCAGCAACAGCAACAGCAGCAACAGCAGCAACAGCAACAGCAGCTGCAACAACCACAGCCACCGCAGCAACAGCCGTCCTCCAAACGCAAACTCAAAGCCACAACTCCCCCTTCAGAACTTGCTGCTGAAAGCTTATCGGCGAAACGGGCACGAATCTCCGACGAAGAGACACCAGACTTGCCAAACCCGACCGTCGTCCTCGAGCCAATGTCGCTCGTACTTCTCGACCAGGAGCCTGAAACCCCGTTGATGCAAGTCGAATCTGACGTGTTTGAGTCGGTAGGTGTTATTTGTTTTTGAAATTGCAAACTGAGGGAATTGGCACCGAGATCTCTGGAAAATGGGTTTCTGTTTGTATATCGAACAACAAATCCTCCTCACTCGTAAACTCTGTGAATTTCTTTTTCGCTGAGCGCAGGAATTTCAAGGCACGTATGACAATGCGCGAGCAGGCCGAATCCTTTCTCAATTCCCCGACTTTAATGAAGCTTCAGAACTGGAGCCAATGGACGTCGCGATTCCCGATATGTCCGACTTGGACGCGAGCGAGTCCCTCTTGTTGAACCCGGACGACGCCCTGGAGCACTTGTCTGAAGTGCTTATTCCTAGGTTCCGGTATATGCCAAGTGCTCCCCAGTACGACAGTGTGACGCACCCGTGGCTGGACGAAGGGCTTTCGCTCCGACCAACCGCTGCGTACCAGCCTCTCAACCGCATCTCCACCACTCCTGCGTGGTCGTCATTCCCGGTGTGGCTTGCTGGTCAGTCTGGACGCCATTCGACAACGTCGACAACCCGACACCAGCAGTCGGCATTGATGCCGGAAGCCATTTCCGATGACCACGACCTTGCGGTGAGTGAACCACTGTCACCAACGGACGAGGCGACTGCAAACGACCTCGTTTCGGCAAAGCTTGCAGAGGCCCGCAAAACCGTTTCGTACACGACAGATTCGTTGAAATCGTTTGATTGGGCTGCTGTCTTTGATCGCGATCGTGAGCTCAGCGAGTTTGTGGACAGCCCGTCTCCAGACCACGATTCTGGAATGGCCGATTCCTCGTCGGCCAGTCTCAGCTCCATGCTTCACACACTCGGATACTCTGTGCCCGCTGCACTGCGCCGGTCTGTGCTCGCATCGCTTCCCGCCGCCTCCGCTGTCACGCGTGGCACAGGCACACTGCCGCTACCAACAGAGAATGTGGCTCAAGAGGGTCGTCGCGAGGATGACCTCAGGTTTCCAAAGCTCGGATCCAAAGATCACCCGCTGGACCTCACCGGCAACGTGGAGGATGTGGACGATGAGGCTTTTATCGTCAGCCGGAAGAATCTTCCCCTTGACAAACCTGTCATCACACGCTCGTCGATTTCCGCTCCTGCAACGCCGAGCCAAGCGCAAGCGCAGCGTGACTCGTCCTTGTCCTCGAGTGCGACAGCCAGCTCGACGCCGCTTCAGGACGACCCCTTGGCTGGAGCCACGGCGCGCCGCCAACGACGGCAGGCACGGCAGGCTGCGCGGTGGGCTCGCCATCCACTGACAGACCCTCGCTCGGCTTGGCTCAGCATGCTCTGTGGCGCGTCTGCGGACGGATTCAGCGCCGATGACGAGCTGCCTTCGCCGTTTCTCGAATGCTGGGACGACTCGGTCACCGTGTTTAGGCCGCCTAGTTGGACACCTACCGGAACTCTGTCGGCCGGGGACATTGCAGCAGCCTCTGCCGGCGGTGTACCAGCGGCTGCAGGGCCCAACGCAACCTCGACAATGCTTGCGCGTGCTCAACGCAATGCCGGTGCTGCCACAGCGGCAGCCGACTTGCAGCCTTTCGTCTCTACACCCTCAGCGCCCGTTGTGGCTCAGTCTCCGGCCATCGTCAGCGCAGCTGCATTGAGCGTCGCTGCAACGGCCTCTCCGTACCATCACCTCGACTCTCCCCTGGCGGCGTCCGCATTGCGGTCGGTCGGTGGCCCCTCCCGCGAGACACCAGCAGCAGTAGCAGCAGCAGCAGCAGCAGCAGCAGCAGTAGCAGTCACGAGCCAGCTCTTACCGCAGTCTCATCCTCAGACGAGCGCGACGCAAAACAAGTCGCAGCCGTTTGCCAATGGTGCAATTCGGCCCAATGCTCGAAACGAGCCGTGGTTTATTCCGGACGCCCGTTCTCATAGCCCCCCTTGTGCTGCGCCCAGCAGCTGCGTAGACTGCATCCGCCATTATAGTCTCGAAGTCGCGGCCGGGCATGGTTCTGCAGTCCCAGCAACGCTGCCAACCGCGGGTGTCGTCGCCGAACTGCCAAGGCACGGTGTCACGCAACTGCCCGACTGGGCTTTGCGAACCCCGCGGCTGCTGACGTCCCGGCGGCTCCTCTCATTGCGGCACCTATCCCGCTCTGCCGTCAACAATGCATCCTCGGTGACCGACTTTACCCTGACTTGCTGCACACTGCCGCCGCTGCACCCTTCCTTGTTTCGTTCGTTCACAGAGAGCATTACCGAGCTGCTCGCCAGCGTCTGTCCAAGTGTGACGGCCCCGTTAACCTTTGGACAGCTCGTTCGTCACTGGTCTGGCGACACGTCGTCCGGGCGGCGTATGGCAGACCGCGAGGGCTTGGCTCCTTCCTCGGCGCCTGTTCCGATGGAAGAAGTCCTGCCGTCGTTTGAAATCGAGGGGGACATTGCTCCATCCAGCCAAACACCATCGTTCAGACCAACTGGCAGCGATACCCGTCCTCTCTCGCTCGTGGGTCGCAGTTCGTTGGAATGGCTTGGAATTCCAGTCGTCGCCGCCGTTCGTGCGGGTCGCTTTATGTCATTCACGCCTTTCGTAGCCTCGTACTGGGGAGTGCTTGGACTCGAGCCTCTGAGCGGACCGCGGCCGATTGCTTGCACGTACGTCCACCCCGACGTGCCCACTCTCGCCGCAAGCGTCCTGTCGTTTCATCGCGAACTTGGTCAAGCATTCAAGGTTTGGAGACTGACAGTTTTGTTCTTTCTTGCGACATTTTTGTTGTTGTTGTTGTTGATGCATGAATATTGGATGAGCGAGGGCTGTGTGTGAAGTGTTTCTGACTCGACTCGAACTTTTTGATCCGATACATAGTCGATGCGACTGGGACGAATTGCCTTGCATACAATTAATTCGCGAACTGTTCAGCCTCTGCCCATCCCTCCAGACACACCAGCGGAGTGCCAAGAAGAGCTGACAGCACTAATGACCTCGCTGACACGCGTCGGTAAGAGGACTTTGACTGGTTTTTGTTTTTTCTGTTGTTGTCGCGTTTTCGCTTTCATGTTTTTATGTCCTGTTTGTCCCGTTTGGTTTGCTCTGCTCTCGTCTCGCGTCTGCGCACACATCCTCTGTCTTTGCCGCACTGTTTGAAAACTCACCCACAACTCTTCGCGTTTTTTTTCGTGTGTGTGTGCGGGTGCGTGCGTGTGTGCATGCGTGTGTGTGGGTTCAATCCTACCCGCTTCCGTGCTTCAGTCGAGCGCATCAAAAGAATGTCACCGACCGTTCCGCCAGAGTTTTCCGCCTTGCCAGACCCTCCGCCGACGGCCTGTCAGATTGTCCACATCATCAACCCGTTCACGGCCGGCCGGCACTTTGCATTGCTGTGCCAATGTGCAGCCATCGCCATGATGGAGCTCAACGCCTTTCAGCGAGCGCGAGTCTTGTTCCAGGTGAGAGTTTTCAACAAGTTTGACAAGTCGAGAACAGCAGAGTGAATTTTGTGCAACCTCATTCTGACCTTGTACTCTTGGTCCAGATTTGGCCCCTCGAGCAATTCTTGCGCGCTTCGGGCGTGTCGGGTCTCACATCCAGCCTGGCTACTCCCCTGGACCACGCTGTTCGCGGTGCAGACTCTACGTGGGCCGAGTCCATTATTCGGCTTGCTCGCGTGTACGCCTTGAGTTTGTTCCAGCGTGCCCGCTCCGTTCTCGAGTCAAGAGTCACGACCCTCGACTTTAACAGTATTTGGCTGAGCACGCTCCAGCACCGCCCAAAGCTGGCAACCAACATGTATCCGCACACTGGACCCAACTTGACGGTAAGCAAAAGGTCATAACCTGACAACGCAGGTTGAGGGCAACTGTCTCACTCGTGCGCTTCTTGATTACTCTTCGTCGTCTCGTAGAGTGTGGCCAATCGGCTCTTGTGCCTTGTCACGGAACCTGTCTCTGAAATCGCGGTGCCCGACACAAAAACTGCCAAGTCGCGCGCTGCGTCGGTGAACATTGCCCGACAAGACGATTTCGTGCTGCATGTGGCATACCTCCTTCTGAATGGCGGTAAAACCGTGGCATTCGTGCTGACCGATCGCCGCGGTGAAACTCTGGACCATCACGTGGTTGACTTGGATGTGGCCGCGGCCTTCAACCGACTCTGCAGTGCCTGCGCCGGGCAGGGCAAGCAGCTCGAGAATCTCGACTTTAACCAAACCCGTCTGAATGCGCTGCTGGCCACATGCCTGGTGGAAAAGCTGTGGGAAGCGATTGTGGGCTTTGTCGCGACCACAACCGTGAGCTGGCAGGTCGTTGTCAGCAAGTTTGGTCGTATGAGCCAAGCCGAGCGAAATGGTGAGCCCTTTGTTTGTTCTGCCAAGCAATTTGTGTTGTGTTGGTTTGGTTTGGTTTGGTTGGGTTTGGTTTGGTTTGGTTTGGTTGGCTTTGGTTTGGTTTGGTTTGGTTTGGTTTGGTTTGGTTTGGTTTGGCCCAAATCGATTGTTGCTCACTTTTTGTTGCCCGCAGTTCCCTTGCACGCACACGCATGCACCGACTACACTATCGGTAGCTGTCCAGAAGTGCTGTCACCGACTACACTATCGGTAGCTGTCCAGAAGTGCTGTCAGTCTCGGTGATGGAAGCCTTCCAAGACGAATCGAGCAACCTCTCATCTCGGCGGTGTCCCTGCAACAGTTCCCGGTGTCGAACCGCCGTGGCGGGTCACTGTCGACGTGACGCAATCATTTTCCATCGTGCTCGGTCACGATCGTGGCATGCTGCCACTGATGTGCGCCCCGCCTCTCCCACATCCACATGCGCACCCGATGGATCCCATGAGCGCAAAGTCATCCTGCTCAGTTTGCAATACCAAAGCGCACGTTTTGCATTTGCAATACCAAAGCGCACGTTTTGCATCGCGCCTCGGGCTTTTTATTTGTGGCGCCGTCCAGCTTGAGCGTGTTGAATAACACGGAGGTCGAGTCCACGTTCCTGGTGATGAAGGCTCGTCTGATTTGCGCCTTCATGCCGCCAAACAGTGTCGAATCGCTGTGGAGACCTCAGACACCCTCAGGGCATCAATTGCTGCTTCGGCACATTCTCCAGCAATTTGCTGCGCTCTCATGGCTGACTGTGAGCCCCGTGGCGAGCGAACGACAGTCCATGCTTCCACTACACTTTCGTGTTTTGGCCCAAATTGCCCACTGTGTGAAACAAGGAAGTGCCCTTCCACAAAAGTTTGTTTGAGAGTTGTTGTGTGCGTTCTTGTTCTGTACTTTACCTTTCGTTCAACAAACCAAAATTTAATCATAAAGTCGCTTTTGATGAAAATCGCCAACGAGCACGCCAGGTGCACGTCGTCGTTGTAGTGTTACATTGGTGTGTGATTACAACGGGTCGAGGAGGCCAGCCTCCATCAGACCGCACAACCCGGCAAAACAACAAATCATCAACCAAAAAAAAAATCATATCAACAACCAAGGCAGGCGGATTCCAAATAAAAACAAATCAAAGCAAAACAACAACAAAAAATCAAATCAAAACGACAGCGATTTCAAGTCATAACATCAAAAATCGACGCTCACAGGCGTCGCGTTCATCAAGAATGCAGAGAGCCTCACTGAGTGGCTGTGAGCAACTGCTGGGGCTGCTGCATTTGCCAAGACGGAGTCACCGCCGGGGTGGGATTGGCTTTGCAAACATGGCAGCGGTGGTCGCTGGGAACGGGGCCGTTCACTGAAACTCCAAAGCAAGCGGCGTGCTGCACTGTGCAGCAAGATGTGCATTGCAGGAAGGCGCCGTTAACAGGTGAGTGGGCCTGGGCACAGATGCAGCGCACGACCAGAGTCGAAGGCGTGAAGCCGCCCGGACCAGGTGCAGACGAGGACACTGCGTACGTCATTGACTGTGAATAAGAAGAAGCGCCGGTTCCATGGGGCGAGCGTGGAGAAGTCGACTCGGACACGGGAGCAGAGATCATCGAGGCCGGGGAAGAGGCGGCGTCCGACTTGGAGGACACGACGGACGAGACATCCGACCACGAGCTGACCGTTCGTTGCAGCTGCAACATTTTCTGGCGGTGCTCCGCTTGTTGTGGTGGTTGCTGCTGGACGAGCTGCGAGAGCAGCGCCTGCGCGCCTTCGTCGGCTGACGGGTGCTTTGCCGTGGCCTTGGCAAACGAGCTCAGCTGTTGGTGACGAGCCATGGCAGCCACCGCTTCCGCGGAAGGTTGCTGGTCGTCAAACCAGGCCTCAAAGCCATGGCATCGACGGACGTGGCCAACCACAGAGCTCTTCTTGGTAAACTTCTTGGGGCAGTACGGGACGCAGCAGTTGAAGGGCTGCTCACCAGTGTGCGTCCGCAAGTGCTCGATAATCTTGGAGTGGTTGTGGAGTGGGCGCATGTTGCGACCGCACCCTTCCCACAGGCAGGCATAGTCGGGCTTGCCGCGGGCGACGTGGACTTCGGCAAGGTGGGAAACCAGGTCGGGCACCGCGAGGAAGGCGGCCGAGCAGTTTCGCCACTTGCAAGAGTAGCTGGTGCAGGCATTCTTGGCGTGTGTCTGAATGTGGTAGACAATGTTGCACAGGAGGCTAAACTCGCGGCCAATGCGGGCGCAGCCACGCCACTCGCAAGAGTAAGCGTGGCGGCCGTTGCCAATGTGGCCTCGGACATGAAGCGCCAAGAGATCGGCGTCGCGGAAGCGATCAGAGCAAGTGCCCCAGCGGCACAGGTACGGCTTGTCAGTGTTTTCCAAGGCTTCAGCCTGCTCGGCCTCGGTCAGCACTGCCTGGTGTTCGCCATCTTCCGAATCATCGTCGTCGTCGGGGTTGTTGCTGTGGCTGTGGCTCGAGGCAGCAGCGGATGCCGAGAAGGAGCGCTCAGACTCGCTGTCCGCCGACGAGCTCAAGCGGGGCTTCTTGTCGCGCGAGACGGCAGCAGCTTGCCCGTCGTCGTCAGAGGGGCGCTTGTGGACAGTGACAGGCTGGGGGACTGGGCTGGACGACAGCTGTGCCATCTGAGCTTCCGCGGCTTGGCACAAGGAGCTGAACGCAGACAAGCTGGCGGCCTTTGGGAAGGCGTCTGCGTCGACCTTCTGGAAGACAGACGACGTTGCGGGCATGCTACGTGCCGACTGAGGGGCCGCATAGTGGTGCTGGTGAAAGTGAATCTCTTGCTGCTGAGGAGCCTGTTGCATGTTGTGCATTGACACGACGATGGGCTGAGGCTGCTGGGGCTGGAGTTGCTGCACTTGCTGCACATGCTGCTGTTGTTGCTGCTGGAGGCCCCATGGTGCATGACGGACGTTCGGTTGGGCGACCTGCTGCTGTAGCGGTTGTTGGAGTTGTTGCTGGAGTTGTTGTTGGTGGTATTGCTGGAACTGCTGTGGCACTTGTTGTTGCGGTTGGTAGTGTTGTTGCTGCTGCTGTTGTTGCAGTTGTTGTAGCTGGTGTTGTTGTTGTTGTTGTTGTGGTTGTTGTTGTGGTTGTTGTTGTGGTTGTTGTTGTGGTTGTTGTGGTTGAGGCTGCTGATGGTAGATTTGGTATTGCGGCGGGTACTGCGACTGGTATTGTCGCTGGTAGGGCTGCTGTTGAGCAACGGGCGTGAATTGTACTTGCTGTTGTTGCGGAATCGCGCCTTGCTGCGTCGCCACGAAGGGATGAACTTGATGCATCATGGTATGGTTTGTTTGTGGGAGGCACACACCTTGCAGGTCGATAGTAGCTTGTTTTACGGTCAACACTTTGGTCGTTGGAAGGGTCTGTCAAGTCAAGCAACAAAGAAGAACAAGAGGTAAGTAAGGGAGAACAAAACAACAAAAATAACAAGGTGTGGTGTGAGACGTTGAGATGGGAAGATATGACGATGGGTGAATGTGGCATGCTGTCGGATGTGAATACATGCGATGTGCTAGTACGAGGGAACAAGAGACAGGAGGAGGGAGGTGCAGAATGAGATTGGAGGACGAAACACGATGTCGGCCGATCTCAAATTCTGCGTCACCCGACTTCGAAAGGCTGCGTGCGGCTTTTTGTCCCCGATAAGCGCTTCGATTCCTTCCGGAATTCGCTGGCGGTCATTTCATCAAGAATGTCTGAATGAAGACACTCGGCACTATGGCTCGGAGGGTCGAGGTTGGCGAGGGAGGGTGAGAGGGGGAAAAGCTGAACGTGCGAAATTTTGCGGCAGATGTAAACCCAAATTTTCGCATTGTCGCTTCTTTCCCCTCGCACTCTCTCGCCCCCGCCCCCTTGCTCCTGCCCGTCCATACAATTCTAGCCACGAACCTCATACATGAATGATGTAGCGTTGTCGGGGAAAGCGAGGGAGAAGTAGGGAGAAGGGAGAAGAGGAGAACGAAGAAAACCATCGCCGAAAGCCCAAACACAACAAAGCTGCTGAAGAATCAATCACTCACAATGCTCTCTGTCGTCAATGACAAGGTAGAGGCAGTAGGAGTAGTGGTTGTAGTATTAATACTCGTAAGTAGTTCGAAGTGATGTGTTCAGATGAACGAAATCGAGAAGACGAAAAAAATAAAGACTGAACGTTTGCGGTAAACGGGACGGCGACCCTAAAAAACCCTCCGACAAAAAGGGTATCGGCTGACACCAACGAAGCCAAGCGAAGGCCGACCCGACCGCGCTGCTGTTCTGTTTTTCTGTTCTCGTGAGCGACGTGCACGAGTGAACACGTAAATACATTGCATGTCTCTCGTTTAAGAGAGAGAGAGAGACAGAGAGGGAGAGAGGGAGAGAGAGAGAGAAAGAAACAAAAAATCAAAAACAGCTGCCACATTTTGCACAGTGATCAACCGATACGAAAAATAAATAACCAAAAATACACAAAAACCATAAAGCCGCAGCCGCGTGTCCGTGGGCGGCGCTGCCTAAACACCAACATCATCATGACTCAAAAGACGCTGGGACATCGGGTGGCAAAGGTCTTGTACAGAAATCAAGTGAACATGGCGTGCGGAGTGGGGTGGGGAAGGAAAGGGGGAGAGAAGGGGAACAGAACAGCGAATGGTTGGTCGGGTGAATGCAAATGTTGGGAAGAGCATGTCGAATTCTCACAACGGGTGCTTCCACGACGAAGGAAGAGATAAAAGTCGCACTCGCATACACAAAGCAAGCGGCAGAGACACGAAAGAGACACAGAGAGAGCGAGCGAGAGAGAAAGAGCACTGGGGTGAAATTCGCAGCCATTCCAACAAAAAAAAAAAAAAAAAAAAGCCCAAGCCACGCAGCCATAATACACTTGCGTTTGTGACTGCTGGTGTTGCGGAACAAAAAAAAGGAAAAACACAACACTGACGAACAAATCAAGCAAGAGGATCCGAAAGCGGACTTGCACGTTGGTGCCGACAAACTCGACCAAAATGTTCGCATACACACAGCCGACCAATCCATCCAATGCAAACGCTTCGCATTGCCTCTCCCTCCTGTTTTCAAAATAGCGGCAAGCCTCACACGACAGCACGGGGGCAGTGGGGGGGGCTGGTGTACTCGAGTACGCACGCAGTGAGGAGCACTGGCATGGTATTCGATAGAAGGACTTCTTTTGTTGAGCGCCAAGGTGACCCCCCTCCCCCTCCGCGACAAGGTACAAAAGAGATGCAGTTTTGAGCGTGGTGTGGAGGCAGCTTGCTTGAACGCGGGTGGCGATGGCATGCGCAATCACACTTCTTGAGCTGCCACTTGTGTCCGCACAAGGGAACAGCGACGAACGACGAACGACGCTTTTTCCGCCAAAAACAGTTTGCGAAAAACAACACAAACAGGAAAAACAAAAGAAAAATAATAAAAAATAATGCGAATAACAAACCGAGTTCCAGCAATTTGCACCTCTTGCTCTGATCTTTCCAGTTGTGATCTGGGGCGGCTTTGCAAGCGCATGGCGTGTGCCCCATTGCTGGCATGTCTGCAAGCGGACCCCCCAGCCATGCGCTGGGATGAAAAAGCCAGCACCGAAAACCGCCAGCACTCGGCGGCGCCAATCAAACAGGGATTGCTTCCGATAAGAAACGGGGACTCAGGTCGCTTTTTGTAATTTTCATGTTATTTTTTTTTTCTATTTTATTTTATATATTTTTTGCGGCATTTGTTGCTCTGGCGAATGCGGCCCGCTCTTGCTGCTCGGGAGTGCTGATGCGAGATGCGTGCAGGTCTGAGTACATTTCGCGACTCTGCGCAGCCAGCAGACAGCGCGCACGCACGCCAGCCGGCTCCTGTTCTTTTTTGTTCTTTTTTTCTTTATTCTTTTGTTTTTTTCTTTTTTTTTCGCTGCGAGTTCAACCTGGATGGATTTCCCAGCCAGCAATCGCAGCGGTGACTCACGTTCAACCGGCACGGAGGACGGGGTCGGTTGTGTTGCCCCTCCTTCCGCTTGCTCCGAATCAAAAGAGTGCACCAACCTGCTCACGCTTCCTGCGGCTCGCTGTCTTGTGCCAAGGACACGCGACGTTTGATATCGGCCGACCACAAATGCTTTTGTTTTGGGGTTGTTTTGCTTTGTCTTCTCACTATTTTTTTTTTTGTTGTTTTTTGAAGCATTTTGTAATTTTTGCGCGTTTTGGGGGGGCTGGCTCGCCGCTGCTGTGCGGAATGGATGATAGGGTACGTACGATCATCCGAACAATAGAGTGATTGCTGCAGTCGGCGATGTGGGGGTTGGGGTGGCAAACAGGCCCCATCCAAACAAAAAAAAACACAAGCCGTAAACCTTGGTTCCAAAAAACAGCTTACGTGAACAAAAAAGCGAAAAATGTGCGACTGGGCATGAAATGGAACAATCCCACATTTGGTCGTTGCGTTTCCCTCACTCGCTCTCTCCTTCTGTCGATCTCACTCTCTCCTTCTCTCCATGGGGCCCCCTGCCACACCAGCATCATCCCCCACATCCATCCATCGCAGGAAATACAGCAAAGGATTGGAAAAGGACAAAAATAAAGGACGAACAAGATTGGAGGGTTCGGCAACCAATCGCAACAGGCAAGCTCAACGACGACACACCCCCGTTTTTTTTTTTTTTGTTTTTTTCATCACACAAAAATAGAAATTCGGTCGCGTTTATTCGCATGGGCGCGTCGCGGCTGTTGCGTGTCGTGTTGCGATCGGTGTGGATGCAAATGTCGTAGCTGATGGGATGTGTTGGATGCGTTGACTTGGAGCAAGAAAGGGGGGAGGAAGCGCGAGAAAAAAACAAAGCCGCCGAAAGGCAGAAACAAAATGGAATTTTTCGTGTATCGCGCGAGTACAAACAAAAAACACACAAAACACACACAACACACAATCCAACGTGCATCTAAAGTCAAACAAAACCAAAAGCCAACTCGCGCGAGAATTGGCTTCGTGCGCCGCAAGGGACGAGCGGATGCGGCAGAGTAAAAAACAAACCTCAAAGGTGCGCGACTCAAGCTTTGACTTCGCCCGTCGCCAGGTAGCGAAGCAGGTCGACTCGTGAAATGACTCCGATTGCATGGGAGTTGCTATCAATAATGAACAGTCTGTGCAGAAGCAGAACGGGCAATGAGAATACAGTCCAATAAATGCAACAAAATTAAAAAAAAAAAAACGAAAAAAAACGAAAAAAGCAATGTGCTCATGTGTAAGAGATACAACATCCGCCCGCAGCCAGCACGAACGCAATCAGCAGCAGCAACAACAGCAGAAGAGTCGTCTTTGCTTACCGATGCACTTTGGAGGAGGCGAACATGTCAACGACACGCTCAAAAGTGTCTTCCGGTCGCACGCTGATTGCTGGATGCTTTTCCGCCTGCCCCGAAAAACCACCAAAACCGTGAGTATTTGAAGCAGCAGCAGCAGTAGCAGCGTCTAATCGTACGTCTGTGATTGTGAGCTGCGAAATGTACGCAATGAACGAGCGCACAGGGGCCATCAATCGCGTCAAATCCAGTTGTAGGTTGGTTTCGTCTTCAAGGCCCTGTTGTTTTACCCCCAACAAGCACGGGAAACAAATACCACAAACAGAGAAAGTAACAAAAAATAAAAATACAACAACAAAAACAAAAAAAAAAAGTCCAATCGTGCGAAAACAACATGTCCAATCACAGAGCAAAACAATCAAACTCACCTTGACGTCGCGAGAGCTCAAGCTTCCAATGACACGTCCACTGTGATCCACAACGGCAATTCCGGAAATGTTCTACAAGCGCAAACACCAAAAAACCACAGCAAGTTAAAGCTCTCGCTCTGATCAAAATGACAAGAAAACGGAAAAGAATGAAGAAAAAAACAAACTCTCGACCGGAATCACCGTCAAAAATCTACGACTGCAATCCAGCCACGTACATGATCACGCAACAGCTTGAAGGCGTCGTAAACTCGAGCATCGCTGGACACGGTAATGGGAGTCGTGAACGCGGCGCCAAGGAAGGCAGTTTGGACGGTCGTCGACTTCATGTCCGCCCATGCCTTCTTGTGGCGACTGGCGTACTCAATCAGCTTGTTCTGAGAGACAATGGCGGCGATTTGTGACCGGCTGGGTGCGGTATCGGAGGGGCCGTCTTGCACAATCACACGACGCACCCAGGCGTTGCTCTGGACACCCGCAAGCAGGGGCATGATGTCGTTCAGCAACGTTCCTTTCGCGACAGTGCAGAATGGGTTTCGCGCAGCAAAGTCTGTGATTGCAACAGCAGGCAGCCAAACCATTTCAGAATGTTGCAAAATGTGAATTTCATGCCATGCAACCAGCGGTGAGACAAACAAGACGGATCAAGAGGTGGTCGTCTTGGTCACCGCACAACCTTTGGAACACCTCTCTGCAGCAAAACTGGACTCACCGATGAGATCCTTGATGGACGATTTGGACAGCAATTCGTGGTCATCGACGAGGCTGGCATAGTTGCCCACATTCAGATCCGCCTCCTTGACATGCGTGACGATTGCGCACAGCACGTCGAACAAGTCCTGCGATTCGAGAGCATCCCAACAACAGGAGCAACAGGAGCGGCAGCAGCAGCAACAGGAGTGAGCGAATTGAAGATTTGGCTTTGGTGACTGAGCAAGTCTGCTCGTCTCTCGCTCCTCTGCGTTTGAACCCAAACCCCCATCGGAATGGACATCGTCCCTTCTTTGTCCACACTGAATGCTCGAGTCGCGTCCAGGCCCTGTTCGCCTCAATCGAATGACAATCCAAAGAGCTTTTACGTCGTTTTGCTTTTTTTTCTTTTTGTTTTGTTTTTTTTTTTTTTTGACGCTTGAGCTCGTTCTTAGGAAGGAGTGGGTGGCGGCGTCCCACACGGGCGCAGACAGCACGCGGTTCTTGATCAGCGTCTGTGGGAACGGGGGGAGAGCACAGGGAAGAGTGTCAGCACAGAACGACAAAACCAAAAAAAAAAAAAAAAAAAAAAATCTGCTCAAATTTTTGGCTCAAATTTTTGGCTCAAATTTTGGCTCAAATTTTAGAATCTGGCAATTCGAACGTTCGTTCGTCAGAGTGCGTACGTGAGTGGCAGCCTGCAGAGTGTCGGAGCTGTTCAACGTGACAACGTTGTGCATCGGAGGAAGGTCGTCCACAGACGCAGTTCCAAAGCTGGCCATGATTGAGTTCGAATGAAAACGACAAAAAAAAAAATAGAGACTGAATTTCCACCAATTTGGTGGAAACGGATTGCGTGTGGAACAAGGAAAGTGTAATGTACAACAACGAGAAACGGCAGCAAATGGCAATCACTGGGAACGAGGGAGACCGCAGGCGTCGCAAGAGTCCTTTGCAGCGGCATTGATCAATGTGCAGAACGAGCAATGCCACGCATCCGCCACACCCGCCGCGCCTCCTCGAATAGCGCCTGAATTCGTTGGAAACCACAAAGGAGGGAAGACAATAAAGGTCAGAGCACGCCAACAACACAAACAGCCTCCTTGCTCAACGGAACACTCACCAGGAGCGCTGGAAACGCTGGAAGCAATTTGCAAGACAGTCTGCCACTGAGGAGACTGTTGCCACTGATTGGCAGCTGCACTGTCGCGGTTTTTGATTGCTTGCAAAAGCTCGGGCAGGGAATTCTGTCGTAGGAATCGGCCCAAAATGAAAACATCAAAAGGCAGTCAGTGACCTCGTCAAAGAAAGCCGGTGTGCCTCAACGAAAGGAAACTCGCTAGACCCTCACCGAAAGCATCAACACGGACGACGTGGCCAGGAAAACAAGCAGGTGAAAATCCGAAACAAGAGCAAGGAAGGCCGCATTGCTTGGCTGGGCCGCCAAGTAGCTCTTCAACGCCACGACATCCGCGTTCTGGCCAAGAACCGAGCGATTGCCGATGGTAAACGGGGTGCTAATGCCAAGACCAAATGTTGGGTTGGGGCTTTGCGGGCTACCATTTCCAAGCTGGTGCCAAGAACAATAGAACAAAGGAAACAGAAAAGTGAGAATCGGATTGTCCCAACACTGTCTCCAAATCCCACAGAACGGTGCCGTTTTTGCCCCCCCCCCCTTTTTTTTCCACACTCCTTCCAACACAAAACCAAAACGTACATTCACAATCAAATAATCCACAGGGAAGGATGGCCGTGCAGTCGACACCACTTCGGTGCCGTACTCGTTCTTGTAGCGGTAAAAGACCTCGGGAATGTACTGGGCGTCGGTGGTCTCGCGCACCGTCATGGCGGAAGGGTCGCGGGTGGAGGGAACGACAAACTCGTTCTGCACCAGCGTTGCGCACTGGTTGGACACTTGGTAGGCCTCCAGGCTGACTTCGCGGCTGGCGTTGCCAGAGATGACGACCGTCACAAACTTGGAGCCAAACTCGCCCGTCGACGCTGCGGTGGTAGGGTTGGGGTGCCGGGCCTGCAGATCAGCGGCCATCATGATTTCGCTGGCAGACAAAAAGAAGGTGTCCTTGTGTCGCTTGCACTGCACCATGCCAGTCCGTGTGCCGTCATCCTCGAGGTCGGTGAAGATCCAGCCCACTCGCTGCAAGCCGAGCGCGCTGGCGACGCCCAAAACAGCCTCTTCGTTCGGGTCGTCCAGGAGCTCGAGCGAGTCCACAGCACCGGTTTGTGGAGGTTCGTAGATGGCCGCTACCACGGCCTTGATGCCCAGAGGCACCTCTGGGTAAGGCTCATATCGCCCGATGAGATAGCCGAGTCGTTGAACACCACCCGACTGTCGCCAAAAGTCAATAAACTGGTTGAGAATCGACGCCTGCTCAAACTCGACGTAATCCACGTGTCGGTATGCCTGGCGCGCCAACGTCACGGCCGACGGCTGGCACTTTGTGCAAATGCCGGCCGGCCATGGTGCGTGAGCGGTGCATCCTGGGCGAATGGTCATCTGAGGCACGGAGAGCGGGGTGAACTTGCCGCCGTCCGCACCCGACCGCAGCTTTCGGAGATAGGCGTGGAACGACAAGTGCTTGATGCCGTTTGCTTCCAAGTATTTGGCGTCGTAGGGCTACAAGAAAAGGCAGCGGCAAAAATCAGAGTGAGAGTAAGAATGTGTGTGTCAAATCGCAAGCCTCGGACGAATGAAGGGGGGGGGCGCATTTACCTCGACAGGGCAGCAATTGTCACACATGCCATTTGCGCCATGCTTGCAGCTATCTCAAGAAACCAGGCAGCAATCAACAATGTCAGAGTCATTGCACTCAAATCAATGTTGAACTCAAAGCTCGGCTCACATCTCGCAAAACAACGAACATACAAGGGCGCCTCGCGTTTCCGTTGGATCTTGCCGTCTTGCTTGCTCAGGTATACATCCACAGCATCCTCGACCACCTTGATTGGCTCGGGGGCCGACGATGCGAGCGATGTTGTCGACGGAGTGTCGGACAGGTCCATGGGCACAGCGCCGCCGCTGACGACGTTCGCACCTGCACCAAGATACGACACATACAACATGTCGCCATGTCTGTCTCGGGACAAGACATCGTGAGTGTGCCTGCAATTCTTCTACACTGTGCTTCAGCGCAGAATCATCAAATGCAATGCAGTGCTGCCCCATGATATGATGGGCCCAGTCCTCACTTGATGTCTGGCTGCCGCGTTCGTGCAGTGATGGCCAGCTGCCCTGTCGGTTGCTTGGAGACCGTCCACGATCCGTCTGCCGGCAGGTTGAGCTGACGTTGAATCTGCTCCAAATTGCAATGCACCACAGTCAGCGCTCACCCTAGTGTTCCCCCTCTCTGTTCCTCTCTCCCCATCGCTGCCCGTTCACATCCATCCGTTCTCCTCGTTAACGCCGAATCAATCCTGACGCTCGGTCGAAAGTGAACTTTTTGTGTCGACCATTGCACAGCTGCAGTGGCTTGAAACGCGAGATCGCGAAACGCAGCAATGCCCTCTCCTCTCGTCCTTGAGACCACCCAACGACCCACCCCAACGACCCACCCCAACCCGCATCATAACACAATGTGTATGGTGTAGCATTGTATTGCCTAGAGCGAGTCAACAAGAGAGCGAGTCGTCCAGAATAGAGGGGAAACTTGCCTCGAGAATGAGCTGCTGGCCAGTCACGTCATCAGCGAGCTCGACGCGCGCAGTGCCCGTCTTGGAGCGCACACGCACGAGCTGATCAAGCAAAAAGTAAGAAGATAAGTACGCTTTGACCAACACATGGTCAACATGGTCAAACAGTAAAGTTAGTCGGATGAGAGTACTGTACCATTGTGTCAAAGTAAATGTATGAAGACTGAATCTCTCAGAAATACTGTCTATGAAGGATGAGAACACGATCAGCTTTCATAAGCAGTCTTTGATAATATCAAAAATCTTGGTTCAGACAAATGTTTCGATTACAGCGAGCGCTGCTTACAACGCTGAGCAGCAGTGCGCGTACTTTCAGTAAGTTGAACACCGAGCCGCTCAAGCCAAAGCCAAGGGCGGTCATCAAGTCATCTTCAGTTCGCATTTGAATTTGATTAACTAACGCTCTGTCTCGCTGTCTGTCTCTCTTGCTCGTGGTCGTTACTACAAAGGTCCTTCAGCGGCTGCAATTCAGCCTGCCACACTCACCGCCGCCTACCAGTCCCTCAAGTCAGTACAACTAGCACCAACCCATTGATGTACTATGACACTGACCTTTTTTGCGGTTGGGACACAGACCGCTGCTCGATGATGCAGTCGCAAGCCACGACGCCGACGATGTCCTTGAAGCCAAGCGAGCCTGTCTTGATTTTCTAGGTTTTGCATGGTCACAAAATACGCGTTAGTGGTATTACGACAATGTAGACGCTCATTCTATTGCTCTTGTTTCCGATGGGGTGTGGGGTGCAGATCGGTACAATGCATTGCGAGAGAGCAAACAACCAATTCCTGCCGATCTCCCGCCCCTTGTCAACAACGTGAAAGGTACATGCAGATCCCCCCCCCCACAAAGGTTGGAACAGGCTTGTTGTTGTAGGGTGTACTAACTTGGATGACGTTGACTGCTCCAACGCAACTCTGAAAATCTCAGATAAACTACAAGAATTGTTGGGCAAGAAGACCTTCTCGGCAATGTAGACAACCAACCCCGCACGCGCATGCACCCAAAGCATCGATTGGAATACATACACGACAATGGCACATACATTTTACACTTCCCAGTTCAAGTGATACAATCAAATCAAAAATCCTTGCGTTTGACACACACATTCTTCCCTCTTTTTACAACTTGGCCGTTCGAGTTGCAGCCTCGACAACTGCGCGCATGTCTGTTAGGGCTTGGAAGACGGCGCGTGCAAGACGCAGGCCATCGGTGTGGCTGTCGTTGAAATTCGTCACGGAAAACACAATGCTGTCGTCGCGCACATTGTAGCAAACGCCGTAGCCGTCTGGAACAACGGGGCCAAAGGCGGGTGCCACGCGGAACGTTGTCGGCACTTGGCTGGTGGAGAGACGGAAGGTGGTGCTGCGGCTGTACGCCGGGTCTTTGAACAGCGCAGGCACTTCCAAACCACCCTCGATCGCCAGCATGCGCATGCCAAGCAGAGGACGATCGACACCACGGCCTTCCATGGCGTTCTTGGTGGTCTTGACGTGCGAGGCAATGGCCTCCTTTAACAGCTTTGCGCAGACGACCTGGAGCAATTGTTGGGTTTCCATTGCAAAAAAGTCAGACGTAGCTACTTCTTCCTCACTCGCATCCCACCACCAACTCTTACCGAATCAAGACCCCGAGGATCATTCACAGGCGTCATTGCACGAACAAACGCGGCAGAGGCTTGGCTGAGGCTGCGGATGGTTTCCGTGCGACCGTGGTGGAATTGACGTGTGGACGCGGTCTCGTACACGGCGGTGAGATTGCCGTGGAGACGGTAGTACCCCAGCTGCAGCGCCATCTGGAACCAGGCGTCAGGCGACACACGGAAGGCCTTCACCAGCTCTTTGCCATAAGCTGGGTAATCGTTGATGGAGAGATTCGTGCGCGCAATCAGGGCGTCAATTTCAACAGCCACGCGGGCAAGGCCATCTTGGACTGCCTTGGGCAACGGGCCCCAAGACAGGAGCTCGGGTTCGGCGAGCTTGGACAACCGCTCGTGGCGCTGGGCTGCAGACAGCTCGTCGTTGAACAGGCGGCGCGTGCCATGCATGTGGAAGACCAGTCGCGCCACTGCAACGCCATCGGCAACAGAGTGCTCCATGTTGATGCCAGCCTGGCCGTCTGCTGAAACCAACAGTTGCACAGACTTGTCAAACCAGCGGTTGCCAGTCTCGCGCGTGCTGCCAAAGCCATGGAGCGTCAGCGCGGTATTGGCGCCGTCCTCGAGCGCAAGCTCATCATCCAATGAGACGGTGAACAGGGCCGACTCGATCACCTCGAGGGTGCGGCGGCTTCCGGCATGTTGAGACAGCTGTTCGCGATTCTGTTCGAGGTGAAAAACAAGCAACAAAAAAGTCGTTCAAAAACAAGGGTGATAAGTGAAACAGCAGTGTGAGAACACCAATCAGCACAACAACAAGTAGGAGCATGAGGTTTTGCAGCAACAGAAGGCGCGAATGGTACCTCGGCCCAACGCGTTCGGTTGTCCGCAGTCAGCAAGCCGATGGCAGGAGACTTGCCGCGTGCGGCACGCGCTTTGATGCGGGCGAGTTGTAGCTCAATCTCGTCTTGTGAGAGGATTTGCAGCGATTTGCCTCCGGAACCCGACGCGTGCAGCACTGGGAAGGAGAAGAATTGGTTGCGGCAAATCACCACGACGTGGCGGGAATTGGCATAGGTGACCTGCTCGTCAATCTTTTTGCCTGGCTTGCGGTTGGTTGCAAAGATGAGACGGAGCTGGTTCATGCACAGCGGCGCCTTGCCCAGAAATTCGGGCTGCAGCCGCTCAGAAACGACCAGTTCTCTGAATTCGAGCATTTTGACAATGTACCGCGCCGCCTGACGCAGCGGAGGCGGGTTGCTCGGATCGCGCTCAAGGGTCATGGCCGTGTTTGAGTTGATCACGGACGTCTCGCGGTAGGCCAGGTAGGCGAGCTGGAGCCACCAATCCTCGAGCCAATTGCCACGCTCCTGCCCGCGCTGGACGAGCTTCTTGTGGAGCAGCTCGCCCGTCCCGCCCGGCTGCTTGAATGCGTCGACGGCAGCACGCGTGGCGCTCTGCTCTGGCAGGGACAGCAGCGGCTGCACGGAAGCCAAGTACGTGTCGAGCACAGTGTCCAGATTGGGAACCGGCAGCGGCGGGAGCTTTCCCTCGAATGCGAACAGCGCGGGTTGTTTTGCCGCAGCAGCACCTGCGCCACCACTTGTCATAGTAGCAGCAGCGTTGTTGTTGGTCTTGCTTGCATGCGCAGCGTCGTGGTCGTTGAGTGACATGGCTTTATTGACAACGGAAGCAATCCAAAAAAAATGAGTGAAACGTTGTTCAAAATCTGCCGACGGAAGATTGGAAAACTTGTGGATTTGAGCCGGTTTCTGTTAGTTTCTGTTGAGGAAAGCAGTAAAGCAGTGAAGGAACGATTGCGTTGGTCATCACTCGATCACGTCCAATGCTCAACGAGTGAAAGACAAAAAAACGAAAAAAAAAACATGCAGTGCCGAGCGACGGAGCTGGGAGAGATTCAGCGAAAAGCAGGCTGAGCAGCAACAAGCATTGGAACTGTTGCTTTTCTGAGCATCTCTGGGGTGAGGTGTTTGTTTCTCTCCCTTGCCATTGCGTTTCTGTCTAATATGATTGATGATAATCAATAATTCACCAACTGTTACTCCTTTTCTGAGCTTGCTTTGCTTCACTCTCTCTTTTTGAAGAATCGACCCATAATGCTGCTCTCTGCCCGCCCCGTGTACATTGTCGCTGCCAAGCGCACGCCGTTCGGCACGTTCGGCGGCAAGCTGAAGGATCTGACTGCGACTGATCTGCAGGTTGAAGCCGTGAAGGCTGCCCTCGCTGCCGGCAAGGTCGACCCGACCACGGTGGACAGCGTTGTGGTTGGCAACGTTGCCCAGACGAGCGCCGACGCGCCGTACCTCGCCCGCCACGCCGGCCTCCGCGCAGACATCCCGATCCGCACGCCAGCACTCACCGTCAACCGCCTGTGCGGCTCGGGCTTCCAGTCCATCATCAACGCGGCCCACGACATTCTCATTGGCGACGCTGCCATTGCGGTTGCCGGCGGCACCGAGTCCATGTCCCAGGTCTGACTCTTTCTCGCTCTCACATTCAGCAACTTCTTCTTTGATGTTTGAGGTCGGGACATGGGGTGGGGGTGGGGTGGTTCGAGCAGCAGATCAAGGCGGAGACGGAAGCGGCTCGTTTGGAAAAGAAGTCTCCGCGCTTCTACACAAGTCAAATGCTTTGGGAGTCCCCGGTCGAAGGGGTTTGCGCAGTTGATTGCTGTTGAGATGAATGAAAGCAGGAGCAGCAGCAGGCTGATGTGGGGGTGGGGCGGGTCTGGTTGAGGGGTTTCCATATGGATGATGCATTGAAGATTGAAGGCGGTTTTTACATGTGATTTTGGCTGATGACTGTTGTCACAAAAACAACGAGCCACTCAATCACTCACTCATGGCAATCACTCAATCACTCACTCAATCACTCACTCAATCATGACCAAGTTCACAGTGCTAGCAAACAAAAACAAAAAGAAAACACCCCGGCTTGGGCTGGTTCGCTTGAAGAGCCGAATGCAAATCATTGGTTCTGAGAAAATGAAAATTCTGAGAGTTGTCTTTTCTCTCTTTCCCATTCTCTTGCCGCCCCTCCCCCCTCTCTCCCCTGCGCCTCGTCTCTGACCAATTTTGCTTACTGATGACTTTGTGTTGCTGCTCGGTCAGGCACCTTTCGCGGCCCGCGATATTCGCTGGGGCGTCAAGCTCAGCCACACCCCCAAGCTCGAGGACACGCTCTGGTCGGCGCTCACCGACTCGTACATCAAGCTGCCGATGGCCATCACTGCCGAGAACCTCGCTGCCAAGTACCAGGTCACTCGCGCTGATGCCGACGAGTTTGCGCTTGTGTCGCAACAGCGTTGGGCCAAAGGTAACTACGGCTTGCTCTGGATCCACTTCTGCTCCAACATCTGCAGGATTGGGTTTTTTGTTTCTTTTTGTAGCCAAAAGTTGTTGCTGTTCTTTCTCTGACTTTTGTTGTTGTTGTTGTTGTTGTTGTTGCTGTTGTTGTTTTTCCCCCCCCCCGTTCTCTTTCAGCTCACGCTGAAGGCCGCTTCAACGCCGAGATCGCCCCGATCGGCATCAAGGGCAAGAAGGGCATTGAAAAGTTCGAGGTCGATGAGCACCCGCGCCCGGCCACGACGATCGAGACGCTCGCCAAGCTGAGCCCCGTGTTCAAGGCTGATGGTGTCGTCACTGCTGGTAACGCCTCTGGCATTTGCGACGGTGCTGCAGCGCTTGTTCTTGCCAGCGAGGAGGCTGTCAAGACCCACAACCTGAAGCCCCTTGCCCGCCTCGTCTCGTACGGCATCTCGGGCGTCGACCCTTCCATCATGGGCATTGGCCCGGCCCCCGCCATCCGCCAGGCCCTGAGCCGCGCCAACCTCACTCTCGACAAGATCAACCTTGTCGAGGTCAACGAGGCCTTCGCCGCCCAGTTTGTGGCCGTCGAGCGCGAGCTCAAGCTTGACCGCGACATTTCCAACACCAACGGCGGTGCCATCGCCCTCGGCCACCCTCTTGGCGCCTCTGGTGCTCGCATCGTTACCCACCTCACCCACGAGCTGCAACGCACCAACGGCAAGTACGCCGTCGGCTCTGCCTGCATTGGCGGTGGCCAGGGCATTGCTGTTATTCTCGAGCGTGTTTAACGAAAAAATGTTTGTTTCATTTTGTTTGTTTGTCCGTCCTCTGAGCAATCAATAAACGACAGCAAAATCAATAGAACGTTATTGATCATCACTCCTCATAGCTCTACTTTGTTTCATCACTTCCCCCCTCCCCCAATGTCGAGCTCGCGGCGCGATCATCGCTCAATGTCGCGGTCGAGGTCCAGATCGCGGTCCCGCTCGCCCGACCGCCGTCGCCCCGCGTCTGACTCCAGGAGCTCGCAGTCCCAGCAGCGCTCACGATCTCGATCTCGATCCCGGTCTGTGTCTCGGTCGCGGTCGCGGTCAAGGTCGAGGTCGAGGTCGCCGTCAACGCGGCGCCATTCAAGCCACCATTCGAGCCACTCAAGCAATCGCTCGCGCTCTGGGCGTCACAAGCACAGCAAGAAGCACAAGAAGCACTCATCGTCATCATCATCGTCGCGTCGCCATCGCAGTCGGAGTCGGAGTCCAAGTCGGAGCAGCGACCGCTCGTCAAGTAGTAGCAGCGAATCCGAGTCGTCTGGGAGCGAGTCTGGGTCGGAAGGCGAAGACGACCGCCGGCATCGTAGAAAGAAGCACAAGCACCACAAGCACCATAGGAAGCACCACAAGCACCACAGGCGGTCAAGATCGCCCGAACGAGCTGAACGCGCTGAGGCGAAACACAATGTTGCTCGCGAGAGCTCAAGCACGACTGCTACAACTAGTGCACCAGCAAGTACAGGTACTCTTTCAAGGTCAAGCGAAGTGGTTGCTGCAGCCGCTGCCGAGCCTGTTGTGGCTGGACCCTACATCCCGGAAGAGTTTCGCCGCACGCTCGAGCGTCAGGCAGATAGTGTTGAGATTGGACCAACCGCACCGCCGACAACGACAAGCTCGAGTCAGGAAAACAAGGATCAAGCAGGGCCAGAGATGGACGAGGACGCACGACGCTATCTCGCGACGCTACGCGGCGAGACCTACAGCCCGAACTCGACGCAAGTCCACAACAACAACGCGGCTGCCGAAGACGATGATGATGATCTAGGACCATTGCCCGCTGCCCAAGGATCGCATGCACCAACAGCAGCCGAGCAGTTTGCTGCTCGGGAGGCCAGAACGTTGAAGCGCGAGCAAGATCGGTGAGTGATTGTTGTGACCTCGTTCGCTTTGAAGGCAGAGACTATTCTGTTTACTCACTGTTTACTCACTGTTTGCACTCGTAGGTTGAATGCTGCGGCGGCGGCGGCCGCGGGACCGGCAGATCGCGAAGAGTGGATGATGGAGTTGCCCGAGGAGCGGAGCTTTTTGGGTACCGAGGCCCGCAGCTTCAGATCGAACGCATACAGCGGTCGTGGTGACACTTCGGCATGGACCGATACGCCAGCACAACGTGCCGCTCGATTGGCAGGCCACCCCGACCCCGAGCCCTCGGCTGCCGCCAAAAAGCGGGATGCTGCCAACGCCGAAGCGCTGCGACTCCAGCAGGAGCGTGATCGTGACATTGCCTCGTCTTTAGATGTAAGATAGTTTGTGGATGTTTTTGGTTGGATTGGGTGCGCGTGGCATGCAAGGCGAGGGATCATGACGAGTTTGGAAGGATTTGTGCTCATCTATTTTTTTGTTTTACCATGCGGGTTTGTTTTGCTGTTGTTGTTTTCACAGGGCAAGCGAGCATCCCTGTCCCTCGTCGACATGCACCGAGACCGCCAAAGTGTGGAAGCTGCAGCTGCCAGCAAAGCTAAAAGCGACGAGCCATCCACTCGGATATTCACGTTTGACCGCGAGAAGGACTTTGGCAACCGCGTCATGGATTCCAAAAAGCGCAACGACATTATCGAAAAGAGCAAGTCCTTCAACACGCGCTTTGCCTCTGGCGGGACTCAGTCTCGGTTTCTCTGAATTTTTTTGCGTTTGCTGCGTGGAAGCTTTTTGCTGTTGGTTTGATCAAACGAGTAAATTTCTCGGAATTCTGGCGTGTTCACTGTTGGTGCTCTGAACTTACCCGGACATTTGACCTTGAATCGCTCCTGAAGCTTGTAAGGATGGATGCCAGAGTGAGGAACGGACGCCGATTCACCGTTTTCGTCTTCTTTGGGCATTTCGCGAGTGTTGTTGCAGTAGTCGTTGACTTTTGGTTTTTCTCTGTTTTGTTGCTCAGTCAATCTTTTTCTTTTTCTTTTTCTTTTTTTCTCTTCATTTCTGAGTTGGTGAGGATTTTTGATGATTTTTGCATCATGCATTTTTATTTCTTTGTCCTTTCCCGCGCTTTCATCATCGTCGCTCACCCCCTCGATCGCGCTCTCTCCCTCACTCACTCACTCACTCACTCACTCCTCTTGTTGTTGCTCTGAGTAATACAAGTCACTTGTGATGCAGCGTTCGCCTGTCTTCAGTGCAGGTGGGGCAAGTGGGGCGTTCCTCATGTGGCACAGTTCACCCTTTTCTCCGATTTCCACCTCACACTCATCCCTCCCACCACCCAGTCCATCCACCCAGTCCATCCATCCATCCATTCATCTGCATCGCCGCAAATACTCGGCGCTTCATTCAATCTTGAGTCGCGGCATCGATTGAAGGCGAGAAAGACAAGTCAATGGAGAAACTCAACTCAAATTGACAAAAAATGACAAAATGCAACCTTTTTTTTTTTTGAATGTTCACTCTCCTCCTCCTCCTCTGCTTCAGTCCGCTTTGTGCTGCTTTTGCGACTCCAGTTTGTGCGTTGCGACTCTAAGAGTGTGAGTGAGAGATGCAGAGCTGCAGCGTGGGATTTGACTGGTTGAACGGAAGTCTTCTCCAAGCGGAAATAAGCGCTGAAATCTGCGCAGAGCGTGATTTGCTGCTGATTGCCCCCCACACGGCTTCACTCGGCTTCCACACTCAAAGTCAAAGTCAAAGTCCATATGAGCATCATCTCAAAACAAGTAGTCAACTAGTCAGTAATGGTGGGTGGGGGGTGGGTGTGGGGGAAACCTGGTCAAAAACACACAGCAACAACTGTTTTTGTCTGAGAAAGCAGAGAATCAAAACTCAGAACCTGATGCTCGTGTTGTTGTTCCTTCCACCTCACGATTCATGATCGTTAAACTCACTTTTGTTTGACCATGTGCCTTTTTCATGTTTTCTTGCTCAGATTTTTTTCTCTCTCAACATCACAATGGCCAAGTCATCGACTCCTCTGATGGCCATGTTGGCTGCCGTCGTGCTGATGCTGGCACTGACCGCCAGCGCCGAAACAATCTTGGAACAGCTCACTGCTGATGGCCAATACACCCAATTCCTCGACTTTGCATCCCAGTATGGCCTGAACGAGACCATTCTCGCAAACACAACAACGACCTTCACCGTGTTTGCGCCGACGGATGCTGCTCTGCAAGCGCTGACGCCAGACCAGCTGGCCCAGTTCACGGCGGGAGGAGCCGCGTCCATCCTCTACCTCGTTTTGGACGGAAAGGTGCAACGCTCGGACTTGCACACCAACGACCTCCGCGCCACGCTTGCCGGCACGACCTTTGTGGTCGGCAACTACCCTGCCGCCCAGAACAACCTCTTCACCTTCAACGGCATTCCCATCGACCCCACCGTGGCGGATGTCAGCAATGGTCTGATCTTCCCGCTCAACACGACCGTGCCGCTCCTTCCCACCAACTACATGACGGGCGCCATCGCGTCCGGCACGATTGGCAATGTCGCCGTCTCTGTTTTTGCCGCGGCCGTGGCCCGTCTTCCCCTCATTGCTGAGCGTCTGAACACCTCGGGCCCTTACACGCTGTTTGTCATGTCGGACGCTGCCATCTCGGCTGTCTTGCCCGATGCCGCGCTCGCGAACGACGAGTTTATGACGCAGTTGCTGCTCCTCCACATCTCGTCCGGTGCGTGGTTTTCCTCTGCCATCAACGCCACTCTGCAGGGCAGTGCCTCGTTTGAGTTGACGTCGCTCAACACCAAGCCGCTCAGCGTGGCGGTGAACGCGACCGACGACGGTGGTGTGGCCCTGAACAACGGCCAGGCGCGCATTGTTGCCACTGACGCCACCCAAATCAACGGTGTCATCCATGTCATTGATGGCGTGCTGCTGTTCAAGCCCTCCGAACTGCTCGCTGCCCTCAAAGGCTTCTCCAACCTGACCGCCCACCTTTCCACTGCCGGCCTGCTGGCGCAGCTTGATGCTGGCAGCAACTTTACGCTGTTTGCTCCCACCGACGACGCCTTTGCCGCCCTCAGCTCGGCCCAACAGAACGCGCTCGTCAGCAGCCCCGCCGCGACGAAAGAGTTGCTTTCTTACCACGTTGTCAGCGAGCCGGTCAAGACGCTCGACATCTCCCTGCCCATCATCTCGAAGCCAACGCTGCAAGGCGGTCAAATCAACCTCGGCATGTACAGCTCTGGCGCGTACTTTGTTGGCAGCGCCGAGCTCGACTACGACACGGTCGACCTGCCCGTCGCTGGCGGCAGCTATCTTCAAGCGCTGGATGGCGTCATCCACAACGTTGGCTCTGAGCCCGTGAGTGCCTTCTTCACGCCATCTACGCCCCTTCTCTACACTTCGAGCGACAAGTTTACCACCTTCCTCGCGCTGGCAGCCAACACTGACCTGAACCAGCTGCTGAACGGCTCGCTCAATTCTTTCGTGACTGTCTTTGCTCCGTCTAATGCTGCCTTTGCGAGCCTCGACACGGCCGTTGTTTCCTTCCTGATTGCCAACCCCGACGTTGCAATCTACCTCCTCGGGTTCCACGTTTCCGAAGGAGCGCCGTACTCCCTGTCCTTCGACTTTTCGACGACGCCCTCGCCTCTGGTAGCCGTGTCTGGAGGCGACTTTTACGTCGAGCAACCCGTCGAAGGCACCCTTCGTGTGCAAAATACCTCAACCACCCGTTCCGTGGACTGGATTGGCGCCAATGGCGCCGTTCATGTGCTTGATTCCGTCCTCGTCCCTCCAGCCCGTATCTCGGTTGCCCTTGTGTTTAACAATCTCACCACCTTTGCAACTCTCCTCAGGAATACTTCTTTGCCGAGCTTGATTGATCCTGGCAGCTACACTTTGATTGCGCCCACCAACGCCGCATTCGCCAGCCTTGATCCCGCCGTTATCGACCGTCTCCATACGGACAGTGACTTTTTGCTGGCTTTCCTGCAGTTCAACAGTGTGATCGGCGATCACCCTTACGACACTCTGGTTAGCAGCACGAGCGCCATTCTGCTGCCCAACATTGCCAACTCGGTTGTTCGCTTTGACACGTCTGATACCACCGTTTTCGCCCAGGGTGCCCGACTTTCCTCGGCGCCCATCCAACCCACCTCGGGTATCATTCTTATCGTCGACAAGGTGCTGCTGCCTCCGACGGGCGACTTGCTCGCTGTGCTCGAAACCCTGAACAGCACGAGTGCTGTGGGTGCTGTTCTCGGCAACACGACCTTGCAGGGCGCGCTTTCTAGCCCCACTGCCAACCTCACTGCCTTTGTGCCCAGCAACGCTGCGTTCGAGACGATTCCGTCGCAAGTGCGTGGCGTGTTTGCGGGTTCGTTGCTCTCCAAGATTCTCGCTCACCACATCGTCCCGGATCAGCTCGTGTATGGCGCCCTCCTCCCCGACTTTATCAACAAGTCTTTCACGACGCTGCAGGGCGACACCATCGGCCTGGCCTTTGCCAACTCGGAGTTTGTCATTACTCCCGATAACGCCAAGGTGGTTTCGCTGGATGCGGCACCTGCCTCGAACGGCATTGTGCACTTGATCGACACTGTGCTTCTGCCAGTCTTGAACACGTTCGACGTGCTCCAGTGGGACTCGTACGTGACCTTTGCCTCAAAGCTGCTGCAGACCAACCAGAGCGCCCTGCTCGAGACGGCGCCCATCGTCACCGTGTTTGCGCCGTCGGATCTGGCATTCTCCAAGCTCACGCCGCAGGAACTGGCAGACTTTAACGACCTCACCTTTGCCAGCGATGCATTTGACTACATGATTCTGACCCAACAATTCAATGCGTCCGACGCCACTGACGGCCAGCAGCTCCAGGACGATGGTCTCATCTTGTTCGTCAACAAGATTGGCAACAAGGTCTATGTGAATGGAAAAGCGCTCGACCTCGCGCCAGCTGTTACGTCGAACGGCGTGATTTATGGCATGGACGACGTTGTCTTTTTGCCCACCAACACGGTCAACGATGTGCTGGCAGTGCTGACTCCCCAATTCTCCGACCTGGCTCAGCTTGTCGGCTTGAACACCACGCTGGCCAGCTCGACCGACGTGTTCACCGTGTTTGCGCCAACCGACGATGCTCTCGCCGCGCTGCCTGCGGACGTTGTGGCTGGCGTGTACCCCGCCCTCCTGACCAAGATTTTGCAGCACCACGTTGTGCCCAGCACTGTTCTGTTTGACGTGGTCATCCAGGCGAGCTTTGGTCGCCAATTTACCACGCTGACTGGCGAGAACATTACGTTTGCCGCAGGCGCAGCTCCCGGCGACGCTGTTCTCAACCCTGGCACGTGCGCCATCAGCGCGCTGGACTCGCTCAACGTCAACCTTGCCAACAATGGCGTTGTTCAGCTGCTCGCCGAAGTCTCGCTGCCCGCGTTTGACGTGCTCGACCAAATCCAGTACAACGGCTTCCAGTCGTTTGCCGAAGGCCTCGCGACCGTCGCGCTCGACCAGCCTGTTGCCACCAGCCCCGCAGTCACTGCATTTGCCCCGTCCGATGTCGCCTTTGCCAACCTCACCGCCGCTCAGCAGGCGCAGCTGGCGGATCCCGCCTACCTCAAGCTGGTGCTCCAGACCCACCTGCTCCCCATCGTTCTTCCTCCCTCGCAGTTCGTCGACAGCACCTATGTTCAGTCGATCGCGTCTGGCGTTGGCAGCAAGCTCATCCTCAACCACTACGAAGGCCAGGATTACGTCAACGGCATCAAGGTCAACTCTGCCATCAGCGGCACCAACGGCATCGTCTTTGGCCTCGACGAGGTCATCTTCCCGGTCAACGTGTCGCTGTTTGGTGCCATCTCCCAGCTGCCGAGCGATCTGTCCACGTTTGTTTCCAAGGTCCAGCTCGGCAACCTCGAGGGCTTGCTCAGCAACACCGACCGCATCTACACGGTGTTTGCCCCGTCGAATGCCGCCTTTGCCGCCTTTGAACACGACTCGCGCCTCGACAATGCCGACTTTGTCTCCAAGCTCATTCAGTCGCACATGGTCAGCTCGGCGCTCTACGCCCCTGGCATCACCAACGGCAAGTCCGTGTTGACTGTTGGCGGCACCCAAGTTGTTCTGCACACCAACGGCACCAACATTTTCTTTGACACTGCGCTCGCATACAAGATCAATCTGCCCGCTGCCAACGGTGTCCTGTACGTCATCGACAAGGTCATCATCACTCCTGCGCCCCACGATTCCGGCAGCAGCAGCAACAGCGGTGCCATTGCCGCTGGTGTCCTCGTCCCTCTCTTTGTCATTGGTGCCGCCGTGGGCTACTACCTGTACCGTCGCCGCCAGGCCCGTTACCAGTACTCTCCTCTGATTTAAAAAGAGTCAGGCGAGCAGGACCCTTGGACGCTTTGGTTGAAATTCTTCTTCTTGAGCAGATGGTCCCTTTTGTTTCTTTCAATACACTTGACAAAAAATGTCGTCGTTATTCGATTCGATTGCTCAGAAACCCGAGATGTGTCATTTTTGAGCACTGCTTTGTTTGTTTTGCTACGAAATAGTCTGGTGTTTGAGATGGTGGTTGCGGTGTCATCGCATTCTGACAAGTCGAAACCGCTTTGCGATTTTTTTTTTTTTTTTTTTTTTTGGATTTGGAAGGAGAACAGTTCTTTTTCTTTTCTCTTTTCTCTTTTCGAAATGAGTTGGCAGGACATTCAAGTGCGCGTCTTCACCGCGTGGGTGAACGAGCAGCTCAAGGAGCGCGGCATGCGTGTCGGTGACAAGGAGCCTCTGCACAAGGAGATGATTGACGGCATTGCGCTGATCAACCTGCTCGAAATCATCAGTGCAAAGAAGCTTCCCAGGTATTGAAATTCTATTGGAAATTGGAAAAAAAAAAAAAAAAAAAAAACTCGCACAACAACGAGTGGAAGTTGCATCGACTCGCTCGTTCCAGGTGCAAGTTGGCCGTCGCGTTGTTGGACGCACAGTGCTTTTGGTGATTGTCGAATGACCTTGCTCGACGAAGCGCAACGAAGCGAGAGAATGAAGGGTCAAAACATCCAACAAGATCGCTGCCAAAACACCTTTTCGTTTTTTTTGGGTTTTTTTTTAACGGAATTGGTGACGCATTCACACTGTGGGTTGTACCGCAGTACTTGTGATCACACTCACCAACCTGCTTGCCGCAAATGTGGGTGTCTGTGTGTGTGTCAATGGCAGGTACAACAAGCACCCGCGCTCGCCCTACCAAAAGCTCGAAAACCAAAAGGCAAGCGCACACTGGAAACGGGCGAACATTCCAAAAATGTTCAGTTGTGTTTCAGTCTGTTTCAGAAATTTCAACTCAGTTTTTTTTTTTTTCGAAATCCTTTGGTCATTGTTGAACAGATCGCGCTGGACTTTATTGCGAGCGAAGGCCTCAAGCTCGTCAACATTGGCGCAGAGGACTTGGCGGACGGCTCGCTCAAGCTCACGCTCGGCCTGATCTGGACGCTCATTCTGCGATACCAAGTCCAGCGCGGCTCTGGCGACGACAGTCTCTCTGCCAAGTCTGAGCTGCTCAAGTGGGTCCAGTCCAAGATCCCCGAGTACAACATTACTGGCTTTACCAAGGGTGAGTTTGCGTCTTTTTGTCTTGTTTTTTTGTGGTTGTTTGTCTTGTGGTTTTCCATTCCAAAAACACAAAAAACTCACTTTGTCAACCCGACAAATTTCTGCAGACTGGAACAACGGCAAGGCGCTCTGTGCACTGACCAACGCCGTCGCCGAGGGCTCGTTCCCCAACCATGCCTCGCTCGACCCGACCAAGGGCGCCGACAACAACCGCGACGGCATGAACAAGGCCAACGAAGTGCTCCACATCCCGCTCATCATGAACCCCGAGGATCTTGCGCACCCCAAGGTCGATGAGCAGTCTGTCATGGTGAGTCGAGTGATGTTGAAAGTGCAGGGTTCGTGTTGCGGCGTTTTCCTGGTTTTAACATGTACCTCTCCTCCTGCTGCTCCTACCCATGACAGACCTACATTTCCTACTTCTGGAGGGCCACTCCGATCGCCAAGCGTACGTTGGAACAATCAGTCTGAGTGGTGTGTGGCCCTTGACCTTCGTTCTCATTTTTCTCTCTTGCGCTCTTCATTGTTACCCCTCTCCCCTCTCCCCTCTCCCCTCTCCCTAAAATAGCCAACCAAGCCAACCAGTGCTCGGCTTACGGCCGTGGTCTTGTCGAAGGCATTGTCAGCGAGCCCGCAGAGTTCACTGTCGAGACGCCCTCCAAGGACTGTGGCAAGCTCGAGGTCAAGGTCTTTGGGCCCGCCAACGCGCCCCAGAACGTCCAAGTCACGCCCGTGCCAAACGACCCCTCGCGTTACAATGTCGTCTACAACCCCACCGAACCCGGTGACTATGAGGTGCATGTCACCCTCGACGGCGTGCACATTCCTGGCAGCATTTTCCATGTCACTGTCTTGGAGCAAGTCAGTCTCGGTGGCGAAGGCAAGATTCGCGTGTACTTTTCCACCACGTCCTCGACGGACAAGGGCCGCAAGGACGTCATTGAGCTTCAAAAGCTTCTCGAGGTGAGAATGGCGTTTCCACGCTGTTACGCTGTTGTTGTTGTTGTTGTTGTTGTTGTTGCTGTTGCTGTTGCTGTCTTGCTCATCGCTTTGATTCCTTCGTTTGAACAACCCTTTTCCACTGTTCACACAGACCAAGAAGATCCACGAGAGGCCAGATTTCGAGCCGTGGTACCCGATTGACATCTGGACCCAGGCCGACCGCAACGCCGTGTTCAAGCGTGCTGGCACCCGCAACCTGCCAATCGTGTTTATCGATGATGAGTATGCTGGCGATGCCGACCGCATGTACGAGCTTGAAGCCAGTGGCAAGCTCAACCAGCTTCTGAAGTACAACGAGAACAAGAACAAGAAGTAAAGTAGCAATGCTTCTTTTTTTTGTCTTGTCCCACCATTGTCGCAACCTCGCACTGTATTGTTCATGTTGATGTACATGCCAAGTTGTGACCCCAATACATTCGTTTCGAGAAGAAGAGCAGCGTGAGCCGGTCATGTTTTTGAGCAAATTCGGCAATTCAACAAAGGAACTGTACGGCTTTTGTTTTTGTTGAGGGTTTCCCGAGTATAAACACCACAAGAGTTGCTGTTGTACCCCCTACCTTGAACTCAACCTCCTTGACAACCCGTGTCTGCATCGGCTCAATAAATTTGATTATTCAGTCCATTTTCCCCGTTATTTTTTTTTTTTTCCTTTTTGGTTGTTCATCCCTTTTCTCGAAATCCAAACTTTGACCATGACGACCATTTCGCATCCCGTGTTTGAACGTGCAGTGAATGGCAAGGACATGACTGCCATCGGCGAGCTGTTTGCGGTCAATGCCGACGACGTTGCCCAGCACACCGAGTCCATTCTGGCCGGCATCAGCGCCAAGGTCGACTCGGAGGCGTACGGCTCCGACGCCGGCGAGAAGACGTGCATCGAGAGCTCTGTCTCTGCCTTCATGGTTGCCGCCCGCAATGTGAGTTGAGCCACAGGGGGAGCCACAGCACTAGCAAATCCACAATGATGGAAAATCCAATGAAACCAAAAAAAAAAAAAAAAAAAAAAAAAAAAAAAAAAAAACGTTTCTTTGTTGTGTGGTTTGGGAGCATGAGTTTGGAACAAAAGTGCTCGCAGAAGAAGGGTGTGCTGCAAAGTGTTGTTGGACGTGTGGCTGTCTGCGATTCGAGAGTGACTGAAGCGAAAGGACCAGCTGAAAGCATTGGAAGAAGCGGGGGAAAAGGCCTTGGAATGAGAGTATGTTGTGGTTTTTTTTTTTTTTTTTTTTTTTGGATTGAGCGAACCCTTGTGAGAACCAGTAGCGAGTGACTTGCGTTTTAACAAACGGAATCCGTACTAAAGTTCACTGCCCGTGCTCAGCGTTTCCTACACTCCACCTCGTTTGATTTTTTATTTTATTTTTTTTTAATCGGTTCGCTCCTTCCTGCGTGCCACTCTGCATGCCACAATGCTCAACCTTCATTCAATCACAACGACATACTCTTCCTGGCCAAGTCGCCACAGCGGAAGCCCCCAACAGCCTCAACAGCCACTTTGACGTGTGACACATGGATTTTGATCCACATCCGCAAACACCAAAAAAAAAAAAAAAAAAAAAAAAAAAAATCCGGTAAAAAATCTGATAAAAATAAAAATTAAATAAAATAAAAATAATTCTAAAAATCTGAAAATCGTCGTGTCTGACTTGTTTCCTTACTTGCTTTGCTTGCTTTGTTTGTTATGGAATAGGCTGAGGATTTGCTGATTGACAACATTGAGCACTTTGTCGCGCTCATCGAGGTCTTGCTCAAGTACAACCTCGAGTCCGGCAAGCCCCATGCAGAGCTCCTCAAGAACGTCCTCTACATCCTGCAGAGCGTAAGCAACCTCGAACTCGTTATGGAAGTGGCCTGATGCGGAATGCTCACGTTCCACCTGCATCGCTGTAGCAATACTCCAAGGCCAAGATCATCCAAAAGTCGCTTGCCACCGTCATCAAGGTGCCCGCCAAGGGCCGCGACGATGGCCTCAACCAGACGGTTGCGGGCATGTTTGCCATGACCACCATTGTTGGCGGAAAGATCTTTGTGCCGTACGTCTCGACGGTCATCAACCTGGTCCTGACCAACCCGGCCAACCAACGCTCGAGCTTCCTCACCGTCCTCAACAACGTCTACCCGTTCGCGCGCGAGGAGGTCCATCCTTTTGTCCCCAAGCTGGTCAAGATCTTTGATTCCGGCGACATGGGCAGCAGTGTCACCGCTCTGCAAATTTTGAGCGCCGTTGCCAAGAAGAACCCCGAAGTAAGAAAGTGCAACCTGCTGGACTTTCTTCCAAACAATTTCTCTCACTCTTCTCTCTCTCTCTCTCTCTCTCTCTCTCTCTCTCTCTCTCTCTCTCTCTCTCTCTCTCTCTCTCTCTCTCTCTCTCTCTCTCTCTCTCGCTCTCTCTCTCTCTCTCTATCTATCTCTCTCTCTCTCTCTCTCTCTCTCTCTTTCTCTCTCGTGGTCCTATTTCTCACCATTTGACGTGTGTTTGATGTTGATTTTGTTGATGTTGTTGTTCCTGCTGTTCTCCAGCTGCTTGAAAAGTTCATTGACGACTTTGTCCCCGCCCTCAGCTCGCCAATGTCGGGCGCAATGGCCATCATGATGCTGGTTGACCTGGCTGTTGCCTACCCTGACCACTTCGTCAAGCACCTCGACGACATCAAGGCATCCGTGAGCACCAACCAAACGTTCATCTACAATGCTCCCAAGATTATTGGAGCTGTCGGCCGTTCGTCCGAGGAGCGAGCTCGCCAGAGCATGGAAACGCTGTTCGAGTGGCTCAAGACATCGCCCGACCAGAATGCGGTGCCGCTGCTCATGCTGGAGATCAAGAACGTTGCTGGCGCCTTCAAGGCGTCCTTGACCCCGTACCTTGATTTCATGCAAGAGTACATCAAGTCGACTCCTAACGAGTCTACGCGCACGGTCGGCCAGAGCATTTTGGATGCCTACCACGACCGCACGCTCGAAAACCTCGGCAACCAGGTCGTCGCCACCGACGCCAAGATTGAGGTCGTTGTCAAGGACACCCAGGAGGTCAAGGCCAAGGTCGAGGAGGTGGAGAAGCGCGTCCTCACTCTCGAAGAAGAGCTCAAGGAGATTGACCTGTTCGTTCAAGACCACATCAGCGAGCTCAAGGAGTTTGTTGCTGGCATTGTCAAGAAGCTTCCTATTCCGATGAACTTTACGACTGAGGGTACGAGCCGCATGATGAGTTGTTTGTTTGGGTGGTTGTTGCTCGTCCAGCGCTCTCACTTGATTGTTGTTTCTGGATTTTGTTTGTTTGTTTTTCGACGCGGCAGACCGCTTCCTGAAGATTCAGAAGGTTCTCGTGCTGCACTTTGAGTGCGCTTGCAAGAGCCCCCACTGCCAGTTCAGCAAGGGCAAGACTTTCCGCACCGAGACCAAGGTCATTAACAAGTGGATCAAGGTCGCTTTCTCTGCGATTCAGGTCGGCAAGGCCATTTGGGACAAGGATGTTGGGTGAGTTTTGGATTTGTGTGGATTTGTTTTGTGTTGGAGGGTGTTTCGGGTTGCTCACTGTCCTTGATCAACCCTTGTCAGTGCCGTGGTCGAAGGCCTTCGATCCGTCTATGAGATTGGCAAGTCTCAGTACGACACTAGCTTCCAGACTTTCATTACCGAGCCGTTCTTGACGTCGAGTGAGTCGGATGAGCTGATCAACCAGCTTCGCGATGCCAAGTTCTTTGAGGCCTTCGAGTACGACGCCCAACTCGGCAACTGGGTCTGCCACCCCTGCGCTCACCCACCGGCACCGGTCGCCGAGCCCGCTGCCGTTGCGGTCGTGGCTTCTCCTGTCGCTGCTGGTAAGCGGTTGTTGTGTTCTGTCAAGTTTTTGAATTCCGTCGGATTTTTAACGTTTTGTGTTGTGCTGTGTGGCTAGCTCCTGAAGCCGCCTCGAGCTCTGCTGCCGAGCCAGCAGCGACACCTGCTGCTGCGACGCCTGCTGCTGCGACGCCCGCTGCTGCGACTCCAGTGGCTGCTCCCCCGGCCATCCTCGAGGGTGTCCTCCACAAGCGCGGTGGCAAGATTGTGCGCCAATGGCAGGCCCGCAACTTCAAGCTCACTGAAAAGACCCTGGAGTACCGCCTGATTGGCAAGGTACGTCATTGGCGGGGCGAAATGGTGTTGATGGTCGAAACAATGGAAGAAGAACGTGCATGACTAAACGACTGTCACTTTTTTTTCCGTTTTCTGCTTTTGCTTGCTTGTAGGACGGACTTCGCGGTTCGATCGAGCTTAGCGCAGTCACTGCCGCCGAACTGGTGCCAGTTGCCAACATCAAGCGTCCTCACACGTTCAGCCTTGTCACATCGCTGAAGACGTACCACATCTCTGCAGACTCGGACGAGACTGCGACCAAGTGGCAGACCGCCATTGCTGGCTTGATCAACCGTTCCTAAGTTGTTGGGTTTGGTTTCGAGATCGTGCATTTTCGTTTGTTGTTCTTTTTTTTTTCTTTTTTTTCTGTGTTGACATGCTTGCCATCATTCAATAAAGTCTTGCAGTTGGTTGTTTTCTTCGCTGATGGTGGAGATCGTGTAGATGATGTCTCTCAATCCTATTCTTTGGCTTCCAGGCCTAGGTGAACGATCGATGTCTTCTATTCTTCTGAGAAGCGTTGAGCAGCAAGCTCCAGGGTTGAAACTAAATTCCCATGTGCCTTCCTCCTCTTCCTCTTTGTTTCTCTCCTTGTCCTTCTTTTTGCATCAATCGTTATTCATATGAGGATGAACGCCATGCAAGATCCGAGCTGCTCAGTCTCCTCTTTCCACCGTTGTTTCAAGTGAGTTTGTATTTATTTTATTTTTTATCATTGTATTCATTCAACTCTTTCTCGTCTCTTCTCGCTTGCTTGCTTCGCTCTGGCGCTCCCTTCTTGCCAGTCGCTTCCTCTTCGACTTTTATCACTGTTGCTCTGCTCTCCGATGACCAGCACGAGAGAGGGGGCTCTGTTCGTTGCCTCCACTCGCTAGGCTTGTTTCATTATTTTTTTTTTATTTGGTTTCATTCCTGCGGCATACAATGGTGGTGGTGGAGAACAAAGGCGATCGAAACCACTCATCCATGCGTGTCCAGTCTGTGAATGCTCCCTTCTTAATTGTTGATCTACTATATTGTTGGCAGTGGGAGTCCGTCGATGCCAATGCCGGGATGAAACGACTGAAGAAGGGTCATGTCTGTGGTCTGTGGGCTGAATCCCCACCAAAACCGCACGCTCTGCAGTGTGTCACTCCATCTCACACTTGCCCACACTCGCTCACACTCACAAAATCGCATTCTCATGTTGCATTATAGGAGTGTGCTTAACATTCTCGGGGGGGGGGTTGTCGCTTTGCACCAGCGCACATCACCGCGTCGGTCGCTGTCTCACATTGTTTGACCCGTTTCCTCATTCTCCCGCCCCTTCCTTTTGCTCCTTCCTTCTGGTGTCTCTGCCACTGTTTCACTCTTCCCAAGTCTCACTTGACTCTCATTCTCCTTTCTCAATGAGAGAGCATCGCTGTCGATCGTTCTCTCTTCTCTGCCCTTCTTTTCCCGCTCTTTCCATCTCTCTCTCGCTCTTCCCGCCCACCCCCACACCCCCCAAACACCGCTCACAATCATCTTCCATCTTCCCTCTTCTTCTTCATCATCATTTCATCCGTTGTTTCAACTCCCCAAGGGACTCCCCTGTCTCTCTCCTTCTCTCCAATGCTCATTCAATACCGCTCACGCGTGGCTGAATTTTGAGGATGGGGTTTTTTTTTTTTTTTTTTTTTCATTCCGACTTTTGACGCACTTGTTTCGAGTTTTTTTTTCTTACTTTTCATTCTTACTTTTTGCTCTCTTTTTTTTTCTTGCTTTGACTGAACTTTGACTCCAATGTATGAGGAATGAACAATCCAGTCCATTCAATGAATGTGCATTGACGCTGGGAGTTGGATGTCCAAGGTTGGAACTGAGGAATGGAGGAATTGGGGGGACATTCTACTGGAATCTGCATCACCCGGCATGTCGCCACGGACACTGTGCAGCTATGGTTGAACCAAATGCAACTGGTGATGTACTGACTTAATTGTGCGGATTGATCTGCCTATCGCTCTTGTCAGCGCATAGGAGCTACTTTTGAAGTTAGAGAAACCGCACTCATCCTCAATCAATCCTCAATCAATTCATCGTCAAGCTCAAAAGCACACGAGGCAAACAACGAGCCGACCTGGAGTCAACCGCATCATGTCGAGGACTAGGTCGGGTCTGGTCGTGCTACTCTTGCTGGCGGCGCTGTGCTGCCAACACGCTACCGCTCAGTCGTCTCAGACTCTGATGCTCTACAACCTGGGCCTGGTCCCTTCGGATCCGTCCGCGCTTGTCGTCAACACGACGCAGTTTTATGCAACAGTGTGCATTCGCGACGCTACAGTCAATCCTTCCGATTGCGCCCAAACCACCACAACCCCCGTGTTCACGGTCCCTGAGACCGGCTCCATCTCTCCGCCTTCCGTTGTTTACAGCAATCCGAGCGCTGTGCTTGTAAGTTGGAGAGGACCGCGTGTGACTGTTGTGCCCAAATGTCATCATACTCACGCTCACCTTTTCCGCAGACGCCGTACAATTTCGATGTTTACGTATACCGCGTTGCTGACGCCGTGCTGGCACCAGACCAGCTGGTCGCCTTCCTCCACCGTGAAAACTCGGTGATGGTGTGGGGCCAAACCGACGAGTTTGGCGGCAGCGCGACCCCTTCGGCCATGCCGCAATCCATTGCTCCGTCACCCACAGCTGGAGCAGCTTCAGCCACCACCTGGACCAGCACCATTAGCTACAACATTCAGATTGCGTGTACGAGCGATCACTATGGACCTTTTTGCAACATTTCGTGCTCGCCCGCCATCACTTGCAGTGGCAGCGGCTCGTGTGTGTCGGAGACTGGCGCGTGTGCTTGCGACAGCGGCACGTACGGCTCGGATTGCAGCATGACATGCACTTGTGTTCATGGCACTTGTGACGAGACCAGTCTGGATGGCTCTTGTGTCGCTGGCTCCTGCGAGGCTGGTTTCGAAGGCCCGCTTTGCGATCAGGGTAGGTTGTGGTGCGACGTTGTTGATGGAGTTTTGGCGAATCTGCTTCTCGCGGGTGCTTTTTCGTCATGCTCACGAGGGGAAATTTGTCTTCTTTGGATGTGCTTTTGTTCAGAAATGGTGACTTCTTCTTCCACAGATTCTCAAAGTTCAACCGTTGCAGAGGAGCCTTCCACAACGACTTTCGTTGCCAGCGAAACTCCCTCAGCAGAAGTCTCTTCAACTGAGCTGCTCTCGAACACCCCATCAGTCACTCCAGACTACTCCTCGAACACTCCGTCAGTCACTCCAGACTACTCGTCACACACCCCGTCAGTCACGCCAGAATTTACGATGCCAACCGACATTGTTTCAAGTCAATCTGTAGTTAGTATGCCCGGCCCCTCGCAGGCGGTGTCATCGAGTGATCTGGCCTCAGACACTACCACTGCTCAAGAGTCGGAACCCGTCTCATCCACAGCTCTGGAGGCCGCGTCGTCGACCTCCGTCGAAGCCCAAACAGCAGCAGCCTCCTCGCCTGCCGGAACAACATCTGCTCCTTCGCACAGCACTGGTGCACCAGCGCCAGACTCGGGCAGCAGCAGCAGCTCGCTGGGAGCAATCATTGGTGCGGTGGTTGGTGGCGTGTTTGGCATTCTGCTGATTGTGTTTGTGGTCGTGTGTCTGTGCCGTGGACGTCATACGGGCGTGCGTTGGGGATCGGTGCGCAAGCATCCTGCCAGCCGGGACGTGGAGATGGCCGCGCGCAGCAACAGCTCGACCAGCATCCTTACCAGCGTCAATGGCAATGGCAGTGGCAATGGCACTCCCAGCGAAACACGCGTGGCCTCGTCGGGCATTGAGGAGGTGAACGCTTCCCGAAACGGCACTGCCAAGAGAACGATGCGTGGAAGCGGCTCGATTGGCGCAAAGTCCACACTCACGCGTGCTTTTGCCGCTTCTGCCGCGGCCGGTGGAACTCGCGGACATCAAGCTTCTACGGGTACGCTGTCTGCCGCCAGTGGTAGTGCCATGCTCAGCCCGGCCGCGCGCGAAATTGAAGCTGCAGGCGGCGCTCGCATCACGCTTCCTGCTGGGTTGCAAGAGTTGCTGTACGACTCCAACGACATTGCTCTCCGAGGCGAAATTGGCACGTGCCAGTTTGGCCGCATTTTCCATGCCGATCCGGCCATCGTCGCGTCCTCCACCACCGACACGAGCAAAGAACCGCCTCGAAAAGCCGCACTCCTGCTCTCGGGGTACTCTACTCCGGTTTTGCTCGTGCAAAAGCTGCTTGAGGATGTGGCCGTTTTGAGCAAGTGCGATCACGAAAATATTGTTCGCATCTCTGCGATTTGGCTTCCTCCCCACCTCCCTCTGTCGGCGGCTGTGATTTTCGAGCGCAGTCCCTTCGGCAACCTCCGCCAAGTCTTGCATCGCTTGGCCGCCACGTCGTCCAACCCAGCAGCATGCATCCAGCCCGAACTGGAGCCTGACACGGCTGCTGGCGGGGCGCGTCCTTCCGCACTCGCTGCCTTTGGCTCTGCGCAAGACCCGCTCAAGTGGCCCACGCCCCTGAGTCCCGCTCTGGTCACGCACATTGCGTTGCAAATCACCGAGGCGCTTGCGCATCTGTCATCTCGCGGGCTAGTGCACGGGCGTCTGTCTTGCCGAGCGGTGCATGTGTTTAGCTACAGCACCGTCAAGCTTGGCATGGTAGAGATGGACCCCGTCGTCCCAGGCGATCAAGAGACCGCCGCTGGCATGGTGTTATTGCGCACAAAGATTCCCACCAGTCCCGCTGGCGATGTTTGGCGCTTTGGCTACCTCCTGCACGAACTCGTCACTTGCGGCGAGCTCGGCACGTTTGGCGGTTGCCCCAGCGACGCGACGGTTGTTGGAATGCTCCTTCCAGGGCGCACTTCGCCCTTGCAACGGCCGCCGCATTGCTCGACTGAAATGTACGTTTTGCTGCGATAATTGTTGCATTTGTTTGGACAACAGGAGGGTCGCTCACTTGTCTCTGGCTGTAGCTTTGCGATGATGACAGACTGCCTCGCCCTTGGCTCGCCCGAGCAGCCGACATTTGCACACCTTGCGAACACGCTTCGGCGACTCGACAAACCGTCTCTCTCAGCCGAAAATTCCATGGTCTCTATTTGTTAGTTAGCGATCAATTGTATTTTTTTTTCAACAAAAACAAAAAAGCAAAAATCACACATCCGAATCCAGCAACAACAACAAAAATCCTTTCAACATGAGCCAGGATGGTCAACATCAAAACAACAGAACACACAATCGAAAACTAGCACACCAACGACGGAAACATTGCAACAAATCCATAGCAATCAGTCCAGAAACGAAAAAGCTGCCAGCAGCGTGTTTAGCGTGATTGCCAGTTTGCAAATAAGTCGGCCGAGAACTTTACAAGAATCTGCATCACATTGGAAGCAACTTCCGTTTGATCCTCTGTGCTTGACCCGGTAGATGGCATTGTCTGATGCAAAAGGAACACAGGAAATGGGCAAAATCAGTCAGTCCATCAGAGCATGCTTCAGGAAAGCACCAAAAAAAAAGGAAACAAAAAAAACAAAAGCAACGACACCATAACCTACCACAATGCCAAACACCGCAGGAGCAAACGTATCGCCCAGCTTTTTGAGCGAGGCCGGGACAAGTTGAACAACAGATTGCAACACACAGCACGTGTAGGCAAGCGTCATAAAGTTGAGCTTGGGCACCCTGGCGAGGCATTCCACAAAGTGCTCGCGGGCTTTGCTCTCACGCCATTGGTCAGCTGCGATGTCTGCCGCGTTAATCACTTGCCCAGTCTCGACAATGTCCAGCTGCAGCTGTGTGGCGAGCGCCGTAGGCATTCTCGCAAAGAAGAGGACCATGGCGCCCAAAATTGTCTGTGACAGCAAAAACAAATCGAAAATGCAAAGGTTGGTCAGCACCACAACGGCCAATCCGATATTGAACAGCGCCCATCTTCATTTTTTCTGGACGAAACGACTCACCTCGAGCGAAATGTCTTCCAGCTCGATGAATTTGGCATCCTTGCTGCGCTCGTACTGATACTTGAAATTCTGCACAAGCTTGTCGAACGCGGCGCTGTCGTTCATGTCCGTCATCACGGCCGAGGTAACTTCTTCCAGCGGAGCTTGTTTCAGGAGCACGGAAATGTACGCACCGCAAGTCTCGATAAAACGCGGAACCAGCAATTTCTCCCGGATGAGCAGCTCCTGGAGGTCGACGCCAAAGCATTTCTGCTTCTTGCGCACGGTGGAAAAGCGCTTGTGCAAGTCGTTGAGATCGGCCGAATGCGAAGGAGCGGGCTTGACCGCAGTTGCGCCAAGCTGAGCATCGTCCAGGCTGGAAGTGGAAGTTTTCGATGCCGAGTCATTCGAAACGCCTGAAGAACCTGTTGACTTGAGCTGGCGCGCCTTTTCGACGGCGTGGCGGGTATCGCCACCGTCGCTGCTCGAGCGTTGCAGCTTCTTCTTGCCCTCGAGGGACTCGCGCAGTTTCTGACGTTGCGCCGTTTCGCCATCCAGAGCTGTCGCGCTGGCTGGATTGGTGATTGACTTGGACGCAGACTTTGACCACGACCCACTGCCTTCCGACTTGCCATCGAATGTCTGCCGGGCTGTTTTGGTCGGGTCGTACTCTGAATACGCCTGCTGGTTGTAGAAATCAATCAAGCTGCCGGGAGTGGTCAAGTCGCTCGAAGACAATGACGATCCGGGTGCGCGCTTGCGGTACAACAGAGGGGCGCCATCATTCGCAGAGCGGCGGGCAATCACGCCATCCATGCGACCGCGATTATGCACTTCGGGTACAATCAGGGCCACGGCTTCTTTGAGCAGCTGGAACTTTGCAGGGAGTGTGCCGACAGCCTGTGTGAGAGGATTGAGGGAAGAGGCAAAGTTTGAAATTAGAGCGCGCGACAAAACTTTACAATCTTCTGCCTCGCAAAACACAAAAGCTCTCTCCTCACCTGGCCATCCGACTCAATCGTCAGGCGATCGGCGTCGCGGGTCGACATGCTTTCCACAACGACCTCAGAGCCAAAGAAAAGGTGCCGGTTCTTGTTGTTGATGTGCTGCCCGGAGCGGATGAGATGCGACAGCCGCGCGCTCTCCATCAGGCCAATGTCCTCGAGAAGGACGATATCAAACAGGCCATCCGTGAGGTTGGCCGAGGGCGCAATCTCGTAACCTCCGCCATACCAGCTGCCGTTGCAAATGGCGAGCTCGAAGAGATTGCACGGAATCCACGAGCTTTGGTCGATGCGCACGCGAACGGGCTTGTTCTTTTGCTTGAAGCTGGCTTGGAAGAAACCCGGCTTGGCCTTGGCCTTGTCTCCTCCAGCGGCAACCATGCTGTTGACGCCAAGGGAGCAAATGTTGGTAAAGTAGCGACTCGAGCTAAACTCTTTGCCATCCTCGGGCGTTGAATGCACCAAGCCGCAGTCAATTTCAATGGTATAGCCGCCGTTGATGACATCGAGTGCCTCGAGAGGATCGAGCGAAAGGTTGAGCGACTTGACCAGGTCATCGCCGCTGCCCATCGGCAAAATGCCAAGGACTACGTGACGAGCAAGACCGCCATACTTCATGTATGCGTCCACAACTTCGTTAAAGGTGCCATCGCCGCCCACAGTCACAATAACGTTAAATCCCGCCTGCATTGCCTCCTTGGCCATCACTGACGCCTCGCCAGAGGCAGTCGTGAGAAACTCGGCCCAGCGACCAGGGAACAGTTCCTCGACACGCGGCTGCCAATAGGTCGATCCGGACACAAACAAAGACAGTTGAATGAATGAGAGAGTGGGTGGGAGGATACAAGTGAGACAGCCAGCGCTTTACCAAAAAAAAAAAAAAAAGCTCACCTTGATCTTCTTGAGCCAGACCTTCTTGGCGCGTCCATTGCGTGCCTTGGGGTTGACGATGAAGGCTACGCGTCGATTAAAGTGCGCTGCGGCGCCGCGTGGCTCAATTGTGAGCGACTCTTGATAGCACCGCTCCTCACTGAGGCTCTCCAGCGCCAGCAACTGCTTTTTCAATTGATCAACCGTATTCAGCAAGTACGGTGTTTCTTGATACTGGAGCATTTCCACGAGGACGCTGGTTGTTTGGATTGGTTGTAGTCAGTGCAATATAATAGCAAAATCAGATGAATCGACCACCACCACCACCACCGCAAAGCTTTGCCCTTACCTGCTGAGCATGCGACGCTTGGAAAAGTTAATCAGACTGCGCTGGTCGTCGCCAACTAGAATCTCGTTGGGGTTGCCGTCGCGAATGAAGGTAAGATCCGTCAGGTAGATGCCAATGTACGGGATACAGGGCGGCTTGACAGCAGCCAGCATGCGACGGTAAATCTTGTAGTTGCCAGCATTGGACGTGAGCTGGCACAGCACATCAAAGACCTTCTTGTGGGTGGCCGGAAGCATTCCCCACGTATTCTTGAGTCGATAAATGGACGAGTTTTGCAATGCAGCAACGATTGCAGTCAGGCCGTTAAAGTTGTTGAGGTGTCGGCAGCACTCGGCAATGTCGATAAACTTGATAAGAGCTTCTTTGCGCGAGTGCAAGCCCTTCTTTGACACAAGCACGCCAGCAACCCAGTTGCTGAGCAGGTTGAAGCGGTTGATGAATGCTGTAATAGTTTCGCATGCCTCGGTCGGCTTACCGCACCCAAGCGACGACAAGTCGCTTTGGGTAATGTTGCGGAACAGCCGAAAGTCAATGATGGTCATCTGCCTGGCAATCTCTTCCGCATCCCAACGCAGAATTTCGGATTCCGTGGAGCCGTTCAGGGGCAGAATCGGATCCGGTGCCAAGGCTGACGAGTAGCGACCGTCGTCGTAGCGAGTGTACGGGTGCGTTTCGCGATAGGAAAAGAGGTTGAGAATGCCCTTGGCGATGAGGAGCAGCGGGCCCTCCAGCGCCATTGCCTCGTTGTTTGTGGACAATTCCGTGTTCTTCTCCACGATGGAAGAGAGCAGCTGCGTGGTGCGGGCTCGCAACGCGGGATCCAACTCAAAGTCGTCGTAGTGCTCGTCCACCCACTTTTTGATGACTTGCAACACGCGGAGGCGGACCGGGATGGCGATTCTTTCGGTAAAGTGTTCGAGCTGGAATGGATGATTGAGTCAATCAATCAACGCACATTCGCATAGAATCAGTGAGTGAGTGTCCAAAAGATCAACACATGTGGCAAGGAATGTCAAAGCCGTGCTGGTCACCCTTTCACCACGCCCCTCGTTCACGTCCAGCCTCCAACAAAACACACACACTCACCAGCGCGGGCTCCTTTGGCTGGGGAATGTCTAAACGCTGGATCAGCAAGTCGAGGAACTGGTCGGGCGTGATGAACGAGCGGTAGGTGAGGAAGAACTCGCGGGCAAAGTTTGGATCGGTGAACTCGTCAAACGTGAGGCGCTCGATGAGTTTTGGCAGTGTGCCCGCCTTGACGCCGGGCTCCTTTTTGCCCGACTCGCCGTCCTCGAACTGGAGCGAGAACTGCGAGTCTGGATGCGCAAACAGGTAGTCGCGATCGAGCGGGGTGTAGCGCAGGACGGCGAGCTCGTTCTCAATCAGTTTTTCAGCCCTGCACGCGCGCAGGTCCTTGGCCTTCCGCTGCAGCTCCTCCAGCTTTTGCTGCAGCTCGAGCGGCGGGTCGTAGAGCTTTTCGTACTCGAGGGCGGTTGCGTGAATCTCGGCGTCGAGCTTCTCGATGAGGTGCGCAACGTCCTCGGCAGTGAGCTTGCCCACATTCATGCGGACCTGCAGCTCCGACCGCGAGCGAGACGAGGACGACTCTGCCGCGCCGTGCACGTCGACCTTGGAGATGAGCTGCCCGCGCTTGGCTGCAGACAGCGTTGGGAGAAGACTCGCCATCGACGTGCTGCTCTCAGAGCTCATCTGCGACAGCTTGCGGTCGGGGTAGCCCAGCCCGGAGCTGTCGGAAGACGAAAGCGACATTGTCGGGGAAACTGGGCCGAGGCTGACCTGGCTTGGGCGCTGCTGCTGCTGCTGCTGTTGCTGCTGGCTGCTTGGCGATGACGAGATCGATGCGAGGCTGCCCACGGGGTGCTGCGCGTAGAGTGTGGCGGGCAGCGACGCCTCGCTCGTCAGCGACGGATTCCGGCTGGGCTGCAGATTGCCTGGTGCTGAACTCGGCGCAGTCGGCGCCATCGCATTCGACGCCATTTCTTCCCCTTGTCTTTTGTTTGGCTGGTGATGCGGTGGGGGGGGGGGTGTTAGTGTGATGCTTGGTTTTAGTGTCGAGCGCTGGTTGGGTTGTGTGTGTGTGTTGCAGGAGGAGGAAGGGGGAGTGCTTTGCTAGGGTGAAGGTGAGGTTGTGCAAGGTTTAAAATTGAAAAAAAAAAAAAAAAGGAAACAAAACAAAATAAAAATCAAAAAAAACAATGAATAAGCCATAACAATTGAAAATCAGCAAAAAGGGGATGAACGAATACCTTAAAATTCAGGATTCAGATGCTTTGGGAAATGGGAACAGTGTGAAAAGAGAGGGGGGGGGGGCGGCAAAGCTTGAAGAGCGAGAAGGGTGAATTCATGGAGAGCGAATAAAGAACGGACTGCGCAAGTCATCGTTCGCAGATTCATGGATTTTCTTTACTGTATCTCATGTCAACAAAGGGTTGTACTTTCCAATGCTGCTGATCACTCTTCGCCTTTGAAAAGAAAAACAACAACAACATTAACAACATCAACAACAACAACAACAAACCTGGAATCGCATGAAAAGACGAAACCATGGGAAACAAACACAGGTGTGGCAAGGATGCACGAGTAGAGTGAAGAACGAGTATCAAACATCGTCCGCTTGTCATCAAGGATTCAATTGAACAAGAATGCTGCCAAAGGACGGGCGATCGTCACTTTCATCGGCAAGACACTCGAGGGCAAGAGCGACAATCTCGCTGACGCTCTGATGCTCGGCTTCGGTTGGATTGAGGGTCGAGTCCAGCATGCCAGGAATGGATTTGTTTGTCACCGCTTTCCGCGCCTTTGATTTCAGCTTGGTGCCAGGCTTCTCCGCAGTCACCAATTCCAGTAGAATCATGCCAAAGGCGTAGACATCCGTCTTGAGGGTCATGCGGCCTTCCTCAAAGAACTCGGGACACATGTAAGGAGCTGTACCTTGCATGCTATGAGTGCGAAGGTAGCTCTGCTCATCGAGATGCTCAGCAGCACGAACCAAACCAAAATCAGACACTTTCGCGTTGAAATGCGCGTCCAACAGCACATTGGCCGTCTTGAGGTCGAGGTGGAACAGTGCATGGTCAGGGAAGGCGGTTTGGACGTAGTGCATGCCGCGAGAGACATCAGCCGCAATCCGATGGCGCTGAGACCAGGTCAGAGAAGGAGTGTTGTTTTTGCGACTCAAGCGATCGCGAACAGAACCGTTTGGCATGAATTCGTAGACCAGGCATCGCTCGTCGCCTTCTTCCGCATACGACAGGATGGCAATGATGTTGGGGTGGCGGAATTTCGACAAGGAGTCCAGTTCCGACTTGAATTCAACATTGCCTTGCTTCGATTCGGGGGACATCTTTTTGATGGCAACACGAGGGCCAGGCAGACATGCGCCATACACGCGACCAAATGCTCCTTCGCCGAGCAGAGAGTCGGCAGCAAAATTGTTCGTGACGGTGACAAGAGTGGCGAGAGGAACTTGCGAGATGGGTCCATCGGGTTGATTGCGCTCAAACAGGTCAATCCGATCAAGAGCTGATTTCAGTTCAAGATCCTTGGCAGCGAGCTTCTGCTCGTTGACAGCGAGAACGGAGCGAAACTGTTGCAGCTCCTGCTCCTTGGCAGCGAGCTTGGAACGCAATTGCAAAAGCTCAATTGTAGCATTCGCTGCAGCACGGGCCGCACTCTGAAAATGGGCAGGCGATGGAACAAGCTGGCTGTCAAGACGACCATAACCGGGGTCACTATTATACCAACGTAAAGTGCGGGGCTGGTTGTTAAGTTGGTGCTTCATGCAAGAATCCAATGAACAAGCAGTCTTACTCAAAGTGACAAATGGCATTGCCAGTTTGCTTGAGGGCTGTGATGCCAGCCTTGGTTAGGAAATTGTTGCTCAAACTGTTGTTGTCGATATATCGTCAGATTGCAGCATGAGTCTAACGACAGGCAAACCAGCTTGAAGCAATCTAATACTTACAAAAGGTTAGCCAGCGTCTTGTTCACTTTGAGTGCCTCGGCAATCGCCTGCGCTCCAGCATCGCCAATCTGATTCGCACCCAAACTGCCCATCCCCATCAGTGAGCCATTCTTACCGTCCTCTGCCGGATCACCCACTCACATGCATCAGTCGAAGTGAGATGCCTTACTTGAGCCAAGTCAGCGTCGTGTTCCCTTTGAGTGTCTCAGCAATCGCGTGCGCTTCAGCATCGCCAATCATATTCTCCTCCAAACTGCCCAGCAGTGAGCACTCCAAATACCCTCTAATGAAATCGTCCACTCGCATGCATCAGTCAAAGTAAGCTCACTTACTCGAGAGAACTAAGCGTCGTGTTCACTTGAAGTGCTTCAAAAATCGCCTGCGCTCCAGCCCAGCCAATCTGATTCTTGAACAAACTGTCCATCAGTGAGCACATTGAATCCCCGCGGCTGAAACAATCCCATATGCCAGTTACTCTGAGATGCCTTACTTGAGCTTAGTCAACGTCGTGTTCACCTTGAATGCCTCAGCAAACGCCTGAGCTCCAGCATCGCCAACCTGACCATACCACAAACTGTCGGGTCCCACCGTCAGTGAGTACTCTGCACACCCTCTGTTGAAATCACCCACTCACATGCATCAATCACAGCGAGATGACTCACTAGAGCTCAGTCAGCGTCGTGTTCACTTTGAGAGCCTCGGCCATCGCCTGCGCTCCAGCATCGCCAATCTGATTCGTACGAAACCTGGTCATCTCGTCAGTACATGCTCTGCCACCGTGCTCCAGTAAACGTGGGTGCTTTCTTACTCGAGCTCTCCACTCGCATTCTTGACTTTGTCATACCACTGGCGCTGACTCGCAGTCATGCTCTCATACGACAGCATGGCGAATTCAACACAGCTAAACCACAAAGACTGTCCCTTTCCAAAAAAGGGGGGAAAACACCTCAAAGCGATCCATTTTCGCAAAAACTCTTGTATCTTCAGCTCCGTGTTTGGCATTCATGCTCATCGTCGTTGAGCAAAGGTGGCGGGAGGACTGAACGTGCATTGGATTTTCGCGTGGAAAGCACAAAGGTATTCTCGCACGCCATTGGCCGCGGCATCAACGGCACCATAGCTGAAGGCATGCAATACATGTGTGCAAAACGAAGCGATCAGAAAAGACACTTGTCACTCCTGGGCTTTTGTAAAAGGTACATTTGCCAGCAAACAGCTAGTTTATGCACAATTGGTACACCTGAATCATCGGCATCCGCCCTATCGAAGCTTCAACAAGTCCAGAATCACCGCCATGACAGTGTACATGCGATTCTCAGCCTCGTCCCAGACGAGAGAGCGCGGCGAACGGAAAACCTCGTCGGAAACTTCCTCCGGCTTGCGAGGCAAGCAATGCAAAAACTTCCAGTCGGGTGAGGCGTGCTTGAGCAGCTCGTTGGTCACTTGAAACCCTGCGAACGAGCGGAGACGTTCCTCCTTTTGCGCCTCGTCGCCCATACTGATCTATTTTTATGGGATGTTGCGCCAAAGTGCAGATATCCATGCAGCGAGCGCAAAGACAAGTGAGACTCTTAAAGTTCCCTTCATGTGCATCCACGACATTCATACCCAGGTGTCTGTGACAATCACGTTCGCGCCTTTCACGGCCTCGCGCGGATTGTTTGTGAGCTCTACACGAGTGCCATACCTGGGAGCAAAAGTAGTTCACACAAAGTGAGTACTCCTCACAACATACAAGAGGAAAACAATTTCCGCTGTTTCTCTCCGAGCCATACCGAGCAGCATCCGCTTGAGCCTCCTTCACAATGGTCGCGTTTGGCAGGTAGCCAGGCGGAGTAGCAACGCTAATGTGCATTTGCATTTTGGGCGCCGTCTCCAGCAGCGAATGCAGCACATTGTTGCCATCGCCGACCCAAGCGATTTTCAGGCCCTTTGTAACAGGAAAGTGTTGCTGAATTGTCAACAAGTCGGCGAGCGCCTGGAGCGGGTGGTGCAGATCTGAGAGGCCGTTGATGATTGGTACTGTCGAGTGCTTGGCCAGCTCCTGTCAAATTTGTGTTTTGCAGTGAGAAAACTGCATTGCATTGAACCAGAGCACCCCTCCCCAGGGTGCATACCTCGACATCTGAGTGTTTGAAGACGCGAGCAAGCACAACATCATGGAACCTGCTCAGCACTTGCGCCGTGTCTTGCACCGATTCTGGAAAACGTTGGTCCAGCAAAACGGAGCAAAGAATTAGAGGGTGGCACAAAGCAAGGATCAGCGGCAACGATTCGTATCGCCCGTACCATTCACGCCAAGCTGAATGTCTTCCTTTCCTAGAAACACAGCATGTCCGCCAAGCAGTGCCACGCCAGCCTCGGTGCTGACGCGCGTGCGCGTGCTGCGCTTCTGGAAGATCATTCCCATCGTGCGACCAGACTGTTCCAATTGACAAACGGGGTGAGTGAGTTGACTACCACTTGCACGATTTGCCCCAGCAATGAAAATATGTGTAAATGCTGGATTTCTCAGAATTGTTCCAAACTTCAGAACTTTCATCTTGTTTCTGTTGTTGCTTTGTTCAATCCTTTGTCTTCTGCATTTTTTGTTGTGTTCTCAGCCTCTTGTTTTCTTCTATTGAGGCTTTGGTTGGGCTTTTGTTGGTCGTCGTGGACCTGATAAGGGTAATCCTCCGCTTCGGTGATACGATAACAGCGATTCTGTCATTCGCACCTCGCAAGACCCGATCTCCACCAACACGGCACGATTCGGGGGTGGGGGTTGAGGGGATGGATGTCAGCAATAGGATGGATCTTGTTTTGCGTTTGAGCGTTTACCAGGAGCTGCGGGAGAGACTTGCTGTGGCGCTGCGTGCGGAGAGCGGCAGACGAGGCCAAGAGCGCTTGGAGTGCTTCGGGCGCTGTATGATGTTTGATGATGGGGGAGGGGGTTACCACCAAAAATACAAGCACCATAGAATGCACATGCAAGCGAAAGGGGAACAACAGGGAGGTGAGTTGGATACTGCAATGAGGGGTTTTGCATTGAGGGGGTGTTTTAGAAAGCGAAAAACGCACTGTAGTGGCCGAGACGGAGAAAGTGCTGGAGCGACATTGACAGAGCAAAGAGAGGACTGAATCAAGTTTAATATTATTATTGAGATTGATAACAGGAGAAAGGGGGTGAGGTTGTAAAATGACTGCACTGTGATCAATCGTCTATCCTCCAGCAATCAGCAATGCAAAGCCGCACTCAATTGCTTTTTGCTTCAGAAAACCAACACTGACAATGAAAAGGGGGGAACAAAGCACATAAAACACCTCCTGTTTCATGATTGTTTGATGACGGGATTTTTGTTGATGTTCAAATCTCAGATGCCGGATTAGGAAGGCGCTCTCAGTCCGTTTCTTCAAACCGTTCCGGCCCTGCTTCTGCTGCCCCCAGCATCACAGCGCAACACGGCATACTCTGCAACTCTGCAAGCTCATTCAGCACTCCACAGAACATCCGACCCGACACAATCATGAGCGAAGTGGACTTGGACGATGTCTTTGGCAACATTGACGATATGGTTGCCGGCATGCTCGACTCGAGCGTCTCGACGCCAATTGAGCCGACGCCGCCCGCCCGCGTCGCCGCCGCACCCGTTTTCGCACCGGGCGTCCACGTCGAGCCCAAGGCACCACCGCCCAAGCCAACCACCGCACGCGCCGAGGAGATGGTCAGTTTTGCTGTTTCAAACAAAAACCACAGAACAACACAAATATTCAAAAAAAAAATTCAACAAAAAAAAAAAAAACGAAGGGAATGCTACGGAATTCTACATTCGAACGCCCCTGCTTAGTGAACTCGTTGCTAGCAACTGGGCTTTTGAAGCGTAATTCCTGATACTAAAACTTCACTATGCCAATTTTTTTTTTCAAATTTTTCAGGATCCAAACACACTGGCTGACATTATGGCGTCCGTGTCCAAGATCAGCGACGCCAAGCACAAGGAGGAGGAGCGCCAGAAGCAAGAGGAGCGCAAGGCCGAGGAGGCGCGCAAGCACAGCGCAGCACTCGCTGAAATGGCCAAGCAAGCGCACAACGAAGTCCAGCAAGCCGAGGTAATGGAGTTTGAGGGGGGGATGGTCTCCCACGATTCAACGTGATTCGAGGCAGACAGAGACGTAATACTTGGATGTGACGAGAGGACAATCCGTGCTCTTTGTGCTGATCCTCTTACATTCTACTCACTTTCCTCGATTTCTCCTTGTTTTGTTGATTCGCATTGATAGCGCGCCTCGACGCTCGCCGCCGCTTCCGGAGTGGTCGAAAAGATGACCCAGAGCATCGCGGGCGCTGTCGGACGCCTGGTGGAGGACCTCAAGCTCAAGCAGGGCATGTACGTCGAGCGAACAAAGGAGATTGTCACAGCCTGCGCACCCATCCTCGCCGAGAGCAAGACGCGATCGCAGCTCGTTGTCGACGAGCTGTCCCACAAGAACATTGCTTCGTCGTCGCAAATGCTGTACGACCGTTTGAATCTTCTCGTGAAAGCCGCCAAGGACTGCCGGGCGGACGAAACGGTCGTGGCGCTCCAGACCCTGGCCGCGAGTGGCTTCCAAGTACTGATCGCTGTGAAGGAGTTGCATGCATCGATCATCCAACAGATTTCCGCCGAGTTGGACACGATCAACAAAAAATAAGGCTCTTGCACTTTTTGTTTGGTGTGTTTTGTGGCTCTTTTGTTGTTCCTTTATGGTTAGATTGTTTGGAGCACAGACAATATCAAAGTTTTTATTTTATTGTTTTGATCGCTTGTGCCACGGACTTTTGACTGTGCATTCGTGCATCGAGCAATACTGCACCATAAAAGCACGCATTATGTTCCGTTCGACACACCCCAGCGCAGCCTGAGCTTCTCAAATGCACCCAACCATGCCCCGACGGGCTTGTCACGCAGGGTCGGGACCAGTTCGTTCCAGATTTCACGCGCACGATTCACGGCTGGGCTCGGCATCACAGTCGAGTAAATCAGCTCGTCAACGCCTGCCGCCTGGGCAGCAGCAAATTGAATGAGAGCCATCATCGTGGGGTTGCCACCAAACGCTCCTAAGAAGGGCAATCACATTTGCAACGGGTCAGAACCTTGTTTGGAACGAAACGGCAAAAACCAACAAACCAGAGACGCGCACACGACAGACATACCACAGCCCCAGTTGCCAGTGTTGATGACCACCTTGAAACTCTTTCGATCGGCGGGCTTGCCGAGTCGGAGCCAGGACGAGGCGACGGCTGCCGCAAATCCCGTGTAGGCCGTCAGGAATGAAAAGTTGATCACGGGAAGCGCGTACTCGCCAAAGCCATAGCCTTGGGCGGCAATCGCAATAATGTTGGACATTGTCGGAGGGTTGAGGACGTGGGTGGCCTGGTCAGAGGAGATAGCAAAGCGCAATCAGCGACAAGATTGTTTGTTATGTGCGACCGCGACAGCACAAAAAAAACTCAGCGAAAAGTCAGCGTTACCTGGACGATGGTCTCGAAGGACGCCGAAGCAAAGGCGTTGCCATACAGGCCACCAGGCGCGGCTGCCGATGGGAAGGTATCCACCACCACTCGACGCTGAACATTCTCGACCAGAATCGGGGTGGGTTGCGTCTCCATGGTGAGGGCCTTCATCTTGGGATTCTTTGAGAGATCGAGGTTTTCGAGCATCTGTCTGACCGACCCAAGAATCGGATGTTCTGTGACTTGCATCTGGACGAGCAGGAGTGTGTGAGACAATTGCAAAAGCGTTTGTTTCAAAACCACAGCATCATCCAACTTACTTCATCCTGGGCGTAGAGACCGCCGCCGTAAAATCCAAAGACATTGGAATCCGCAAAGTTGACATACCAAGGCACGACCGGCTTTCCGTCCTGACTCGTCGTGGGAATGTCGTAAGCAAAGATGCTCGCCGGAAAGCTCATCTCGACGGTTCCAGCGTCCTGCAACAAATCCAAGCAAGTTAGTTTTTGTTGTTGCACCATCGTCAACGAAACGACGCCGTCTGTAGATGCGTTCGCGTTGATTTGAAAGTGGTCGAGTGCTCAACGATGTGAAAGGTTTTGTTTTGATGATCAATTCTGAGACTGAATGTAAGCTGTGCTCACGTCAGCCAATTGTTCACTACACCCTCACTGCGCACCCGCTGTGAGCAACGTACAAAGCCGAGGGTCGCTGGCATCTCGTCGTGGTGTGGAGCCCGCCAGCGGGTGACGCGGACGTCGCCTTCGAACGGCGCGGGATTGGCAATCGACGCCTTTGGGACGAGGGTGCACTCGCCGCTCTCGGACGACAGCTCAAACACGAGCTTCTTGTTGCGAGCCTGGAGACGAGGCGGGCATCGACGAACAAGATCGCGAGCGTTCTCAGAGCACTCGGCGATCAGCAACGCCGCATTGCGAGCCACGGCAGAGGTCATTGAAGCGACAGAATTGAAATTTGACAGGACAAAAAGCAAAAAAACGAGTGATTTGCTCTTCCTTTTTCATTCATTCCTAAAGTTGTGCAGATTCAAACGAAAGGGTTCATAGTTATATTAAAGGCAACATTGGAACAGGAGGAACAGGAGCAGACCCGCATGACTCGCTCAAGCGGAATCACAGGGCTCGAAGCGATCGAGAGAGTACACATCGACCAGCACATTGGGCAAGTTTGCCTGGAGCAAATCGACCAGCTTGTTGAGATCCAGCGTCCCTGGGAGACGAACGCTGGTAGGGTCTAGCAACTGCCCAGCAGTGCTCCTCGTGGCGCGGCTATGCCCTTCGTTCGCGTCAGGAAACAATGCCAGCCACGTATACGGCTCGCGAATGGAAAACGACGCACCATCCTTTGACACCGGTAGTGCGCAAGCCGCTGCCACACGCGTCGCTCTGGACGAAGTCGCATCCGGTCCGAGGGCCAGCGTCGCTGAGGAAAACGGCGGCCCGCCCGTGTCCGCAGCACTGTTATCAAACCGCAACGACCAGTCGTCGTCGGACGAGGGCGCAGCCACGCCCCAATGCAGCGCAGTCAATGCTGACGTTTCCATCTGAACGCAAGCGTTCAAGCAGTTCGTCGCTGACGCCATGTACTCGGACACGGTGTGCCCTCCTGGCTGGACGGATAGAAACGACAGAGACCTCAAGCTGGGTAGGCAGGCACTAAAGCTTCGCGGGAAGCAGAACATGTGCAGCTGTAATTTTTGAAGGCTGTCGGGTACCAACAGAAAAAAAAAGTGAGCATTGAAGACAGGAGGGCGATTGAGTATGGTCAGCGATTCGTACGTACTGTGGAAGATCTTGAAGCGACAGAAAAAGTGAATCGTCGTCCAGCCGACCACCGCCTTCCAGGCTAAGGCTTTCCAACAGACTAAGGCGCGACAGGGACAAAAAGACGCTTGCATCCCATGTCGTGCATTCTCCGAGAGCGAGCGTCCGCAGACTGGTGAGATCGGCCAAAAACCGAAAGTCCTCGGGCCGTGCGCCGACCAGCGGTGCGATTGCCTGTACAATTTGGACAAAGACACAACAGACACAGTCAGCACACCACCTGGCAATTAAAGCCTGCCAAAAAAACGAGGCAGCGTCTTACCAAGACTTCGATATGCTTTAGCAACCCTAAAGCATTCAGTCCACCAGAAAAAGAAAAGGGCGGCAGGGTGAAGGCCTCGTCTCCAATCAAACAAAGTTCACGCAAACCGTCCCAGTTTCCGAATTTTCCGACATCAAGCATGCCAATGGGCGCAGAAATGAAGGAAGTATTAACGGATGAATTGCTGATTGGAGGGCGAGCCTTGGGATTGGGTTGCGAGTTGTGGCGGAAATCGGCTGCGGGTTCGGGGTCTTGATCCTCTTCCAGCCGCTCTTCTAACGTAAAAATAATCCCATCCATGTGCATGACGCGGATGTTGGACAAGTGTGCCGATGCGGCCTCGACAAAGTAGTATGGAACGTGCGAGAGTTTGAGGGTATGTAGTCGAGAACACTGCGCGAGATGCGGAATCAAGGCCTCGAGATTGTCCGAGCGGGGGTCGTGCTCCTGCCACGGGACAGCTTCCAAGGTTAATTGGAGGAGGGTGTTGACGACTCGATCTTTGAAGCGTTGCCAGCTGGTAACGCGAGTGTCCATCAGATTCAGATGAACGCGACGCCACTAGAGAGAGCAGGATGATGCGGAGTGATGGAAGAAGCGAGAGGATTGTGAGCAAAAGAAGGACGAAAGCAGAACGAGCTCACAGTTTGATGCCGACTTACAAAAAACGGCTGCGAGCACAAATCTCGCCAGCTACGACATGTCTGTGCTGCTCGGCACAAATCCACAACAGACAAGAACGAAAATACTTGCATGAGGCAGTCCACGCCGAGGGCTTGGATGTGCGTCTTGAGTGGTTTCGGCGGTGGGTTGCATCGCAATGGAGCTGCCTCGGCCGAATCGGAGGGCGGTCGAGTCCCTCGTTGTCGCTTCGTCCTCTTCCTCCTCCTCCTCTTCCTCCTGGTAGACGAGCTTCTTGAGGTCTTCTTCTTCCCGCCGCGTTGACGGGTTTGGCTGTCGCTGAGGTCGAATAGTTGATTCCCTTTGTCTTCCTCCTCCTCCTCCTCCTCTTCTTCTTCTTCTTCTTCTTCTGCATCTTCATCGTCTTCATCATCGTCTTCATCATCGTCGTCCTCATCTTGATCGCACTCGTACTCGGAACTTTCGCTGTCCGCTTTGAGCAAATTCCTCGCTTCGTTCAACTTCTGATACAGCACGATCGAGTACGAGTTTTCACGCAGCGATGGTCCTCGAGTATGGCATGGCGCCAAGTACTGCAGAAAGTTCTCGTCGTAGGCAATGCCAAACTTGTCAAAGACCTGAATCCACGACAGCTCGGTGGTTGCCTTGTACTCGCGCGCCCAATTGCGCAGCACTGGCCATGGCGCCAACTGCTGCTGCGTCCGATCTTGGTCTGCCGTCTCTTGTTCTTGCGCGGGATTGTGCTCGTCTGGGTCTGGGCGATCGTCTTGTTGGGCCGGGTCTGGGTGTGGGTCTGGGTCTGGGTCTGGGTGAGCTTTGAGCTTTGGGCGATTGGCAGCAGGATGACGATGGACTGGAGCTGGCTTGGCTGGGCTTTGCAATCTGCGCTCTCGTGGCGACGTCCGCCGTTGTGGGGCTACGGGTATCAGCAGCGCGGGACTGACGGTGGCATCCATGTCGTCAGTGCCGGGATTGCTGTGATCGCTGGTGAGCAGCCGCACATCGTCCAGGTCGTCCGATCCCAGTGGCGCCCCTTCCGCCATTCCGTCCTCTGGTTCCATCCAACTGCAACAAAAAAAATCCAAACGCAGCGCGAGTCAAAGTATGGAAAGTGGAGGATTATTGTGGAAACTCCAAGACCGAAAATTCGCGTTGTGTGCGCGAGCGTCAAAAAAAGCGCGCCAAAAATGAAAGGGGGACTGATGCTATGAACAATCTCCATCATCCAAGAACGTTTACCATTTTGCTGCCATACATAAATCATTCTATGCTGAGTGTTGCGAATGAGCTCAGTCGTCTTTATCACAACTGTACTGTTTCGATTTGCTTCTTCAAACCACCATGAATCCACTGCTTCGCAAGGACTCTGTGCTGCCCAACGCGCCGCTGCAACTCGCGTCCAACGCCACCGCCGTCGCCGCTGCTGCTGCGCACCATGCTGCCGGACTGACATCGTACGCACTCACTCCCATCATCCCACCCCGCACCGCCCTCATGAGAACTGATCAGTGGGCTTACGTCTTCACACTATCTTTTTTTTTTTTTTTTTTTTTTTTTTTGGTTTTTGGGGATTTTGTCGTGTCTGACCAATGCCTCTGACTGGCTGTTCGCTGCAGGTCGATTGCACTGGACAATCCGCACGTCGTCAAGCTCGATGTCGATTTCCTGTACCACTTGGGCCTCGACACCAGCATGGACTTTAAGGCCATGTTTGGCGACGTCAAGGTAAGAACGAGGCTGTCCTTCATCGCGCACACAGCAAAAAAAGATTGTTGCGTATGATGACGATGATGATTGTGCATCAGCTGGACGACTATGATAAGGACATCGGAGGTTGTATCGGAGTGGTTGGGAGAGGGGGCAAAGGGGAAGGTGGCCTGACTTATCAGTTCCAGCTGTGCTCGCATTCTCATCTTGTGCTCACCTTGAAACTGCTTCCTTTGACACTAGTTTGTGTGCATGGGTGGAAGCAACAACCGCATGCTGGAGTTTGCCAAGCGCGTCGCAGAGGAGCTGGGCATCACTCTGCCGGTGGGTGCAGCCATTGCCGACGTTTCGCGCACGGATCGGTACTGCCTGTACAAGGTTGGACCTGTGATTTCCGTCAGCGTAAGTGTGCGCGATGACTCCAAACCGTGGTACCACCCTGACGCATTCGAGTGGCTCACCTCGGCTGTGTGTACCAATGATTTTGTCTTCTTTTTCGTTCTTGTTTTACCAGCACGGAATGGGCATCCCATCCATTTCCATTTTGCTGCACGAAATCACAAAGCTGATGCACTACGCGGGTGCCACCGAAGTGATTTACTTGCGCATTGGCAGCTCGGGTGGCATTGGCGTTCCTGCCGGCACGATTGTCATTACGGAAGAAGCGCTTGATGGCGAGCTCAACCCCTTCCACACGCTCAAGGTGCTGGGAAACAAGATCTACCGTGACGCCAAGTTCGATCGCGCTCTCCTTGACGAGATTGCTGCCTGCAAGACACCCGAAATGAACGTCCTTGTTGGCAAGACGATGTGCGCGGAGGACTTTTACGAAGGTGAGAGAGCACTGCGCGTTCGTGTTGGATTTTTTTTTGGTCGGGCGAATGCGTGATACTAACTTGTCACTTCTACAACCCCCCTTGCATCAACCAGGTCAAGCACGCCTTGACGGCGCCATTTGCGAGTATCCCCAGGACGCCAAGTTTGCCTTCTTTAGCAAAGCCCAAGCCAAGGGCGTGGTCAACATGGAGATGGAGTCTCTCGAGTTTGCCGCGTTCACTTGGCACTTGAAGGTGAGTGCAGAGGGGATGGCAACAGTTGTTTGACGAAATTGCAAGATTTGAGCATTTTCTCATTCTTTGATTTTCTTTTTCTGTTTTATTGAGATTGCAGATCCCAGCGGCCGTTCTTTGCGCCACCTACCTCAACCGAATGGAGACTGACCAGGTGTCGTCGCCTCCGCACGTCATCCATGCTTATTCCGAAAACACGCAAAACTTGGCTCTTGCCTTCATGAAGAAGCGATTGGCCTCGTACGCGGCTCGCCCTGCTGCCAAGTAAACCCGAGAGCGACTCTCGCTATGGTTTTTTGGGTGTGCGATATGTTATCGACCCTTTTTATTTGCTGCTTGAGAGACAGAGACGGAAGGCAACGATGGCAAACCAATCTTGCAAGGTGATTTTTTTTTGTATTTTCCAACAATGGTCACTGAACTGCGAAACAAACACAAAACCCCATCATTCTTCCGGCAACTCGTGCATCCAATCGGCAAGTAGGCCCAAAAGACTGGCCTGATTGACGGGCTTTGGCAAGTAGTGGTCCATGCCCGCCGCGAGGCAGAGCTCGGCATCCTCTGGCACGTCGTTGGCTGTGACTGCAATGACGGTGATGTGACGATTCGTGCCATGCTCGCGCGCGCGCAACCGCCTTGTCGCTTCGTAGCCGTCGAGCACTGGCATCTGGCAATCCATCAACACGACATCGTACTCGTGTTCGTCCATCATGTCGAGCGCCTCTTGCCCATTGAATGCCGAGTGGGTTCGGAACCCCAGCTTGTCGAGGATGGTAACAACGACCTTTTGATTGACATTGTTGTCGTCAACGACCAAAATGCGAGCACGCTGCGGGGACGGTCCCATCTTTCGGAGTGCCCTCTGAATAGGATGAGCCGGGCTGGAGCAGGATGGACACTCGACGTCTGGATTTACAGCAGGGACAGGAACAATAGTGCGGGAGGTGGATTCAGGCGGCAAAGAAGTCGATGCTGCCAAAGGCTGCGCTTCATCGGTGGGGTCGGGCGTGAGTGGACCGGAGACCAAGTGTGACCCAGGCTGCATTCCATTCGATGATTCGGCCTGGGCAGTGGCTGAAAAATCCATACTCGGCGCAGGAAGAGTGGTGGACAAACCCTCAGCAGCAGCTCCCTCGATCCGAACCGAATTGTCCTGAACCGCCGCAAGCGGTGATTTGGTGACCACCTCATCGGGCAGAGTCGGTGGTGATGGGAGCGCAAGGTTGAAGGGCAGCACGATCGAAATGGTCGTGCCTTGGTTTTCAACGCTCGAAGCTTGGATGGCACCGTTGAGAAGCTCGATCAACCCTTTGCAGATGGCCAAGCCGCTCCCCATCCCGCCGTACTTGCGATCAGCGGACGAGTCGGCCTGGAAGAAGCGCTCAAACACCCTCGACAACGTGAGCTCGCTCATGCCGATGCCAGTGTCTGTGACTTGTATCCGAATACTGGTCGGGATGGACACTTCAATTTTCGGAGCGGCAGCTTCTTGGGCAGGGTCCTTTGCAGGTTGGTGCGTCTGCTCCTGGGACTCGTCCATGGAATTATAGCGTGCATACGGGATGAACCCCGACGTGGAAGCTTGAGCAACGTCCTCCATTTGTGTTTTGGACGTCATGGGCTGCAGCAGCCGAGCACCTCCACTTTTACTGGCCGCATTCGAGTCCAGCTGTACGTGGACCTGCACCGAACCCTCCGAGGTGAACTTGATGGCGTTTCGCAGGATGCGAGACAGAATCTGCTCGATAAGAGAGCGATCGCTCACCACCATGTCTGGAACATTCTCATCGACTGAAAAGGGCAGAGGCAGCTGCTTGGCTTGTGCGCGCGGCCGAAGTTTGTCGAGTTGCTCCACGAGTACATCGCGCAGCGAAAACCGCGACATCTTGAGCTCGACCTCGTTGGAGTTGATCGTGGACAGGAGGAGAATGTCGTTCACGTTTTCGACGAGCGAAGCGCCAGAGTCCATGAGCATTTGCAGCCATTCGATCTGTTGCTCATCTGTGATCACGTTCGAAAGGCATTGCGCCATGCCCATAATGCCATTGAGTGGGGTTTTCAGCTCGTGCGACATGTTGCACAAAAACCGGTTGTTGGCCACCTTCGCAGCGTTCAACGTCAAGATGGCTTCCTGCTCGACAATCTGTCGCTGTCGCTTGTCCGTTATGTCTTTGATAAATCCGATAAAGCAAAGATCGTTGTCTTGGCGAAAACGCTTAATGGAAATGCGCACCGGAAGCTTGCCAGAGTGCTTGCAAAGCGACTCGGTATCGACATGCGTGTGCAGGAATGGCCCGTCTCCCTCTCTAAGGCACTTGGTCATTCCGTTCCGGTGGCTTTCTCGAGCCTGCTCGGGAATGATGAGATCGCACAGCATGCGACCCACTGCTTCTTGACGGCTCCAACCAAGCATTGTTTCCGCGCTCGGGCTCCACTCGATGATGACCCTAACAAAAGGCCTTTTGTGTTATGATCAGAGATCCTTCCACGAAGATACGAGTAATGGGTTGATGATGAGAGTGATGATAGGGAAACAAGAGACTTCACTTATACAAAGCGACGAGTGAACACACTCCAAATACAGATACACATCAATCCATAACACTCCGCCTTTCTTTCCCCCCCTTTCGAGACATTCCCAAAGCACTAGCGCTTCTTGCGTTTGGCACTTTCCCGAGTAGGCTTGTTCGGGTTAGCCTTATGAAATGCCTCCGTCATTCGATGGTGTTCTCCAAACACCTCCCACGGCTCTACAATAGTCTTCGCTTTGGGCCTACTCTGTCCTTGCTCGCACCAACAACAAGCCAGCACCCATAACTCATTTGCACCACCTTCAACTTACCCGTGCCTGTCGATTATCACGATGGCGTCAAGAGCCCCGGCCAGAACGGCATGGCGCCAGGCTTGGCATTCCAGGTGAATTCCGGGATAGCTCCTGGGAGAGGCCGCCCAGGCTTGAGAGACCAATAGGATGCAGATAACATGTAGGACTGCGAATAAGATGACTAGGGGTGCCAGCAGGTGCATCGCGGCGGGGGCTGAGACGGAATGGGTGTCCTGCTCAAGATGAACGCTGCGCGCGAACCCTTCGGCGTTTATTTCGTCCTGCTGCGAATTGTCGCCGCGCAGCAGCGGACCCGGCGATTCGAGCATGGACTGAAAGAACAGAGATTGAATGGCAATACAAGCGAATGCATGCGCCGTTGCGGAGGCAGCCAGCACAACCGCCACAAACAAGCGACTTTTGAGCATTTCGCAGCCAAAGTGACGCCTCGGAATTTTTACAGTTTGGCCGTCCGCTGCTATTCCTTCACTATAGAAATTGGTGTCGTTCATGGGGAACATGCGAAGCAGCGCGACGGTGAATCGGCGATAAATCGCATGGATGGTCGCTGGCACCGTTAGCAGCGCTGCCCAGATGGCCCACCTTTGCCGGTCGATCGTTTCCGCCATTCAATGACGAGTGTCGCTGTTTTTGTTTTTGTTTTGTTTTTTGGTCAAGTGGAGAGTTTTCGTGTAAATTTTAAATGGAGTGGTCTGGGAAAAAAAAAAACATCATTTGAATGGATTGTTGACAAGTTTTACATCAATCCAAATCCTTCCGAATTCTCGATGGCCGTCAAGAGTCGCTCCTTGAGCTTTTCTTTTGTCGGGTACTCTGAGAGCATTAGCACGTTGAAGCACGTATGGGCGGTTGGGAGGCTAATTGTTCGAATGAAAAAAAGATGAAAGTCAGCGAGCACCACAGTTGAATCTGCAAAATCACCAGCCTGGATTCAAAACGTACCGTTCAGCATCGGTGCCGTTGCGCACAATGGTCAAATTGAGATGGGACAGGCCACCAACAGGGACTCGATCGGATCCCGTCGCGAAAAACAGCAATCGCTTCTTTTCCTCTTCAGACATGTCGTGCACGACTTCCCAAAAGAAACTGTAGAGCGTGACGAACGTGAGACAAGATGTCGCAGCGTGGGTGGCGTGTGGACTCTTTCTCTCTCCCTTCCCCGCCAGAAATGAGACCTACCGAATGACTGGAGAATCCTTGTCAAAGCCGCCGTCGTACTCGGTTGCATTTTCCAGAGAGTGAAAGTCAAAATTGGGCTCGCCACAAATCAGAATCTCCAGTTCCTCGGGTGAAAAGAGCTGCAAGCGCCAAAATTCACCGCAATCACATCGTGAGCGCCGGCCAATAAAAGTAGAACAACACAAAGAAATAGCACCAAAGTCTCACCGTGATTGCAGTATCGGCCGTCACCATGTCAAAGCCGCGCTTGAATTCGTTGAATGATGCCGCAATCGACGTGTTGAGAAGCCAGTCCGTGTACAACTGAACAAATTCTGTGGCGGGACATTTCAGTTTTAACGGATTGAAGCACGTAGGAGAGGAGGGACGACCCAAAAGCACACTCACCGTGGCGGTTTTCATTCGTCACAGGAATGCTGTCTCCGTTTGGCTTCAGATCGTGCGTTTTCGTCGCACCAAATACGTCGTATGACAGTTGGAAGGTGCGACAAAACGTGGCCTCCACATCACCGTCATACTCGAGTAGCTCCTGCAGGCCATGAGCAAGCGCCTGTGTCGGAAGTGCAGGAATTTAGTATCAACGCGCCTCAAAACCAATACGTCACCCAACAACTCGTACCGGCTGAGCGACTTGCAAATCGGCAAAGGTCACGGGCTTGCCCAGGAGCTTCTTGTAAATGACCAGGGGGAAATGCAAGTCCAGCATGACTCGATTGTAGATAGCAAGGCCAATCAATAGCCCGACAAGCACATACTCTCCTTGGAGTGTGTCGTCGATGGCTTTGCGGAACCACATGTTTCGCGTTTCTTCTTCGTACTCGAACATGCCTGCGCAGGAAACACATTATAAAAGTGAGATGACGCCCAGATGGTCAAGTCTAACACGTATGTCAATGGCTGCAAGAACGGTGCCTGTACCAAACTTTGGAGCCAGGATGTCGCGGAAAATGAGTTGAAAAAATTCCTTCTGCACGCCTCCTTCATCAACACCTTCTTCGTCGACAAAGCGAACTCGAAGGCGATGTTTGAGTTGCGAGGGATCCTTGTGTGATAGCTGCGGTACAAAACGGGAAAGGGGAGTGGGATGGGTGAGCACCAAGGCAAAAAACTCCAACACACCCACTTTATGTGTGTCCTGTGCGCATATGTACCTGCAGAAGGACGTCCTCGATGATGTGATCTCGACGAACAAGTACTCTCAAATAAGGATCTTGTGCCTCGGAGAAGATGCTGTTGAAAAACGCGTCCTGGAACGGGGCAATGAATTGCACACTTTCGTGAGATGAAAGACCTCAAAATCACAGCCAGGTCCGGAAGTTTTACCGTATGGCGCTTGCTCTGGATCATGTAGCTTTCTTCTGCCAGAAGATTATACTTTGCAGTGGCAGTGATGACGAACGGGAAGTGGCAAAAAGTAAATCTGTTTCGAAATGATCGCAATGTGAGATGCTCGCGCAGGGTAATGATTCATCACGCTGCAGTCAAACACTCACCCTGTGCCTCGTTGCCAATTGATGAGATTGCCGCGAAGTTCCAGGCCTTCGCTGATGTGGTCATTGTAGAACTGCTGAATGGGCAGAGACGGCAGCTTGAGTACTTCTGCTCGACGAGCATTCGCATCATCTGCGCAAACGTCCATCAGTGGGAGGGTCAAAAAGGAAGGATTAGAAAATGCCTCAAACAGCACTCGAATGTGACCAAGGCAACATACAGATCAGGCCAATCATCTTGGTAGCATTTTGGACGTGGTAATCTTCAAACGAAGGGGCAGACTCGCGAACACCCAGAAACATGCCGACATTGTGCAAAAGAGTTCGAATCGAATTGAGCGGAAGCTCAGACACCCAGGTCGTGAGAAGGCGCTGAAGATACCCCGGCAAAAGCGCAACGCACTCGCACAGCCGAGGCAGGATGACTGCGTAGCTGGACACTTCTGACAGGATCGGGTGCTGTACATACAAGCAGCAGCAATTATCAACGAACAAGAAAAATCAAGCGCCGTGACAAGCTAGAGTCGGAGGAAAGGGAAATCGCAAAGCATTCATCTCTCCGCGACTACTCACCTCCAAGATGACGACAAGGGCGTTCAAGTGGTGAGGCTTGATCTGCGCGCCAACTCTTTCAATGAGTAGCTTGGTGTTGTCCAGCATCTGCGAGATCGAGTTGGTGAATGTGTTGTGCACGTTTTCCCGAGGTGTTTCGAAAGTGGTCGAGTACGCTCGTCGAAGTCCGTCGCAATCCACGGGGCACGCAGGCAAGATGGGGATGGGAGACTGATCGAGTGACGAGAGTGAGCGAGAGGGGAATGAGCAACAAGAGTGCGCGTCCATTCATTCAACGACAAATAGAACAATCGCCTTGCCTTGAGAAAACTGCCACCCAAAAGCTCGGGATCGGAAAAGTGGGTCCATACGACGCTAAGGAATTTGGAAAAGGAGTTGTCTTGCACCGCACGTTGAAATTCGTTCGTCAAATCGGCTGCGTTGAAGTCTGTCGAACGAAGAGAGGAAGAAAACGACTTGAGAAAACAAAAACACGACCGCGAACAAGGAAAGACTGCAAATGCAGGCAATGGATGGCGCATTCCACGAGAGAGTGAATTGTACTTGTGACTTTTGGAAGTCCAAAACGAGGGCACAGCGCGTACTCTCCATGCGTCGAGGCAAGATTGATGGCCAGAGCAGCGCTGGCATTTGGATCGAGTCGCGCGCGATCTGTTTGCAACACACCATCGTGCCATCGGAACCAAAGTCAGACAACCGAGATTCCATACCACCAAAACAAAAAAAAAAACTCAGTGTCACCATACCAGGAAATCCTGCGCAATTCGGGTTGGAACAAGGTGTCTGACCGCATCCAGTCATGAGCTGTTGAAAGTACCTGCGAAATTTACCCGCTAGTCAATGACAAGATTAAATACAGACCCCCATTTTTGATCTCTTTGATCTCTTTGGGACATGCTTCAGAGGGGCTGACAAGGCTTCGTACAGCATGAATGAAAAACTTACATCGGAACGAGCCGTTCAATGCTCTTTGTTTTCTCGGCCGTCGTCCATCTGACACCCCAGCCAACAGAATCACAATGCAAAGATCAATGACAATCGAGTGCAACGTGAGTCAGAGACCGGAGACTCGGGTGGAAGTCGGGAGTACGCGCGGCCGCACTGTCAAACTAGCTGGCTTCCCCCCCCCCTTTTTTTCCCAAAGGCTCATCGGCGAGCAACAGCAATGACAAAAGACCAACAAAAACGATGCACGCAATGACGCACGAGTCGGACGGGCGCGGGACGGCAGTGTCGGTCGCCCATTCGTAGTTGGATGACGCGCTGCCAACTGTGGCTGTGGGGCGATCCTGCGCGAACTGGTGCTGCCGCCGCGCTTCGAGCTGCTGTTGCTGCTGTTGCTGCTTGCTGGTCTGCGATGGCGACTGCGCCGATGAGCGAGACGGTGAAGCGGCAGCAGCAGCAGCAGATGGAGAAGCGTCAGCCATTCTGCTAAAAGCTGTGAATTTTGCTGTTTGGATGACGTAAAAGAATGAGTGTTGTCTGAGATTGAAAGCAAGTCAACAAACAAAATTAGAAAATGTAAAATATTACATTATTCAAAGTGAAAAGTGCACAGTGATTCATTGCAGAGATCACCAAGGTGCAAAAAGTGAAACGGAGCTTTGAAACACAAAGTGCGGTCTGAGGTCTTCATCATGCACCTGGCTTGACGAGCAAAAGCATCTTCGGCGCACACTCAACGAGATGACATCCAAGGCATCAGACCTCGAGCTTGGTGGTTTGTCGGCTGTGCAGTTGAATTCGCGATCGCTGACTTGACCGGGATACCAATCTTGTTCGTTCTGCGAGGACAGCTCGTTTTTCGCCCCACGATTATAGCACCCGTCAACCAGGACGAATCCATCGAGTGTGGTTGCACCTCCCTTCCATCCTAGGCAGCTCGAGTGCGTGCTCGGTCCTGATCTTGCCAATCCAGATCCAACACCTTCAATGCCATTCCTGTTCGTCCGTCCTTCTTCCGTCCTTCTCCTCCCTCCGTGTCGGTCATTTTTCCATCATCATCATCGTCGTCGTGATCAAAATTCATTGTTCACGCCAACCTTCCGTTTCCGTGATTGTGTTTACTGTTTTTTCCCCCCAAAACAAACTTACAATGATTGCGATCACGGAGGATTTTCTTCTATTAAAAAAACCGTCCCCCTTCAAAAAGGGCCAACGTTTCGCTTTTGGAATTGTCAGTCTTTTTGTATTGAACAAATAAGAATTCAACCATGGTCAAGGTGTTTGTGATTTACTACTCGACTTACGGCCACGTCGCCAAGGTACAGAGCTCTTACTAACTCTCTCTAACTCTCTTACTCTCTCTCTCTCTCTCTCGCTCGCTCTATTGCTCGCGATCGCTCGTCCTTGTCACAGTGTCATTTTTTTTTTTTTCGCTTTTTTCTTCTTCTACGTCTTCTTCTTCTTCTTCTTTTTTCCTTCCTTCTGCAACACTTCGCTCCCGCGTTTCAACCATCATCGTCATCTTCTTCATCTTCATCTTCATCTTTGTTTGGTTGCTGATTCGCACTGTGTCGCCATTCAAAAAAGCGTTCAAAATCTTCACCAAAAAGAAACGGCGTTTTAAGATTGCGCCAACAAAACAAAAAACAGTTTGTTTTTCGCCAAATGCGGACGTCGAACAACAACAGTGCATTCAAACAACAGCGCATTCAACTTTGCCAATGCTATTGAATGAATGGTGACTAACTTGAATGAAAGAAGGGGGAGGTGGGAGTGCGGAACTAGTCTGACTCGTCTGACTGCGTTTGCTCAGTTGAAGTCGCGACTGTGAAACAACCAAAAAAAAAAAAATCAAACTGTGATGCGAAAACCAAGAGCGAATGAGATTGCATTGCAATGACTCGCTTTGAAAAAATACTATCATTAAAAAAAATATGTGCGTGATTGCGATCTCATTGCAGGATGTGAAAGATTTGAATGCACGATCTGTGAAAACCCACACACAAAAAAAAAAAAAAAAAAAAAAAAAAAATGCCTGTCCGTTGTTTACTCACCTGATCTCGTTGGTGTGCTTTTTGATTGAATCTCTAACAGCTCGCCGATACCATCGCCAAGAGTAAGTTTCTGACGACTATACTATTGCTTTGGTGTGCTTCAACCTGCTTGAAAATGTCAACTTACTGAGAATTGTTTTTTGTTTTTTGCACTTCTCCCCGTGTTCAGGCGCCGCCACTGTTGCTGGCGTCGACGTCAAGCTCTGGCAGGTCGCCGAGACCCTGTCGGACGATATCCTTGGCAAGATGCACGCTCCTGCCAAGAAGGCCGAGGTGCCCGTCATCCAGGCTGCCGACCTCGCCGAGGCGGACGCCTTCCTGATTGGCTTCCCCACTCGCTATGGCGCCTTCCCTTCGCAGGTCAAGGCTCTGTTCGACGCGACTGGCGGCCTCTGGTCTAAGGGTGCCCTCGTTGGCAAGCCCTTCGGCTTCTTCACCTCGACTGGCAACCTCGGTGGTGGCCAGGAGACCACCATCCAGAGCGCCCTGAGCTTTGTCGTCCACCACGGCGGCATCTTTGTGCCCGTCGGCTACACTTCGCCCCTGCTCTTTGACAACTCTGAGCCCCGTGGTGGCAGCCCTTGGGGCCCCGGCACCTTCACCAACGGTGACGGCTCCCGCCAACCCTCCGAGAAGGAGCTCCAGATCACCACCGAGTTCGGCGTCCACTTTTCCAAGATTGCTCGTGACTTGGCTGCTGGCCGCGCTGCCAACAGCAAGTAAAAGCTCTAGCGGCGGTGCTTTTTTTTTTTTCCTTTCCTGAGAAGTTGCACAGGTTTTTGTTGCTCTTTGGGAGGAGGAAGGTCTACTGTGAATCATGAATATAACTTTTGCCTGCTCAGATCCGTCCAAGGACGACAACGTTCTTGTAGTGTTTTTTTGGGTTGGTTGGTTGGTTGGGGGTTTACTCGCACAGTCATGCAATGATAAAAGAGTTGTATTCTCCAGTATATTTGACCGTTACCACAAGCCCCTCGCACATGAACGAAATGATTGACTATTGTGTCGGTGGCGGAGGGTGCGCGGCTGAGGGTGGGGCTGCGGCTGAGGGCGCAGCTGCGGATGAGACTTGAGGCTGAGCTCCCTGTGCCGCAGCTGCAGACTGCTGCTGAGCTTGGTAGCTTTGGTAATATTGCGCGTACTGCTGCCAGTTTGGGTCGTTGGGGTAAATGTACACATACTGCTGGTCGGCACTTACGGTCGGCTGGCCCTGGTACGGGTAGGCAGGATATCCGGAACCAGAGTAAGCTGCAGCCGTCGGCATGGCATGGGTTGGAACAGAGGGTCGTTGCTCTTGGTACGCGGGTTGGGTTTGCATCGGCTCAACTTTGACAGAAACAGCAGGAGATGCTGTCGGGGCATAAGAAGGCGGTGGGATGGAACCCTGTTGTTGCTGCTGGTGTTGTTGCTGTTGCTGCTGCTGCTGTTGCTGCTGTTGTTGCTGCTGTTGTTGCTGCTGCTGCTGCTGCTGCTGCTGCTGCTGCTGCTGTTGTTGTTGTTGTTGGTGGTGGTGTGGAGGTGCTGGGCCGCGAATGGAGGAAATGGCTTGTTCGAAGGCCTGCGCGAGCGACGGGGCTGCAACAGGCTGCACGCTTCCGGCCCAGACCATTTGGGACTTGCTCGATTCCGGCGGCGTTGACGACAGAGTCCCACGACGCTGTGAGTTGACGGCCTCCAAGTTGGAAGCGGAGGCTTGAGCATCAACCCGACGGTTGTCTGGAGTGGAGCTGGAGCTTGGTACTCCGTCAGCCACTTTGGGCTTGGGACCAGGCTTTTGATGAGGCTTGCGCTCGCTCTTGACCGCATCAGGGCTCAAAGTAGAATCAGGCTCGAGGCTGGACTTGCGAGGAGTGGTCTCAGCCTTGATGCTGGGCTTGGGACCAGGCTTGGCACGCGGTCGCAACTCGCCCGTTTCGCGATCCACAACCATGTTGTTGGCGGCGGCATATTGTCGCTTTGCGGCCAACGTCTCGTCCTCGTTGCTTCGGCCTCGGCGACCACCTCGCCCACGTCCGCTGCCGCGACCACGTCCGCCACGGCCACGACCTCGGCCACGACCACGGCCACGACCGCGGCCTGCACGCCGGGGTCGATCATCGTCGCTGTCAAAATCGTCATCCGAAATGGAAATGTCGTCATCGTCCAAGTCCATATCATCCACATGATGCGACTCGCCTGCGCTGTCAACTTCGCTTCCGCTGGCATAGTCTTCGTTTCGCCGCGAAACTTTGCGCATCTTGCGACGCTGTTCCTCACGGCGCTCGGCGGCATCCAGTGCATCTTCGCCAGAGCTTCCCGCCTGCGACAACTGGTCGTCGTCCGAGCCACGGTCACACTTGACGCAGCACCACCCGTAGCCACGGCTCCGACGAGGCATGGTGGCGAGTGGAGGATCGAGGCAGAAAATGTGGTACCAGTTTTTGCATAAATCGCAGTGGGTGAGCTTGTGTGGCTCGGTGTCCTGGTCGCAGACGCAGCAACGTGGCGAGATTGAGAGAGCAAGGCTGCCCGCCGAAACATCGATCGCCTCAGTCGCGTCGCCAGAAGGCACAGTCTCGAGAGGAGCATCTTCAACTGGAGCGGTGGGCGCACGTGCGCGGCGCCCAGGCTTGCGACGTGCACGACCGTCCAGAGTCAGCATGACGGAAGCGGACCCATCGGCAGACTCGGATGGTGGAGGGACCTCGTCCGAGCCCCAGATTTGACGCCGGAGCCTTGCGGCGTGCTCTTGCGGATCGCGCAGCTCTGCGCGCAGTCGCTTGTCTTGCTCGGTCCAGAACTTGAGCAAATCTTCGCCAACAAGCGAGTCCAAGTCAACGGTGCTGGACTGTGGAGGAGCTGCAGAAGCTTCAGCTTCCGAACCCGTCGCCGCTTGCGCCTCCTGCTGCAGCAATTTCTGCGCCGACCGAGACGCCTCCCGCTTCGCGGCGTCGATTTTGGCGGGAGTCAGCGCGTTCGTCTCGATGAACTGCGTCAGCTGCGTGATGCGAGGGTCAGCACCGTCTGGCTCTTGCACGGCAGTCATCAAGGTTACCAGCCCTGAGATGGTTTGCACCAACGGTTGGGTGTCTGTCAACAGTGTCGCGAAATCAGATTCGAGAGTCTTCAACTCGAGTCTGCTCGTCGCGTCTGCCTCGGAATGACGAGTGCGCATGGCTTTCAGCCGATCAATGGCAACCTCCAGCTGCTGAATGCCAGTCTCGCGCTCTGAGAGCCAAAACAAATAATTGACACAAAACAAAAAGCACCCCAAAAGAAAGGTCAGATGTTGCGTTGTAGAACGAAAGCAAGGAGAAAAGGGCACATCACCGAGGGCGCATCACCAAGGGCAAAAAAAACCGATTCCAAGAAGAGATGGCAAACGTACGTTGGAGGTATTCCATAAACGCGGGGTTGGGATCCACAGCAACAGAGCGCAGCCTGGTGGAAAAGTGGGTCCAAATCGCGGTAGGGGCAAGGGTGGCAACATCCACGACTGCCGCAGTACCGCTGGTGGAAGGGTCGCCCGCACGGCTGGGAAGCGAGGCAGTGGGGAGTTGGCTGGCGTCAACATGGCGCTGCAATCGCTGAAGCTGGAGCTTTGAAAGCTTCCGCGCCTCATACTTGTCGCGGAAGTAGCGAATATACTGCAATCGAAGGACCTGGTGATGTTGCCTGGCTCGAACATCACGAGCACGGTTGTACTCGCTCACATTTTCAATCGAACGCCGCAGTCCAACTTGCGAAGCTTCGTACCGGCGCCACTGAGCAATCTACGCCACCCCAAAATAGAATCCCAAAATAAGCAACAAAGAAAACGGTGAGCGGGGTGTGACCTGCCTGCCAGCAAAGCCTTCACGCATACCTTTCGCGGTTGTAGGCCCTTATCAACATGCTGCATGCAGTTGGCATAGTAAGGATCGGCGACAACCTCGTCGCTTGGAGCTTCGCATAGCAGACCCTTTTTAACAGCGCTGACAAGATTCCAAATATGAAAATGAGGAGATTGTTTCATGTGCAAAGACCGGAGGGGGGGGGGAAAGAGAGAGAAACGACGTTCAACTCACCAAGATGCGTGGAAGAGCTGACGACATAATCCGGCGTCACATTGGACACAAACACCGACCGTGGAGGCTGCCGAGTCCTCGGGACACAACACGCAGGTCTGTTTTCGCATCCAGCATGACATTTCAGCATCAAAATCACGCAAAGATGGCAGTCAAAATGCTCTGCAGCTTCCAAGCAAACTTACATTGCCCCATGAAGTGGCTGGAATTTTGCTGAGGATGACGGGCTCCATGGTTCGGAGATTGCCAAATTCAGTTCCGGGAGTGTAGAGAGCACACAGCACGTGCACCCAGCCACCAGTATCTGTCTCTTTAAACGCGCCACCAGTGTTGGGGCACAGCTCGCAAACCTGGCCAGGAAAAAGAAAAACAAGTGCGCGTCGCGAAATGAGCTTCTTCAAAGAATGATGCTCAGCGTTGAGCCACCAACATCGGAAAAGGGATGGCAACGTACCGGTTTGACATTGCTCAAACATGGATTGCAAAACCACAACTCGGTGACTTCGTCTTGATCTGCTTCTGGTGACTCCACCGATGCGCTCTCTTCTTGCGCTTTGCTGGCCGCAGCCGCTTGCCTTGCAGCTTGCTCTTCTGCCTTGCGCTCACGCTTTCTGGTGCGAACGGGAATGCCAAAAGTCTCCTCCAGCTGCGTCTCGACATCGTCTTCGTCGTCGGTTCCAAGAACACCGTAGCACGCTAAATGTTTTCAAAAAAAGCGTCGAGTGAGCTTGCAATGATTGCAACATGCCAGCCTGACTCAGCCACGAATGGAAGCCGAAGATCTGCCCTTACTTTCGTGAACTGTGAGTTGACAGTAATCGCACGTCACCAGCAGCGCTTCTGGCACGCCAGCTGATTCTGCTCGTGGACCCGTCAAGCAAACCGCGCAAACGGTCTGACGCAAAACCAAATTCCCAATGAGAAAAGGAATGTCGATTGAAACCAAAACCAAACCCCCACACCACGACGAAGAGTTTACCGGGGTTGTTGTGGTCGAACGACGATGGTTGCGGATAAATTCGCTGTCTGCAGCACCGCCATCGTCCTCGTCGTCGCTGTCTTCTTGGTTGCTACGAGCAGAGCGCTTCTTGTGGAAGACCTTCTTTTGCTGCTTGCTCTTTTGCTTGCTCTTTGCCTTTTTCTTGAGCTTGACAGCGAAATCCTCGTCGTCGTCGGACTCGTAGTTTTCATCGTAGTTGAACATGGTCTGTAGATCTGTTTCCTGGTCATCGTCGTCGTCGTCTTGGTCGTCGTCTTCGCCTTCTTCATCATCGTCGTTATCGTCGTTATCGTCGTCGTCGTCGTCGTCGTCATCATCATCATCATCATCATCGTTACCACCGTCGTCATCTGAGCCACGAGACCACCTGGCGCGCTTGTTGCGATGGCCTCGGTCTTCGTCGTCTTGGTGGTCGTCGTCGTCGTCGTCGTCGTCGTCGTTCTCATCGTCATCGTCACCCTGATCATCACCATCTTGATCATCATCATCAGCATCGTCATCCTGATCATCACCATCTTGATCATCATCATCGTCGTCATCGCCGTCGTCGCGCGATCGCTTCTGTGTTGGTCGGCCGCGTTGTCGCCGAACGGCGTCCTCTTTGGCCAGCTTGCGTGCAGCAGCCAGCGCGTCAAAGTCGCCGTCGCTCTCCTCGTCCGAGTCGCTCCAGCTCTCCATTTCGCTCAGCGCCGCGGCAGATGGCTTGATCTGGCGCTTGCCTGCAGCGCGACCTGTGCCCAGATCTGGTGGTTGCACAGCAGATGCAGCAGAAGAGTCAGTCTCACACACAGTTGAACAAGAAGCTTTTTTTCAATGGCAACCAGCAAACCCTCAGTCCTGTCCACTTGGAACAGCTCATGTTCAAATCGAGTTTTCATATGCAGGGCAATAAGTGCCAGAGGTGCTGCAGACAGTCTGACGAGGCTTCAATGAGCCAGCAAACAAGTCGTTCAGTTTGCGTTTTTTGGCGGCTTTTTTTTTTTTTTTTTTTTTTTTTGAGCTCTTTGTTTTCCCGCCAAAATTTGGACGACAACTTCCGTTTCAGCCACCCTTGATCACTCGAATTCACTCAAAGGAAAAAATGTTTGGTATCAACACTCAGATACTGCATGCTGGACAGTCGCGGGTTGAACAAACACACATACTTCCAGCCATTATTGGAGAATACAGCAGTAAAATTGGAAAAAAAAAAAAAAAAAAAAAAAGAGAGATCTCGATTGGGTGCATAGCGCTTGGCCAAATCGGCCGCCGCCACGCCAGGCGCTCAGAATCACCGAAGGGTGGTCGGGCACGGGCATCTCAGCCCCGCCCTGAGGCCCAGAGCGCAGACAGTCGCACAGACGAATTTCCGCAAGTCGAAATCGCCGCTTCCTCGTGGAAATGGAATATATCATAAAATAGTCGCTTCCAATACAAAAATCAATACAAGTCTTCATTTACCAGAAACCATTGTTTTTGGCGTTGTTCTTTGTATTTGTCTTGGTTTGGCAGAATTCGATGTTTGTTTATCTGAGTTGTTGGAAAGAAAAAAAAAAGAAAAAAAAAAGTTGAGTGAGGAAAAAATCTAAATTGGGTTCAGAAATTTGGGAAAAAACAAAATAAAGGTAATGCTCACACATCAAACAATTGAACAAACACCACTCATCAGTCGCAATGGTGCTTCAGTGACCGAAATTGGGTTTGTATTTCGAAATCGATGCTTGCTCAACTGGCAACAGTGCATGTACAACACTGTAAATGACTGAATTGTTAACAAAATGCAAAAAAACCAACAATGACTCGCAACAAGTACAACCCCCAACAACCACCGAATAATGCAAAGACAGCACAATCATGCAACTCAGTAGTAATTGCTGCGATCGCGAGAAGAAGGCGCCGGACTGAGCACCACTTGCTGATGTTGCTGAGTCGTCTGATAGGCATGATTGTTGTGGGGATTGTTGCTGGTGTTGCTGCTGTGGTGATGGTGATGCTGCTGCTGTTGCTGGTGGTGGTGGTGGTGGTGATGGTGGGAATGCGGGGTTGGCGAAGTGGCTCCCGAGCTCGAACCCGATGTTCCACCAGAAGTGTTGGTCGCCGTCGACGTCACGCGTGGCGATCGCAGGAATGTGCGTGCCTCCTTATCGTCCTTGCGACACATTAGCACTTGAATAATGTCGTCGGGAGTCACAAACGTCTCGTTCTCCGCGCACCAGGCCTTGACCAAAGACCAGTTGAGCTTGCGCTTGCCGCTTTCATCGTCACACGCAAATCGATAGAGATTGGACGCGTCGTCCTTGAAGGTGATGGCGCGTAATGATACCATTTGCGACGAGCCATAGTTCAGTGGCGCGGCGGATGTCGTCGACTCGGCGGTAGGAGGGCTGGCGTTAATCACATCGACAATAATGTCGTGCTCGAGCAGCGTCTGGCCGAGCTTGACCGCCTCTTCGGTGCTGCGACAGTGATTCCGCTTGACAAGGTACTCGCAAAACTCGCTGCCGACAAAGCTCTGGGGGTACTTTTTGAGCAAATAAGGCCGACGGTCGCGAATCAGCGGGCCAGAGGCTGGGTCGTGCATCTCCTTGTAGAGAACCGAGCCGACGGTGAAGACGTCGGCCTCTTTACGGCTGCCAGCGGAAGCTGCCGACACTGCACCATTGGATGCTGCTGCAGGGAGCCCAGACAGCTGAACATGGCTGCTCGTGCGGTTCTGTTGCTGCCCTTTAGAATAGCCATTTGCCACGCTAGGGCTGCCAATGCCCGCACTGCCGTGGCTGCTGCTGCCGTTAAAGACAGGCGAAAACGTTCGCTCGTCAGATGCGGTCGGGTAGCGCACTCCGCTGCTGGCCGACTTTTTCACTGGAGTGGTGCGCTGGACGAGGCGCGCAACCGCGCTGAGCAGCACGCCAGAGCCACCCACAAACACTGTCGGCGAGGCAACGCCCCACGGATCGGCAAGACCGCCATGCGGTGTGCTGGGCTCGGAGGGGTGCGTCGACCCAAGAGCGTCGGGCGACATCGGGGACAAGGGATCTCTGGCATCCCCGCCATTCCGCTGATGGTCCATGCGCTTGAGACGAAGCCAAATGTCAATCAGAGTCGAAGTCGAAAGGGCATGCACATCAAGCATCCGGATGACAAACCCGACAGATTCGTAGAGCGTGTGGTGCAAAAGCCCGCTGCCATCGGCGTGGAAGAAGGTCACCATCATGGCAATCGCTTCCTCTAGCGTCTTGGCCTGGTCTCCAGGAATTTCACGCTGGCGGCGCATCGGAAGCACGGCATCTTCAAAGTTGTCCACGATCGCGTCCCACACACTGGAGAGAACACGACGGAAGCTCGCTTCGTACATGACACTGCTTAGAATGGTAAACTGCGACTTGAGGTACGCCAGAATGGGCTCGAGGCGGCGTTCAATCGAGATATTTGGCAGCCGCAGATCGAACAGGAGCATTTCAAGTGCCGGCTTGACAAACGCGTTGATGCGGATGCAGACCGCTTCAATCTGGAAGAGATACACGTGCTTGATGTAATGCAGAGTTTTGAGCAGCGAGGCGTTGGTCACAGTGCGAGGCGCGGATGCGGGAGTTCCAGAGCCGTCCTGGTGCAAGATGGCGCTCACACTTCGGTGCAGATCGCTGTGTGTTGAAAGGAACGACCCAGTCGAACCCCAGTTGGCCGTGTAGGGATCTTGCAGAGACTGTTGTTGCTGCTGTTGTTGTTGCTGCTGCTGCTGCTGCTGCTGCTGCTGGAGTTGTCGCTGCATATCGAACGGCGACTGGTCATTGACAAAGCCCCCTCCGCACAACACTGAGACGAGCTCGGGGAAAATGGCAATGAGCGCCTCCATGTTGTTAATCCGCAGACAAATTTCGTCAGTGATGGGATCAACGGGGATGCGACGCCCATGCACTTGATGGTAGTGCAACGTTCGCATGGTGGAGTGCTTGCGCTTTTGCTGCATGATGAGCGATCGAGCACGCGCGGGATCAATGCCCTTGACTGACGTGCTGGATGCAAACATGCCGGGAGTCACAGAGCTTGAATTGCCGCCTACAGACGCGAGACCAGTGCGCTTGATGCGAATGACCGCCTCCAACAGGCTGCGCGTGTTTTGGCACAGCTGCTTGCTCACGAGCGTGTTGCGGGTGCTCCCGGCCAGCTGGACGGATGCTGCAAGGAAGGATCCACTCTTGGTCGAAAAGGACATGCTTTGAAGCCGCCCAGACAACGGACTTCCGAGCATCACGCCATTCGCGACCAGGCCGGCGTTGCCAGTACTTGCGAGCATTGCTCCGGTAAAGCTGCCGCGTGCAGACGGAGGTTGCGATGAAATGACCGACCCACGTCGGTGCGATTCGTACGGTGCTGATTGGTCGTGCTCATTCGGGAGGAGAGCAGAAATCAAAGGGTCGATAGCACCATCGGGCAAGTCCAGCAAATCCGAGAAGAAAATTTTGCTGGCATACTGCAGCACCATGTTGCTGGTCATGTCAATGAGTCGTTCGGAGAAAAGAAGCACTTCGTCGTTGACCGACTGCGGCTGTGCCCCAGCCCCCGGTTCGACCAGGAACTGCAGCGACTTGACAAAGCGAATAGGTTGAGCAAGCGCGAAAATGGTGTCAATCAGCGAGCTTGAATTGGGCAATTCGACATGCTCTTCCTCAGTGTTGCTTTCTTGGTCGCTGCTCAACGAGACGGACGTCATGGTTGGTCGCAAGGGCGCGAGGCCCAGGAACGGGTCAAACTCGGTATTTGTGTCAAACACAGAAGCAAACACCTCGCTATCGATAAAGAAGGATTCCCACTGCCAGAACCAACAAAGAAGAGAGCAGTCGAAAAGGAATGAAACAGATTTGGGTGAGCTCGCGCAAATCCCTGCACCATCGCCCGCAATGAGCACGAGAAAATCAACAGCACGACATACATCGTCCAGATGGAAGGCCAAGTCGACAAACTGCATCAGTGCGGTCGCAATCGAGTCCATCCATTTGATCGAGATCGGCACGAAATACTCTTTCCAGTTCGTGTGCCCCTCGCCTCTGACAATCAAATAAAAAAAAAAAAGGGCGGGGTCAGTCTTGTGCTCCTCCAACATCATGCCCAGGTGCACACTTACGAAACTTTCAGATGAGGCCCCCAGATAGAGTCCAAATAGTTGAGCGCGTAGGAAAGTTGAATCAATGACGCGTCAAGGTCTTCGCTGTCGCCGGACACAAAACCACCTCGAGCGGACTTGTCGCAGAGCGAGCTCACATCGGCGCAAAGCATGCTGTAAAACTCGTCAATGGCGAGCTCGACAAGGTCGAAATGGTCGGTGAAGGCGTCCTGATAGTACGTTCGGTAGTACTCGACTTCATCCACCAGCTCTTCCACCAGCAAGGTCAGTTGAGACGCTGTAAACGGGCAGGTTATTGTGGATAGCTTGTGTTGTGCGGTCTGGTGCTTGGCCAGGGGTGCAGACGGTTGACGAATCTCGTCCACGACGTCAGCAGCAATCGTCAGGAATCTGCGGTGAGCCAGAGAGAGAGAAATCATCAAAAGGTGTGGGTGTGAGAAAAAAGGACAAATATACAATCGGCGCGAAAAAAAATGCACGCCGTGAGGAAAGCGTACCGCTGATAGGTAGTGCCAAAGGATTCCTTGAGATAACATGTCAGGACATAGTCCACATTGTACGCCGCATTGGACTTTCCACCTCCAACAAAGCGATCGGCTTGAATCAACGAGGACAAGAGCTGCACCAACCCTGCCACGCCGCCTTGGGGAGTGTTGAGCGGGAAAAGACGCTTGATTCGAGTCAAGCTGTTGCGGACCTGCGCGTGGAGGAGCGCAACCGTCTGCCGAAGAACATCATTCTGGTGTGCATCCAGCAGAAACAAGTTAAGCACCAGGAGTCATCGACCAACACTATCAACACGCTTTGCACGTGGTGGCATACCTCAGAAATAGTAATGGTCATTCGGTTGTGGAGCTGGGGCAAGAGACGCAGAATGTCTTGAAGGACGGCGTTCGACTCTTGGATGCTGAGAATGGTGTTTTCGAAATGTTTGGCTAGATAGTTCAGATGCATGATTTTGCGGTAGAGCTCGCCAATGCCGTATCGCAAGCTAAACTCGAAAAGCAGCCGTGAAGCTGGTGGGCTCAGAGCGGCCGACTGCGCCTGCTGGGACTCGTCAAGGGATGTCGACGCCGCGTACCGCTCGTATTGCAAAAACTTTTCCAGCAAAGTGACATACAGCGCATGATAGAGACTGATACGATAGTTGCCAGGCGCATTGGAAGAGCTCGCAGAAGTATTGGCAGATCCCGCAGCAGTTGTAGAGGAACGGACGTGCGGCGAAGTTGGACTGGTGATTGAGTTTGCAAAGCCAGAACCTGGATGCGACGAGCCGCCAGAGCTGGATCCACCAGTACTCGACAAATTCACAACGGGAATGGCGGAATCCCAAAAGAGTTCAATCAACTGTCGGATTTTGGTCTGCTCTTGCTGTCGCCAAAGATCATACGTGTTTTTGTTCTGGATGATTGAAAAAGGGGACAAAGCGAGAGGGGAGGTGGCTCGAAGGCGATGAGTGTTGAAGCAAACGAAGCGCAACACGCATCACCAAAAACGCTCTCTCAAGCTTACAGCAAATGCCTGGGGATTGTAGAACGGGTTGGAGTTGCCCTCCAGGAAGCTGAGTTGCTTGGCAAGCTCGCGCACCAAAATCTTGCCAACCAAAAGATCAAGAGCAGTCCAAAAGTGTAAGTTTTTTTTTTGTCGGTTCGTGCAAGGATGAAGAACGCAACGAACTGTTGATCACCAGACGCAAGCAGCATACCTCGACGTCACGCTTCGAGCCGTGCGCTTCTTTGGTTTGCTTGAGATATTTGGCGTGGGTTTCAGGCGTCAGGTGGAAGACGTGCATGAGGTACTCGTTGAAAGCCGCAATCTCATTGGATGACTCGGCCTTGCCAGTGCCGTTTGCAAGAATCGCACAGTTGGCGCACAGCAACGCGCACTGGTAGAGGAACAAATCCTCTCCAGCCAAGGTGACTGTTGCTGGATCCCGCGAATACAGCGGATGCTGCCGAGTCGAGGCTGCCGGTGCTGCGCGCGCAGGGCTGGCAACAGCATCACCCGCTCGCGTCACAGCAGCAGAGCCCTAGTTGCGTCGAGGTGGTGTAAACGCGAGTTTGCAAGGTCAGTTTCTACCCGGTATGCAGCAATCGCAAACGAAAAACGCACAAATCCTGAACCGACACTCTTCTTACAGGAACTTTGCGAGTGCGCCTTGGTCGTCGACGGCATGCGTAGCGATGGAAGAATGTGAAGATTTTCTCAATCAGCTTGCCATGTCTGTCAGAAGGTGAAACGTGAGGAAACTTTGACCAACAAGAACAAATTCGGTATGGGGGTTTTTTTCCCCCGTTTTCAACATGTTTGCGTCGTCGTGAATCTCAGAAACCATTGTCTCCACTTTCCCAATTCCAGCATATTTCGAATCCGATCGATCCACATCCGATAACTTGTCAAGTGTTCACATGTGACCGAAGCCGACTTTTGCCTTCTTTTTTTTTTTCTTTTTTTTTTTCCGTTGCATATTGTTTCGCATTGCATTGCATTGTCTTTGTTTTGTGCTTCAGGGCTGCTTTTCGTCCATCCCCCCCCCCAATCCCCACACTCACTCCCGTGGTCTCGACTTCTGTGAGTGCTTCTCTTCTGATGCTTCCTGCTGAATGATGTTTGCTGATGAATGGTCCTCCTGTCCCTACGCTTTTATCGTCTGTTCGCCTTGTGGCTCCAAATTTTGCCGATGCTCGGTCGTCTCAGATTGGCCATCCTTCTCATCGTTCTCCGGCCTCCCATGAAAGCCCGCCTCCTTTGTTCTACTCAATTCAGCTCAACAAAAGACCTTCCCTTCCCATCCCAGAAGACCCTTCCCCCCCCCCCCAACACAGAGCGAGTCCACTCACTCACAACGTACAAAAACCAGCATCAAAACGCCAATCACTTGAAAATTCGATCCCTTTTTTTTTTTTTTTTTTTTTTTTTTTTTTTTTTTTTTTTTTTTTTTTTTTTTTTTTTTGGCTTGTGTGTTGTTTTTTTAATTTACCGCATCATGAAGCACTCTGGGTCTTGGCCTGCCGCGCGGACGCCGTGCTCGCACTGGAGCTGGGAGCAGAGTGTGGTGGATGCAGTCGATGCAGGCAGCGGGCTGGGAGTCCCGGAAGATCCACCAGCAGCAGCAGCTCCAGCAGCAGCAGAGGAAGGAGCGGCGGAGGATCCAGCGAAAGGACTCGGCGCGCTGCTGCGACTCGTGCTGTGAGCATCAGAGTACGACGATGCTGACAATGAGGATGTCGAGTGGCTGCTGTGGCTGGGCTGGTCCGCGACGAGGTAGTCAGAGAGCCACTCCACCGAAGGCAGCGACAGGACAGCTTGAGAGGCGGCTTGGCCTGCGTCTGGCTTGGGGACTGCCGCGCCGTCGGGTCCGGTCGCCTGTGCCTGTGTCTGTGCTGGTGCTGGCGACTGCTGCATCTGTGGCCAGCACAGCGACGCGTGGAACGGCCGCAGCGCGAGGAAGAGCTCGTCTGAGCGTTTGAGTGCGGTCGCATCAATCAGCATCGACGGCGGTTGTTGCTGCTGCTGTTGCTGTTGCTGTTGCTGTTGCTGCTGCTGATGTTGTTGTTGCTGTAGTTGTTGTGATGATGGGTGGTGCTGGTGGTATGGACCAGGCGACGGCGACGACATGGCGGCCACCCAGCGCAGCGAAAAGAGAAAGTAAGACTGAATGTGAATGCGAAATGGCATTACATACAAAGCTGGATCGTCCTGATGCTGCTGGGTTGATTGAGAGATGTAACCGCAGTGCACTTGCTCTTCTTTACTCATTCTATTATGAAATGATCACTTCTCTTTTTCCTTTGGTTTCTGAGATTTTTTCCCAAATCTTCGTTCATCCCTGCGTTGTCCTGTTTGTTGCATTTCAGCCTTTTTCTCTTTTTTTTCGGGCAGCACTTCAACACCCAGAGCTGAGCCCCCCTTGCTGAGCCCTTCTTGGAGCAGAGAGGAAACTCGGGCTTTTGTCGTCGTACTTTGGAGAGCAGCAGATGTCGCTCGCTGGTGAGACAACTCCTACAACGACGACCACGACGACCACGACGACGACGCGTTCTGCTGCAACGCCTGATTCTGCTGCAACTGCAGGTGCTGCTGCTCCGGCGTGGAAGGAGCTCGTTCTGCAGACGTACGCGGCACTCGCTGGGCAGCCTCAACCTCTTCAACCAGGTCAACCAGCAGCTCCAGCAACCGGACGCCTGACTCTCGCTGCAGCCATCGCCGCCGTTGCGTTTGCCATTCTGTTCGCTGGCATGGGTCCGCTTCGTCTACTGCTCTTCGGCTCGTCGCTCGCCGTCGCTGCAGCAGGCGGCTATGCGTTGGCCTGCGTTTCACTGCGAGTAAGCACTGAAGCCTGTTTTTTTTTTCAAATTTTGATATGTCGGGTGGCGCGTTGCAACAAGAAGGGCCAACATATCAAAGTCTGAGCATCTGATTGCATTTTGAGAGAGCATCTGTATTGGGGGCGGGAGGTGGAACCCAACCGGAGACGAACAGGTCGAATGCGTTTCCAGTGAGATATTCCTACTAGATACATGTACTCACTTTTGGCAATAACTGAACTTCTAGGGGCGAAAACCAGCTCTCAAGCATCTCGAGCCAGAGCAAGCTGAACGCGAAAGGCTGGCCCTGAATGCGGCAGCGCAAGAGCTGCTGGACGGTTGCGATGCAGATGTGGTACGAAAGCTCTCTGATGTTCTGAAGGTGTGCGTCTGAGAAGCAACGAACGTGCTTGACTTGCTTTGCTCTCCATCCACTTGTAGAACGATGCACCGGGATCGGTGTTGGACATCTCCGAGTCTGTCATGTCTGAGCGATCGGCCGCCACAGCGCCCGCTGCGCTTTGCAGACGCTCGAGACAGCTGTCGCAGGTTGGGGATGGGCTTCAATCCACGCCCCAGCTCAATCTTTCCGTTCCGTTGCACGCTGCCATTTCCACACTGTGCGACTCGTTAGTGGCCAATTACGTGATGGGCTGGTATGGGTACTATATTGGCGACGACGATGCCTTCCTCAGCGACCTCAAGACGCTGATTGTGAGCGCGTTCTTCAAGTTCCGCGTGTACTCGCCACGATTCGACCTGCCCATGCTGACAGTGTACCGATTTGTGCACATGTTTATCGTGCACTTGCGTCAGTTCCGCGCAGCGGAGGAGTCCGGCATGGACGTGGCAGCCTACTTTGGGCCCGCAGGTCCGGGTCATCCCTACTTGCACTTTGCTGTGCGCAGCCGTGACAACGAGCTCCGCTATTTGCGCCAGGTCGCAGACGTGCTCATTCTCAAGCTGACGCCTCAACGAGAAAACCAGTCGCAAGTGTTTCGACACATGTTCCGCGAAATTATTGCTCAGCACTGCTTGCTCCCGACCGTGCGGTATCTGGCCGATCCGGACTATATTAATCAGATGGTGCTAACCATGCTATTGCGGCAGAGGTTGCGGCCGTACGATCGGGTGAAGCTGAAAGGTAACGAGCTGCGTTTGTTTGCCACTTTTGTTGGCGATGAGCTTTCGCTTATTTTGTCTCCCGTCGTGTCTGCGCGGTATGCTGATCTTGTTTATTTTCTCCGCAGTGGTACAAGCCAAAAGTATTCTTCACACCAATGTGAAAGGTATTACATGCGAGACAGCGCTCGTGATTCGTTTAGGGTCTTTTTTATTTCACATTGCAGCAGCTTACGACTTGGTTCTGATCATTCCTTCCTTTGTCTTCCGCTCGCACAGGTCTGTTGACATGTCAGATTGTACTGAAGACGAAGGCCGGCGAGCATTCGACACCCAAAACCCCGCCATCCTCTGGCTCACCCACCTGGAACGATGAGGCAATTGTGCCACTTGCTTCAGTTCAAGGTGACTTCCACATGACTGTATCACTGTACCATTGTCCAAACTCGAATCCCAGCAGCAACGGTAAGGAAATGAGACAAATTAAACTTGGAGTGGGAGGGCTTGCTCCATCTGACAACTTTGCGCCTCAAAATTCCTCACATGCTTACTTTTCCCGCTTTAGTCTTGTTGGGGACCCAACGAATCGATTTGGCAAAACTGCCACCTGGCAAGGCCAGCAAGCATTGGCACGCTCTCAACGACCCTGAAACTGGGGTTCAGAGCGGCCTGTTGATGCTTGAACTGACACTGCTGCTTCGAGAAGACCTTGCCTCCACTGCCAGCTCCACGCCTGCCACCGTGACGGACGATGCCACTGGACACGCTCCAAACAACGAAGCTGCGATGAGTAGTGCAACCGCTGCAACACCCTCGCCTGTCGCTGCTGCTGCTGCTGCTGCTCCCGCTGCCGCAAAGCCAGTTCCCCCGCCTCGTCCTCCGCGTCCAGCTGCGCTTGTTGCTGCTGCTCGGGCTGCACCGACGTCGGCGTCTGACTCTCCCGCTACTCAAACGTCCACGTCAAGCACGGACACGCAAAGCACGGACACGACTCAATCCACGGATGTTACACAAAGCACGGATACGCTCATCTCCGATGCAGCCAACGAAGCGTCGCTGCAGTGGATGGTGAAGCAACAGCCCCATGCATATGTCGACGCCAATGTGACGGCTGCTCAGCTCGCGCGATTGTCCGTTCCTGAGTCGACCATGATACTACAAGCCTCGCCTACCCTCACTCCCGTCCAGGCGGCTGTGCAGATGACCCGCTTGCTTCGAAGCAATGCCGCATTTGGCTGCTTGATGGACTACTTGACCTCTGTGAATGCCAAGGCACTGTTGCAGTTTTGGATTGACGCAGACCAGTTCCGTCAAGTGACGGCTGCTGCTGCAGGAGTGCATACCATTTCCACACCCGTTGTCAAAGCGGAAATGTGTCGTCAAGAGGCTCGGCACATTGTGCAGCAGCACCTCAAGCCTGACAGTCCCAGCCACATCCATGTGTCCAGGTATGCGGGCAAGGCGCGTCGTTTGCGTGCTTTTTTTGTTGTTGTTGTTGCTGCTGCTTTGTTTTTTGCTGAGGGTTTTTGCTGGGGGCTCTTTGTGAGAGAGGAGGGTGCCAAGTTCTGACCCGCAACGCTCTTTGCTGCTTTGGTAGTCGTGCATTGGCCATTGTGCTTTCAGCACTGGAAGACTCGACCGTGACGCCTGGACTGGAGCTGTTCCGCCCTATCGAGTCAGAGGTGTTTGCACGCTTGTGCGAACACCTGCCTGGATTCTTGGCCAGCTCTTTTTATGCGAATTTTATTGGTGAAGCTTCCTTCCCTGCTGCAGCAACCGGCAATTCCACGTCTGGAACAATCCCGTCGTCAGCCAGCCAGACCTCCGTTGCCGACATTGCGTCTTCCGTGAGCAGTGCTGCGACCGAGGCCGTTGTAGAAACACCGGTGAGCACATCAGCCGATGGTGCGCCGACTTCGCTGGCGCACACTCCCGGCGCACCTCCCTCGACGGCCAGTTCCGAAGCTCATATCGAAGCGCCCGCTGTCGCGGCTCCCGCCGATGGTGACAGCATCATTCCAACCACAGGATTGCCTCCGATCGCTCTCCCAGTGGTCGTGCAGCCAGTCACGCTCACTCCAAAGGAACACGATGACACCCCGGATGTCGATCTGGACGACGACGAACGTCTCAACCGCGACATCACACGCACAAAACAACACGATGGAACCAAATCGCACAAGCAGGCTCCAGCTGTGCCCCCGCGCCCTGCCCCCTCTGTGCTGGCTCACCGTCAGTCACAAGCCGCATCTCACGGTGTATCATTGGTCATTCCTGCAGCGGTGCACTATGCTCAGGTCAAATCGACTGGAGCTGATGCGCATCACGAAGAAACGAGCACTACCCGCCGCCTGTTGTCAAAGCTTGGTGTCAGAGACGACGCTGCAAGCACTGGCACTGCTGGAGCTTCTGGTCCTGGCTCGACATCTACGACCGCCGGGATCACTGAGCCGCAAGAAGGCGGCGTGAAGGAGGCCATCGCGACATTTGGCAACCTGATTGATCGCTTGCGCAGCAAGTCAAGGAGTGATGGCGCGCCAGAGCTAGACTTGCCCCGTGCATCTAGTGGCGGTGACAAGGCCTACAAGGCTCACATTATTGAAACCCAGCTCGATTCCAAGCAGCGAATTCAGTATGTCGTGACTGTGCAGCCTCTTGCACCGGCCCCTGCTGCTGCTGCTGCTGCTGCTGCTGGGAATGACAATACTGCCACTGGTGGTCACGACGCTGTCACGTTGGCCCCGCTTGCATCCACCAACGACCCGTCCACACTAGGCGCGCCAGACACGGCTCATTCCTCGTCCGAAAACGCGCAATATCCGTTGCCTGCTGTGCGAGAGACCGGATGGGTTATTGTTCGGTCCTTCCGCGACTTTTCGACCCTGCACACAGCACTCCAAAAGCTCCAGAAGGTGCGCAACATTGATTTCCCGAGCAGCACCCTGGAACGAACCAATCATGCAGCTGCTCGCGTGCAGCTCGATACCTTTTTGCAACAGCTTCTTGCCGACCCGCAAGCGAGCCAAACCGAAGCGGTGGCAAACTTTTTGAACATGGGTGAGGTGGTCTCGCACGCTGGAGCAAGCCACGGCGCGTCCCCAGCCCAGATCGACGCTGATAGCGACAGTGTGCTCGATCGAGTTTCTGCCAAATTCCGCTTGATCAAGGAGAAACTTGTCGATGACAAAGACCCCAAAGACGGGCCAAAGAAGGTTTCGGGCAAGCTGTTTTCGTCCTTTTTGCATGGCAGTGATGAAGACATCCAGGCTGCTGAGGCAACCGCTAGCGTGCATCCAACAGTGCCCGCTTCAGCAGAGGCTGCTCCGACAAGGTTGGCAAGCGTGGACTCGGATCTTGCTGCTTCGCCTCTCGATAGCCTTCATGGTGCCACTGCCAGTCGCAACAGTCCAGATGCCAGCGGAATTCCGAGTCGTGCTCGATCCACACCCGAGCCGCAAGCCGCACCATCAGACAGCAGCTCTGTTGCCGCGGCGTCTACCACGACCGACGACAACGAGGATGTGTTTTCGGAATCGGAGCTGTCCTTCATTAGCGGGGAGGACGGCGACCTGTTGATTGAAACTGGATTTGCGTTGATGGACGAGCTCTTCATGCTCAAAGACGAAGACAAGTGGCTGCGTCGCCAAGCCGTGTCTGTCCTCAAGCAAGTTTTGCTTCAGATGCACGGTGAAACAATCAATCGCCGCATCATCGAGTCGATGCACGCCATGACCAACGAAAAGCAGTGGGCCGTATTCTTTGAGCGCCTCAACCGTGATATGGCACCGCTTTCCGCCGCTGCTGGCACGTCGTCGGTGACGGCACTGTCACGCTCCAGCTCTGTGCGTTCTGAGGACGACAAGGCTCGCACTCGCGCAGATGCGCAAGCCGAGCTGCTCGCCTGCATCCCAGAAGCACTGCAGCATGTTGTCGGCCGATCCAACGCCATCAGCGGCGTGACGCGTGCGTTCGACATGTTGCAGCACGACATTTTGACCAAGCACCTGCTCTACACGATGCTCGATGCGACGCTCGTCGCGCTCTTCACCCCGGACTCTTAGAGCCACGAAGAGTTGTTGGACCCCTTTTTTCTTTTTTTTCCTTTTTGTTCTTTTATTTGATGCGTAGCTGCTCCGAGACGGTCGGACCCGTACGCATTGTTGTTTCTGGTTGGTGTTGTTGCACGCTTTCTGTGTTGATCATGTGTGTGTGTGTGTGTGTGTCGCCTTTGTGTTTGTTCGCCTTTCCCAGTAAATATATCAAACCTTTGATTTTCCCAATCCTTTTTTTTTTTTTTTTTTTTTTTTTTTTTTTTTTTTTGTGCTAACCATGGCCAGTCACGATCCCGCTTCATCGTCCTCGGCTGCTCGCCAGTCGCCCGCTCCAACAGCAGCATCAAGTGCATCCAGCTCCCTTCATGCACCAGCACCCTCAGTGCGAGGGGTTGGGCCTTCCAATCGCCGCCATTCAGCTTCGGATTCAGCTTCTTCTTCCACTCCATCCTCAGCTTTGGATCACAACCCTCAGCAGTCGTCATCCTCGTCCTCATCGCCCGCATCGTTGAGCTTTGTGAGCCACAGCTACGCTCCGCCGGCCAACCGCACCCGGACAGCGTCAATCGACGCCTCGCCAGCTTACGCCCAAGCAACAGCAGCAGCAACAGCCCAGCCAACAACCGCGCCGACGACTCCTCATCCACCACGGCCTGCTCCTGCTGCCCCATTTGCATCCGTCGTAGCACAACAGCAGGCAAGCACGCCATCCGCCGCGACGACAGCCAGTGGCACCAGCATTAGCACGAGTAAGCCGCAGATGCTGCTCGAGGAGAGCCCTCAGCATGGCCAGATTGCAGCCGCGCTGCTGCGTCGGCAGTACGATCGCGTGCGAGACCGAGCCAGAATGCGCACCGACCGACTCCGCAAGTTCGTCCAAGGCAGCGCAGGCGGCGCAGGATTAGGCACAGGCGCAGGGTCAGGCCCAAAGCAGCGAAACCGGCTGTCGTGGTCGTCCGCCAATCGAGCTGGGTCCGAGTCGATGGCTGTGGACTCGGATGCAGGACATTCTGCTTTGAACGCTCATTCTGGTACTAGCACTGCTGCGGCGGCGGCTGCGGCTGCGGCGGCTGCGTTGGCGCGCACACCGACGAACTCTGCGGCTTCGAAGTTGGACCATCGAGATCAACACGCCACCGCCGACGCTGCCGCATTCGACGATCAAGACGTTGGTGCCAACGTGCAGTACGCTCAGGACGAGTTTGACGAAATGAACGAAGGCGAGGATATGCTCGAGGACGCAGAAGAGCCCATGAACGAGGATGATTTGGACGTCCACCCTGCAGACCTACGGCGACGCCAAGGCGTTCGCCATCGCCGAATGGCGTGTCCTTATTGCAAGCGGCTCTACCGGACCGCTTGGTCATTAGAGCGACATGTCATCGCCGAACACCCCGGAGGCGCTGCATCTCTTAAACCCGTTCGCAGACCAAATCCGTGCTTCCGCTGCGGCAAAAAGTTTGCAACAGACTACCAGTTAGTGGCCCACTTGCAACAATCCCACGCTGGTGTCACTGAATATGCTTGCCCGTTCTGCTTCAAGATCTTTAATGCACAACGAGGTGTCTCAGTCCATATCGGCATCATGCACCAAGGACTGCCAATACCAGACATTGGCGAAGCTGCGATGCCAGGCGAAGGCGCACCGACAGGGGTAGAACTTGTTTGTGACGCGTGCCATCTGTCGTTTTCAGATCAGCTCGCCTTTGATGAGCATGACTGTCCGCCGGCGACCTCAATGCGAAGCACACTCCCCAGCGGTCCCAAAACTGAACTTGTCTACGAGGACGATTGGGCAGAGCCCCACTTGGCCGACGAGGGCGGCGCCGAGCAGGAAGGCCATGATCAGCACTATGCCATGGATACCGAGAATGACGTTGTGGCTGAGGACAGCAACGGGGACGAGAACGATGGAGGCCATGCCGAAGATGAACACGGCGCTGATGAAGAGCACGACGCTGGTGAAGAGCACGAAGCTGGCGAAGAGCAGGACGCTGGCGAAGAGCACGATCATGACGTAGCAGGCGACATTGAAGATACCAAGCCCAATGAAGAAGAAGCTGAAGACCTCGAAGATGATGAGGAGGACGAGGACGAGGACGATGATGGCGAGATTGGCGGCGATGATGATGATGCAAGCGACTTTGACAATTACGCGGAACACGCTCGTCGATCCCCGCGAGCCCGTCGTCTTCGGCGGTCGTTTGACGGCGACGCTCGCCCCGTGGATCCAAACACTGTTTGCCCAAAATGCCACACGTCATTCTCAAGCAACAACAGCATGATTCAGCATCATCGCACCCGGCATGAAGGACTGAGATTCTTCTGCCCATTGTGCGACAAGCCCTCCACGCAATCGTCGAGTCTGCTAACACATTTGCGCACAGTGCATCCCAAGGACGAGAAACGGTGCCCAAAGTGTGACTTGCGATGGTCTGCCTCGAACGTTCTCGACTTCTGGCTTCACGTGCGGACAGCCCACCATGATGATTTTATTCGCCCGTTGTAGCGCAATACAGAGCTACCGTGCTGTGGCCGCGCATTGAGTTTTTGCTTTTTGCTTTTGGTGTCTTGTTTCTTGCGTGGCTTTTGTTTGTTGGCTTGTTATTTTTTCAACCACAATTTATATTTTATTGCAAAGTCAGCGTTAAATGCCTGAACTTGTTGGGGAGTTGCGGGCATTGATTGATCCAAATGTGGATGGTCAACGACGGCCAACAGCGCCGAAACCCTAGAAAGCTCTATTGCACTTTGTCTGGTTGTCAACCACCCAGCATCCCTGATTTGACTGTAGAAACGACACTACCGACCTTTCCAAATTCGATGGAGTCCGTTTACGTTGCCGATGGTTGGTGAATCAGGAAGACGTCGGAAGATCATACCTCTTTTTTTTTTTCACTGCCAATTTCCGCGCATACAAGTGCTCAAGAAACATCTCCACCCCTGTCAAAACAATCAGCACCATATTTAAGCCAAAGATAGTGTGTCTGTACGAGACTGCCAAGTCCCTACTGCGGCCACGAGGGGACACAAGTGGACACTTTGACAATTTCAGTTTTTCGCTTTCAATTTCTCACAATGATCTTTCACTCACCGCGCTGGCTCTTCCTCCCCGCCGTCGACACCCCTTCCACCATCTATCGGCATACTCTTCATGGCTGCCAATGGCACAAATACAACTGTCAATTTTTGCCACGGCCGTGCACGACTCGAATCCCAAAATGCCCAACTCAATCAGTAACCGAGAATGCGCGATTGGTGCAGTAGTAGCATATCGCTCTCCGGAAGCGAAGACCGGCGTGCAAATCGCCGATTGCGCGCATACCAGCCTTGGCTACTTTTTTGGTACTTTTTCCGAATTTTTTTTTTTTTTTTTTTTTTTTTTTTTTGGTGTTTGGTCTGGAGTCCGTTCTCATCATCTGAGATGGACAAACATTCCACAACAACACACCTACACACTGTCGTTTCGTTTCATGGAAACGCATCCGCTGAGAACGGTGAAAAACAAAAACAGCCAAATGACACCCAATAACAGTCGTCCTTTTTTTTTTTTTTTTTTTTTTTTTTTTGGTTTTCCCCATTTTGCTGTTCTGCTCCAAACAGCTGTGAGTGGCTCGATGCGTGCAGCCAAGCGAGGGCCGCTACAATCACGACCGCTCGTTACAGCAGCCCTGCTGTCCTCGTTGGTGGTGGTGCTGTGCTGGTGTGCCGATGCTCAGCCTGACGCAGCCCTGATGACGGACGCCCACCTGCGCTCGTCCTCGGGTGCTGCAGCCACACCGACCACCGCAGCGAGGTCGCAGCAAGATCCCAGCAGCAGCAGCAGCAGCAGCAGCAGCAGCAGCAGAAGCAGCAATACCCAGAGCTCGATCGCATCATCTGTCGTGCCGCCGCTCGTGTCCATCCTCGCTCCGTCCACCACATCGCCCTCTGAGGAAGAGTTCAACGAGGCCGTCCGTCACTACGTGGCAAGTGTGCCCATTGTTGGGATTGTTGGGAACCAAGCTGTGGCACTTTTGACGCGGCTGTTGAGACTCATACACTGTTTGACTTGTGCAGATTGCCGGGCTCGTGTTTGCCTTCTTGTATGCAATGGCATTGCTAACAATTCGCGCCTTCTTGCGACCAGCGACGATCGGTGGCAGTGCACCGCCGACGCCGGCTGCAACGAGTGCAAGTGGTCTCGCACCGTTTCCAACATCGAGCACAAGCCATGGGAGCTCAAGTATGGCCGATCTGCCATTGCCAGCGCAACCAGATCGTCCGGCACCAGTCCATGCTCGTCGCGGCTGGCTGCGCTCTTTCCCAGTTCGCGCACGGGGATCCATCACGCACAACGTGAACATGCTCAAGCCACAATCATTGAGCTACTGTAATGCCACGAATCGCAATGTACCTGGTGAATTTGTTGCGTCTGTGCCCTAACTCTCTGTGTCGTTGGTCTGATTCTAGCGCCAGAAGATGATGCCGTTGCCGAGAAAGTATCGTAAGAGAGCACTTGTGATGAGGGCTCGGTAGACATTGTTTGCAAACTCAACACTTTGCCACTTTGCTTTTGCAGAATTTGGCTTTGCACCTTCACTTTGGCCGTTAGTCTGGCTGCTATCTTGCTATTGCCCATCAGTATTGTATCAAACGAAGTCCTACTACGTTATCCTGATGGTGCCTACATCCAATGGCTGAATGGTCGCTTAATTTATTGTACGAAAGCAGCTGGAATCGAGATGTGCGTTTGTTTGCTTTTTTTTTTGTTCCTGTTGTTTTGTTTCTCACCACGCTCCACGACACAGTCTTCTGGGACTTTATCTTCCTGTCTTCAAATGCTGCTCTGTTTGTTTTGCTACCCTTCGCGTACTTTTTCATGGAGGCGGTCGGGCTCTTTGGACGGGTTTGTATTTTTTGGCACATTTGTCTTTCGTTGTGTGTGTGTGTGTGTGTGCCATTCTCTGCATACCTCCCTATTTGCTAATGCGAGGCAATTTTGCTGGATGCTTTCTTTTTTTTTTTTTGACAGGGCCTGCTGGCACGTGTGTACGAAACGTCCTTTCTTGTCGGACTGTTATCGCTGCTTTTTATAGGTAATTTCTCTGTTCTAAACGCTGGATCTTGCTCTCCTTCGTCTGACAACTCACGTCCGAGACGGCTGGCAACTCGCAGTCTTCGCGTATGTGATTCAAGCTACCTTTACCACCCAACCGCTGGCCAATTTTCTACACTACTTTTTCTTTCTGTATTCTGGCGTCTCTCTTCTCGGCGCCGTCGTATCACTATGTAAATGCCCTTGAATTTCGATCAGTTTTGCGCAACAGATAGTCAGAGCGACTGACCTCGTTTCTGCTGAATTTGCAGGGTACACACCGCTCGGAGTTGCGCAGTTTGTGGCTCGCGCGTCCCACATTTCTCTCCCTCAGCCGGAAGCTCCAAAGACCATTGATTCCAAGTTGATTTCTTCTGCGGATCGACTGCAGGAAATTGCTTGGGAAGAGACCCGACTTCGGCTGGAATTAACGCGACACCAGTCAGTCATGGCTCCTGCCGTCGAACGTGATCAAGTCCTGTCATCTCTTGCTGCACTGGACCGGGAGAAGCATCTCATCCACCAGCACGCCAAGCTCGGCCAGAGCTCCCACTGGCTGCGTCGGGTTTTTCGTTCCATCTCGTCCGTCTGCACCTCCTTGGCTGTACTCGCCTTGTCTGGGTACTTTATGCTGCAGATGGCCTGGAATGTGCTCACTAGTATCCTTAAACCAGGAACCTGGCCTCTCGGTAGGCCAAATTTGAACATTTTGCGTGGATTTTTTTTTTTCGTTTTGGTTTGTGGTTCCTAGCTGATTTTCTTCGCTTGCTGGAATCGGACAGAGTATGCAACTGAATTTGCCTTTGGCGTGGCCAGCTCGTCGTCGATTTTAGGCACCGTTGGCGCTGTCTTGGACATTGTCTTGATGGGGTGCGTTCTGCGCGAGACAACTGTTCGTTGGTGGTTGTTCATTTCCTCGCACTGACACGGATGTTTTTTTTTCAAATCCTCAGTTACTTTCTTGGCTGCTCCATTCTCGGGATATTATCGTCTCCATGGTTTCGACGCATCCGACCTCAGCGCCACAATACGTCCATCGAGCTGATCATCTTAAATTGCGCCGGTTTTCTGTTGCTCAGCTCGTCATTGCCATTACTCTCGCGAATTCTTGGTGAGTAGTGTGCTCTCGCTTTGCTCTCCTCTGGCTGTCGTTCGAGCTTGAAGTTCATCATTCCATTTTCGCTTGTCCAGGTGTCACGAATTTCGACTTGCTTGGCCGCTACGCTCAATTCGACTGGCTGAAAAGTCGCCTGCTCCTTGTATTTTACAACATTATGTTTCTCAGCTGGACTGCTCATGGCATGTATGCAACGTTAACGCGAGCAATGTAACGAGCGTGATGCAGTTGCATTGTTTGAAATTATTTGTGTATTTAATAATATTCTTTGACAGCTTAATCTTGCCTTTCTCAGCTTTGCAATCGACGGAGGACTAGCATTCCGAGCGAATTGGAGTCTGCCCTTGTACGGTTATTGATGTTTCAAGTCACTGCTGTTGGAACATGACTCACGATTTTCTACGTTTGGGTGAACTCTAAAAACTCCATTGGAACACTTGGCTTGCAGCAGCAATACAACAGAGCAAGCACAAACACTTGGGCTCCCCGTGAACGATCAGTGCGATGGCAGACAGGCTGCAACATGAGCTACACTGGGCCCAACACCTGGGCCTGAACGCGGAAGAACCGCTGCAAACACTACCGTCGAGAACAATGTGACAGCAGGCTGGCACAACTCTGAAACACTCTTAGAAAACACTCTTGGAAAAACACTCTTGGAAAAACACTCTTGGAAAAACACTCTTGGAAAAAACTCTTGGAAAAACTCTTGGAAAACCTCCAGGAAAAACTCTTGGAAAAAACTCTCGGAGCGACAAACTCCAAATGGAAGACTTGCAGCAACACGAGTCATTGATCACTCGTTGGTCGCGGTGCTGAGCGCAACGGTGCCAGTAATGGAGGCATAGTCGACGGTGGAAGCGATCGGTTCGCTTGGCTGAATGCGTCCAGCAGCGTGCGCCTCAACGTAGAGAACATCAGCGCTGTCGGCATTGGCACCTGAAGAGGAAATGTCAGAAGTTGCAAACTGACGATCAACGGGCAGAGGCGGCGGGGGAATGTTGAGGGCCTCGTAGGTAGGATTGTTGTCCACAGTTTCGTAGGCGTTTTTGTTCGCTCCATCGTAGTGCATGCCGAACTTCTCTTCGTCAGAATTGGAATATGTAGTGTTGTTCATCATTCCAATTCGATGGCCGGATGTGGCCAGTTTCAACGACGCGCGGCGACGCCACAGAGCGACGAGAACAATCAGGGCCACCAGCACCACACCTCCGGCAGCACCAACGGCAATCGGGAGCGTGTTTGACGACGCCTGGTTGGCAGCCGCAGCGGCCTTTACAGCTTCGATGGATGCGGCAATGACAGAGGCACTGGCGGCACTGACAGAGGCACTGGCGGCAGACATGCTGGCGGTCGACACGCAAGCACCTTCGATCATTTGGTAGCCATTGTAGCATGCAAGGCAGCGGTTGGTCTGGTTGCAACTCAAACAGTTGGAATCGCAGCAACTAGCGTCGCCAGCTCCGTAACATGTGCCGCAGGCGGGATGGCAGGCTGTGAGATAGAGGTCAATGGTGAGAACCGAGGAAACCAGCCGAGTGCATGAATCGCTTTCATCTTACGCTGCAATTGATAGGTCATGTAAGTGCTTGGAGGCGGAGGAGCGGAAGCAAAGGTATTTCCAAACGTAAGTAGCAATAAAGGTGACAGGCCCGTGAACAGTCCGCCAGGCAAAGTGGTCAATGGAAGGCCGAACATGTTGCTGCATCAAATACATGTTAAAAGTTAGACGGATAAAGCTTTTTGCAACGTGAAGGAAAGCTATCAGAGGTCGAGAAAAAGCAGTTGAAGGTAAGTCTTATAGGCCTTACATAGAACGCAAGGACGAAAGACCATTGAACAGGCCAGCAGGAATTGACGTCAGTGACCCGATCAAAAGTCTGTCGAAAAACCCAGGTTGAGACTCCAATGAGCATGGCGTATCGTTGAATGAAAATAGCATCGCGTTTCAAATCTTGCTCCCGTACATATTGGTAAGATCAGACAGCCCTTGAAAGATGCCAGCTGGAAGCGTAGTTGGCGTGTCGTAGAGATAACTATTCAGGAGCAGGGCCGTTGAGTCTCATTGCCAACAGCTCCCACAGCAATAAACGATGTCTCAGATGTCTCTACATTGACTGAATGGCGGGCAACTTTGAGAAAGCATCAACCGGAAGATACTGGAATTCTGCCTGGTTGATGGACCTGCAGAAGAATGCATCGAGATGACATTCGAAAACAGCACTGAGCATTTCAAACATCCTCAAGTCGTTTTTAAGCGATCAATCGCTCACAGAGTTGTCAGGGACGAAAGATTTGTGAACGTGTTTGCGCTGAGAGTGGTGAGACCTGGAAATCCGATGCTCCTGACCAAACAAAGTCCAAAATCAGTTCCTATCACGGGAACACCACAGACAAGCAGAAGGGGCAAGCAATCAGTTCATAAAAAAAACCTCACATCCAGATTAGTGAAGAGAGCGGCGCAAAGGCATTATCGGGAATGCTGAGGACCGAGTCGTCTGTCGAGGTTAAAGATCTGTGCCAGACGTCGTATGAGCACAAGATCAATGCCACAGTAGTCCAAGGAAATATAAACTTACAAAGAAGTCAACTTGGGGACCTGACTCAACGCACTCACAGGGAACGCGGTAAGGCCGGAGCTCATCATGTTCCTTCAATTCGGACACAATTCAGATTTGATTCCATTCAAGATTTCACGCGATGCAAGCTTTTTAACATGTAGCGGTACGTACAGAGTTAGCAACTCAGAAAGCCCACTGAAGGAGGCTGCCGACAACGACTGGATTGGGTTTGAGCTCAACACGCTGTTCAGCAGAAGGTGAGGGGGCTGGTTTGGCGCGAGTTCAAAGTACCAATGCTTACAGTTCTTTGAGACTAGAGAGGTGGCTCAGCGCATTGTCGGGAATTGAAGACAGGCGATTGTTGGCCAAGTACCTTTTTCATGATATGCAAGCAGAGAATCAGCCGAAGCCCTGTGACCCCCCACTTTTCACCCTCCACTGAAACTGAACGACGTACAAAGATTCGACCGTGTCAAGGCCAGTAAAGGCATCCGGGTGGATGGAACTGATTTGCATGTCCGCAAGCATGCTGAAGGGTCAATGGGAACGAATGGGTGAGCGTGGGGATTTTTTAACAGTACGGGAATGGCCGAAAGGAAACCTCACAGCATTTTCAGGTTGGTCAGGTTCATAGAGCCAAAGGCATTGGCTCCAATTGTCGTAATTCCAGTGTATGACAGGTCCCTGTACCAAAGCACGGTGAGATTTCCCAATACAACAAGTCACACCAAAGCAAGATAAAACAAACAAACAAAAAAGCGTGCGTTACAGCTTGTTGCCCAAGATGTCCAAGTCGTTCGGTATGACCAACCTCGAATCGTCGAGGGAGACGATTGACAATTGACACTCGGGCGTGGTGCAGCTTCCACAAACGTTGCAGTAGTTGTCTGCCTGAGCCGCAGTTGTCATCCAGCAGAGCACCAGGCAACCCAGGAGGGCAGCCTGACGCCAGTCTCTTGATAGCAGGGCCTTCATCGAAAACAAAAAAAAAAAAGAAACAAAAAAAGGGCCTGCGTGGGAATTTTGGTTGTAAACCACAAAAAGAGTCAATGTTTGTGTGCCATACAAGTCGATTCTCTCCCCTTCCCGCCGACTCCGATACAGGCAAAGCGCAAGTTGAACAAGACGTGTTTATGAGCGGCGTTCTTTGCCATCAATGTGAAGTGGACGAGCGTCCATGAGGAAGAACCAGCGAGAGAGCGAAAGGCAATAAAACCCGGTACGGAAAAAAACAAACAGAAGAAAGATAAACAATAACAAACACAAAAACCCACTACAAACCGTGACACGCCGGTCGCGCATCCATTCGCGAATCCCCAACCCCAAGGGAAAATAACGCAAACCGTAACAACCAACCAGCGAACTGCGAAGCGAGTATATACGCGGCGGCGGAGCACAACGCCGAGCGACGCAAAACAACAAACTTGTAGCGTCCGTGCGCAACTTTTTGTTTTGTCGCTTTTGATCTTCGATTGTTCTTCTTCTCGCAGTTCGGGTGGTGTGTGACCAGCTGGCAAGGCGAGCGCGCCAGAGCGTGGCAGGGTGTGATGGATGACATGGTGGTGTGCTACAGAGAGATGAAACAAGAAAAAAAAAACCAAAAGAAAGAAAACCAAAAGAAAAAAAACAAAAACAAAAACCACCACAAAAACAAACTCGTACCAAAACAGAAAAAAAAAAAAGAACGAATGGTCACAAGGTTGGGAAGGCGAATTCAACTCAACTCAAGTTTGAATCGAAGCCTTACAATGCAAGCACTCCAAAAGAAGGCAAACATCGCCAGAACTTGTAGGAGCAGAGAGCTGGAAGGCGACGGACGATGAGGTCGTGTCAAGAGTGCTTTGTTTTTCTTCATTTTTTTTTCAAACCAAAGTATTGTTTGGTTTCCCCATGTTCACACACTTCACAACAACCGATGCTTGTGCGTGATGAAGCTCGTTATCACTTCTGGCGAGCACAGTCTCACTCATGCACATCAGCAGCCAGGAGTGGGCATTGGGCATGTGAGCAAACACAAAACGCAACCAAAAGCGGTCCAACACTCATTGCCTTAGGGATTGAGCGTGTCTTCCAGCGCGGTCTAGGGTGCGTACGATGCCACGCGCGCGTTCTCTCCCTTCATCGATCATCGAGAAACACTCAAGGCTTTCCAGAATGGCATGTCTGGTGAAAGGAGGCAAAACTCGCCATTGGATTGGGCTTTCCTCGCCTCTGCCCGTCTCATTCATGGCTGTAATGATTCCAGGGAGCGCATTCATCCACTGCGCACTCATCCACTGCGCATTCCTTGTACCAGTGGTAAACATGCTCGACCATGTGCAGGTCGAAACGAAGCGAGCCCATTCGTTCCAATTTCGTTCTTTCCCTCCCCCCCCGTCACCCAAACCCGCCACTACCTCAACCGTTGCAATCATGCACGTTGGCCTCTCAAATGTCCAATAATATCCCAATTCCAATACCAAAGCGCGTCGCACTGCGCACTCTTATTTTTCATATTTCGGCCTTTTTGCTGGATTTGGAGGATGTCGCGCCAAAAGCCGGCCGCGCTCCAGCTGGACTCGTCGCTGGCAACCCCTGTCCGGGCCCACCCGAACAACCACAGCTTGCCTTCTCACATTGCCGCGCCTGCCGCTGCCGGCTTCGTGCTGGACGCCGCCTCGATTGGCTTTGCTGACCAATCCCACTCTGCAGCCCACCGGCAGCGGCTGTACGGCTCAGGCCTCGACGCTGCCGTCCATGCACCCATCGCAATGGGCACACTGGGCGCTGCGGAGCTGAGCCACCACAATGCGGCGGCGGCGGCGGCGGCACCCGTCGTCAACCTCGGCAGCACGCCTGCGAACCATTTGCAGCCAGCCATCTCGACGCCCAGAGACTTTGCCATCGCCCTGGCTCATGTGAGAGGCACACAAGCAAAAACAAAAATCTCTCCAAATCCATACATCCAAGCCATTCAAAACCCCTCCCCTCAGCAATCTCGCTCTGTGTCTCTGGTTTGTTTGAGCTGGAACGAGAGTCCTTTTTAAACTTTAAAATTGGGACCGGAAAGAAAGCCAAAAAAAAAAAAAAAAAAAAAAACTTGTGATTAAACGTTTCGCAAAATCACAAAAGAAGACGCGAAAGTTTGCTGGATTTGATGGTCGGTTGGAAATAGCAAGGAATGCGATACGAGGCAAAGTTGGAACAAAGTTGGAAAGCTGGGAAGCAGACTAAAGTACTGACGGATGACTAACGTTGCAACGTTCTTGTTTGTTGCACAGATTGACGCCGCCATGGCGGAAGGAATGTCAATGACACACAACCCAAGCTCAGAGTCGCATGGCACGCACAGATCAGGAATGGGTGCAGCCACTACCATGGATCAGCACGGTAGCGCTTCCCGTCAAATTATGATGGAACAAGAGGTTCCACCATACATTGGCCATCAGCTGGTTCGTCGAGCGTCTCCTCAACCACCGTCGCAAGTATATCAGCAACCAGAACACGCGCAACCGATGCTCCGTCGAGCGTCTCCTCAGCCGCCGTCGCAAGTACATCAGCAACCAGAACACGCGCAGCCGATGCTTCGCCGAGCGTCGCCACAGCCGCCAACACAGGAGCTGCTGCCGCAACCGTTCGCGCCCTACCAACCGCCGCTTTTGTACAGTCCGCCGCAGCAAAACCTACACCACCCCACGCCGTTTCAATTCACCCAACCAAACGAGGAGCTCTCTACAGGCGCCGGATCAACCACCTCCACTCTGCATGCGAGCTCTAGTAGCGTCTTTGCTGGCTTGGATATCGCAGTGCTCGACGATGCTTCATCCGACCGGCCTCATTCTCCAAGGCCCGCGCGAGCCTCTTTGAATGAGGTGACCAACACGTTGGCCGAAATATCTGAAGAAGTTGAAAGAAAAGCGTCACCATTCTTGAATCCGCTCCATCCTCCGCAGCAGGACCAGCAACAACAGCAACTTGAACAACAGCTTGTACTGCAGCAACAACAGCATCAATATCTGCAGCAGCAGCAGCAGCAGCAGCAGCAGCAGGCACTTCAGCAATCTCTTCACCATACACCGTACCAAGAGCAACCGCAGTACCAACAGCCGCAGTACCAAGAGCAATCGCAATATCAACAGCAACCTCCTTATCAGCAGGTGCAATCTCAGTACCCTCAGCAAATGCCTCACCAAGCTCTTCCTCTGCCACTCGTATCTCAAGACCAGCAACACGCATCTGAATCATTGCATGCTTATTCACAGACCAACTATCTGCCGGCTCAAACAATGTCCTTCGACTCAACACCTTCTCCACTTCTCAATGACCTCGACAACGCCTCGCAATCGGGCATATCTAGTACCAGTGCGAGCTCGTCTGCAACCGCCCTCCCACCATCGTCGGTACTTGACGAGGAGGAGTACGGTGACAGCGACTTGGACGGCACTCCCTTTAACACAGTCCATGATCGGCGACAGCTGCACCTGATATCCGAGCAGCGGCGGCGGAAAAACATGAAGGATTCCTTTGACGAGTTGACGCGGATGGTTCCTGGCTGCAAAGACCGAGCAAGCAAGGTACGCGGCCTTTCGTTGCTGTAGTTCTGTTTATTTTTTTTTGACGTGCTTGCGAAAACCAGCTTTTTTCAAATCTCATTGTCTGCACTGTCTGCGCTTGTGTGCTTGCCGCAGCTTGATATTCTGCTCAAGACGATCGATTTCTTGACCTTCCTCAGAAAGCAGAACGATCTCTTGCAGGCTGAGAATGCGGGTTTGAAGGACGCCCTGCTCCAATTCTCGCAATCACAGCAGCTGCAAGAGTACGGTCAAGGTGGCGAGGTCGAAAGGGTCATTCCTGAGCTGCCAGCTGTGTCAACAATCCCTACAACGCGCGTGCCTAGCTCTAGTCGCAGTAGTAGCATTAGTAGCAGCAGTAGCAGTAGTAGTGGTGCGCCAGTGCAACGACAACCAGCAGCAGCCAAAGCCAAATCTGTTTTGCGCGAACGGATTCGCAAGCAACAGGAGCAACGGCAGCAGCAGCAACAAGAGATTCAAAACACGCATCAAGACCATGTTCGCAACGTGCTCTACTCGCTTGGGTTGTAACAACGCAAATCAATTGTTTCAAGTGTTTTCAATTGTTTTCAATTGCTTCATTCTTTTTTTTTTTTTTTCTATTTTTCGTTTTTCGTTTTTTTTTTTTTTTTGGTCTCGCACACACAATGTCCTCCGACAAGACCCCTCTCACGCCTCAGTACTCGCAGCAGCAGCCGTCGTACCCGCCGCCGCAGCAGTACGCATACCCTCCTCCGAGCTACCCCGCGCCCCAGCAGCAGCAGCAGCAGCAGCAAGCGCCGCAACGAGAGGCGTCTTACATGTCATCGAGCAGCTCGGACCACCAGGCGTACGACATCTCGGCTGCTCCGCCGTCGTATGCCAGCGCCACGGCGAGCTCGGACGTCTACCACTCTAACGACCCCGACCTGCAGGAGTGGAAGGGCATTGCCGCGTTTGATGACAGCATTGTCCGCCGAGGTGAGTAGTTTGGTTCCGCACGAACAAGCAAAAGCACCTTTGCTGCTGCTGCTGCTGCTCTTCTCTCTCTCACAAGTCATTCTGATGGACTCTTTCTTCTCTCTTTGCTCATTCACTCGAGAGTTGAGGTGTGATGTGGAGGGTTGAAGCGAGTCACTGGGAGGCGCGTGTCCTGAGCCCAATAAAAGTTCCGCTTCGACGTTTGAATTGGAATCTGCGTAACCATCTCGTCATCAATCAAGCCAGCAAGCAAGCAAGCAAGCAAGAAAGCTTCAACAACAACAACGAAAAATAGAGACATGGATTTTGGAAAGCAAAGCCAAGAAGAAGGCAACGGTTTTTGAGGAAAAGCAATGACAAGTCAAAGGAGAAAAAAAAAACCAAAAAAAAAAAAAACCCCGCCAAACAAGTCAAAACAAAAAGGCCGAATGTGACGTCGCTTGCTCAGAAAAAAAAAAAATCAAAACAAACCAAAGCAACAAAAATGACAAAACAGCCTCTGAGCAGATTCTCAGCACTTTTGGAGACGTTCTGAGCACTTTTTGAGGCTTTCTGAGCACTTTTGTACAACTTTGTGTCGCTCATTGGAACAATTTTGACATGTTACTTACTGCTGCACACACAGGTTTCATCCGCAAGGTGTACTCCATCCTGACTCTGCAGCTGCTCGTCGCGCTGGGCTTTATTGCCTTGTTCTTGTTCAACAGCAGCGTGAAGCACTATGTCCAACGCAACCAAGCCATGCTCATCACTGCCATCATCCTCACGTTCGTCTTGATTCTTGCGATGGCCTGCGTCGAGAAAATCCGCCGTCAAACTCCGTACAATTACATCTTCCTTGGTCTATTCACGCTGGCCGAAAGCTACCTTCTGGGCGTCACGGCATCGTACTACGACGTTGACGCTGTGCTGATTGCAGTTGGCATTACCGCGTTCGTGACGTTCGGATTGACGCTCTTTGCCTTCCAGACCAAGTGGGACTTTACCGGTTATGGCGGCTACCTCTTTGGTGCGCTCCTCGTCCTCATCTGCTTTGGCTTTATGTGCATTTTCATTCGCGGTGAAGTAAGTTTCATAGCACGTATTGCCTCCCCCACCCCTTTCCGTTTTGCCGTGGTTGGTTGGCTCATCGTCTGTGCGCGAATCCTCTGTTCTTCAGATTGTCCGCATCGTGTACGCCGCTCTCGGAGCCTTGATATTCTCAATGTACCTCGTCTACGACACGCAGCTGATGCTTGGTGGAACACACAAGCTCGCACTTTCTCCCGAAGAGTGGGTCTTTGCCGCTCTCAATCTGTACCTTGACATTATCAACCTCTTCCTGTTCATCTTGTCCCTGGTTGGCAATCGCCGTTAAAGCCAAGCTTGTGCCCGCCTTTCGGTCTTTGAGAAACGACTTGTATTTTTGTTTGCCCTGTTTCGTTATTTTGTAGGAGGTGTTTTTTTGGTGTTTGCATGATGTCGTCAATGAACTGTTCGTCCGCTTTGTATCGCCTCCTATTTGCGTCCCCCCCCCTCTCAGTCTTCTCAATCTTAGAGCCTTTGTTTTGACAGATTTTTGAAACATGAACGACGTGCCTCGCAAACGAGCTCACCTCGAATCGACCGCGAGCGACGCCTCAGTGGATGCATCATCATCCTCATCCTCATCGCTGTCATCAGGCATCCAGCGTGATGGCGGCGCAACGGTGGTCCACTCTGATCAGCGGCACATGCAGCTGAATCCGAGCGACGATCTGCGCATCCGAGCCATCCACCCGCTGATTCCGCCGCAGATCCTGATGGAGGACATTCCCATGACGACGACTGCGCTGAGCACGGTGCAGAGGGCGCGCGTCGAGTGCCAGAACGTCATCGCCCAGCGTGATGACCGACTCCTCGTCATTGTCGGACCGTGCTCCATCCACGACCCGGCAGCCGCGCGCGTGTATGCCCAGCGCCTGCGGGAGCAGATTGGAATCCACGCTGCCGATCTCGTCATTGTGATGCGCGTCTACTTTGAGAAGCCCAGGACGACCGTTGGCTGGAAAGGCCTCATCAACGATCCCTTCCTCGACGGCTCCTTCAAGATCAACAAGGGCCTCCACATTGCAAGGCAACTGCTGTGCGACGTCAACGAGATGGGCGTTCCGGCAGGCGTCGAGTTTCTAGACACAATCACGCCGCAGTTTCTCTGCGATTTCATTTCGTGGGGTACGTTCGGTTTTGTGCAGATTTGATGTTTGGGGTGTGGAATCGTGATTCTGTGACCTTATGGCATGGAGGGGCGATGATGGTTGACGTTGTTGGATAATTGACGTTCTGAGCCTTTTGTGGTTGTGTACGACAGGTGCGATTGGCGCAAGAACCACGGAGTCGCAGGTAAGAGAGTTGCATTGATTGCACCCGCACCGCAGAGCGCTGTATGACATGAAGGTGCTTACTGTGCTGCCCGTGTGAACCCATCCGTTGGTAGATCCATCGAGAACTCGCGTCTGGCTTGTCATGCCCGGTCGGCTACAAGAATGGCACATCGGGCTCGGTGGATATTGCCGTGGACGCAATCCGCGCATCCAAGGCGCCACACCACTTCCTGGGTGTGAACAAGTATGGGCTTGCTGCTATTGTGACGACGGATGGAAACCCCAGCTGCCACCTGATTTTGCGCGGCGGAAAGAGCGGTCCCAACTATGGCCCGTCGCACATTGCCGAGTGCAGCGAGCGTCTTGAGAAGGCCAGCGTCAACACTGGCATCATGGTCGACTGCAGCCACGGAAATTCCAACAAGGACTATCGGAACCAACCCAAGGTTGCTGCGGCTGTGGCAGAGCAGCTTGCCGCGGGCGCGCGCAACATTATTGGCGTCATGATTGAAAGCAATCTGCACGAAGGCCGCCAAGACATCAACCCCGAAACGGGTCTACCTGGGCTTCAGTACGGTGTCAGTGTCACTGATGGTTGCATTCACTGGGACGACACTGTTGCCGTGCTCGAGACTTTGGCTGCGGCCGTTCGATCTCGCCGAAATGTCAGCATGGCTCAATGATCGAGCGATGTCGCGTTTTCAAGCCCGTTTCAGCGTCCACGCAGTGTGCAATCTCAACACCAGGAACCGAGATCTCAATGGGGGATGCATTCAGTCCCCGACAAAGTCCAAATGTGCATTGTTCTGCACTCTGCTATAATAAATCAAATTCATGTACAGTCCACAACGACCTCATTCCATCAGCATATCATCAATTCACTCTTTTATTTTATTTTCCCACTTGTAAGTCTCTTTTATCTCTGAATTGCTTGTCTGAGATTTTCGTTCGCTGACCAAACCTCAAAACGCTGCACTTTCCAGATTGACATGCAAGAAGAGACGCGACGACTCTTCCGCCAGCAACAACAAGCTCAAGCTGCTGCTGCTGCTGCTGCTGCTGCTTCGAGTGCCGGGTCGACGGCGGCAAAGCCAGCAATCGCAGCTGGGCTCAATGGCGGCCTTGCTTCAGGAGGAGCAACGAGCTCACTGCCGCGTTACGCAGTGTAAGCAAGCCTGGACTCTGGTGAAGATCATCAACATGAGACGCACTGGCCGATTTCGAGAGAGTCGATCGGGCTGCTGGACCGGGATGCAATGGTGATGGGCGGTTTGTATGGGACTTTGCATTGAGGCTGACAATCCGTTCGATAACTTTGTGGCTACCTTGGATGCAGACAAACAAGCTCTGGAACATTGTACTGCACGATCTGCGACATGTCTGTCAAGAGCGAGCTGCTATGGCCGGCACATGCGAACGGGAAAAAGCACAAAGAAGTGAGTTATTTGGACAAGGCAATCGATCTCACGAACGAACGAAAAGAAGGGGGCTTCACTGAGAACTGTATCACTCGCACATAGGCTATCGCATCGGCAAATCAAGCAACAGCAAGTAGCAATGCTGCACGATCGAAGCGACCCGCGGAACAGGAAGCAGACGAGGGTGGGCACGACTCGAAGCGCTCTCGTTCAGGTATTGTGGTGAATGTTGGAGAGTCCGGGCGTGAACGAGACCTCTACCAGCTGAATGAAGCTGGGAGAGTGTTGATGCTGGAAGAGTGTTGCTGCTGGGAGAGTGTTGCTGCTGGGAGAGTGTTGATGCTGGGAGAGTGTTGATGCTGGGAGAGTGATGCTGCGTTCGGCACCCGCGGGTCCCAAAATGCTAACTTGGAAATTTTGTGTGCACATTTCACAGCCCTTCCAGCAGACTTTTTCGGCTCTGGAAACGGAGCAAGCCATGGCACCGAGGTAAGCCATTGGCATTCCTTTTGACGACAACGCTTTTCAGATGCGGGTGCGCCTTCCCTGCACTCGCTTTTTGTTGCTCTACTTTATTTTTTTCTCACCGCCTTCTCCGTGGATTTTCGCTTTACAGGAACCTGCCGCTACCAAAACAGCCCTACCAACGGGCTTCTTTGACGATGCAGATCGCGATGCCAAGGCACACAACGAACCGACTGCTGCCGACAAGTTTGAGGCTGAATGGGCCAGCTTCTCGAAAGCGATCGCGGAGGAGACCAGCCAAACGCCTGCTACCGACGAGCACCTTCATGCCGATGATGACAACGAGTGGCTGGAGCGGGAACGCGAGCGACTAACGGAGCAAGAGTGGAATATGAGGAAAGTGGCGCGATTTCGGGATCAGTACCAATCCCATGTCCAACGCCTGCAACAGCAGGGCAAGCAATCCGCCGCAGCACCACCGCAGGCCATGAGTGTTGACAACGGTGCCACAAACGAGGGCGATGAAAGCGATGACGATGACGAGGCGAATGACCCCGACGCGGTTCACAATTGGAGAATGAAGAGCAGTGTTTGAAAATTGGCTTTATCAAGAAATACAACGTTCAGCGCCATAAAGCATGAATGTACGAGATCGAACTGTACATGATAGCACACAGTCCAACAGGGGTCAATCAAAACACGATCGCGAAGGCTGCACCGGCCGCAGCTTTGGTCAACGGCGCTTCGGCTCGCTGACATATTGCGTGCCACTCGTGATGTGGCAATGCCTCGGTCCCGAACGTGTCGTCGGTTGCAAACACCATCCCATTGCTGCTTACGGCAATCACCGAACCTGCAGCGCATGCAACATCCACGACGGTCGACTTATCCGGGAGAGGTGATAGCGGCACCAGATCTTGCTTTTCACGATCGCCATGCCGAGTGATTGATGCCAAGCGTCCCGATTCTGCAAATGTCGTGAAATTTAGTCAGTTTGGCCATCACGAACGCACTGAAATCGGACTCCCACTCCCCAATGTTGAAATTGCTCAAAACGACTCAACGCAACCATACCAAACAGCACAACGGTAAATCCGTTGCCAGAAGCGAGCCGACGGACTGGGCCCCAAACGGATGCGTCAACGGGAATGACGCGCGGCGTCAGACACTCTCGGTGCAAAACGCGGAGCTGGTCCAGGTAGGCAGAATCATACTTGGCCGTGGTGGCAGTGCTCTCAAGACGCAAGGAATCGTGCAGCGAATCCAGACCAGGTTCCTCAGCAAAAAGAGGTGCAATGGGAGCGCTCGAGAACACTTCCGGTGATTCGCGCCCAAAGATGGCCAAATGTTGATTGGTCGCGTCGTTCGGGGCTGTGAGGACGAGCGCCGTGTGAGAGTGACCACATGCCGCATGAGAAACCTGCCACGAAGCGTCCAGAGCAGTTACTCGCATCGGCGACACGGCTTTGAGCATTCGATGGGTGAGCTGGAAGCTTGCTGATGGTGAGGAAGTGCCGGGTTCGTTCGGGATGGGCAACGTTTTGGGAGAAGCAAGCCATCCCCAAAGGAAGATTCCAGCTGGACCCCAAGCAACAGTTTGGTAGCCACCAGCCGCCAGCAGACGCATGCCAGGTGGCAGCCCACGAACAATACGCAGCGCGCCGTCGTTGAGGGCGTCGCCATGACCCAACAGGCCCGCTCCCCAGCATGCCACTCGCCCCGACGTCGACAAAAGAGCAGTGTGGAAAAATCCGGCTGAAACATCACGGAATAGCTTTGATGTAGCGGCTGCTGCTGTCGTCCGTGGGCTGTTTTCAAGCTCCGCTGTAGTAGTAGTAGTTGTCGTCGTAGTCGTGGTAGCAGCAGTTCTGGCATTGCTCGATTCGGTCGTTTCGGACAAGAGTTCAACGCGCAATGGCGTGGATGTCAGTCGACGCGGAACTGGAAAATCCTCCTCGTCCTCGTCAAAGATGCTCGAGTGCTGATCGTCCGTTCCAAGCTGCGAATAGAAATTCGATCCCCTATCCATGCAACGCAGTCGCAGTATGAATGAATGAGCTTGAGTACAAGAGCAACGAGACAACTCCACATGGTTGAGATGGAACCCCAAGCAGCAAACAATAACAACAACCGCCATAATCTAAAACAAAGTACTTGCCAGCTGAACAGCGATTGCCGGGTGCTGTGAGGATGCGACTTGTCTAGCGGATTGAGCTCATCGACGAGCGCAACGGCGTGACCGAGCCCAGCCGCAACGGCTGCCACGCGGAACGCCGGCGCAGTCAGCACTGCAAGCGGCAATGGCGGGATTGCGTCGTGAGCCTCGCCCGAGCCGCACTGGCCAAAGCTGCCGTCGCCCCTGCTCCAAGGAGAGAAAGGTGAAAGAGTGAACGAGCGAGCCAAGAGCAGCGATCGTCGGGCTCAGTCTGCATTACCATGAGACGGCGACGGATGACGGATCGACAAGAGCAACAGCACGACGAGCAGCAGCAGGGGCGATGTGGCGAAGCAGTGGCGACGCGTGCTTGGATTGCGACTGGAGTATGGGCGTGGCGGCAGACTGCGCTCCGAACGACACGAGCCGCTGCCACAGTCCCATTGTTGACTGAGCAAAGATGGGGGACTGACCGTAGTAGCAATAAATAGTCGTCAAACATTGTCAGAGTGTCGAGGTGAGTTTGACGAAAAGGTGTGAAAATTGACCGGATTCGCATCGAATCGCAAAAAAGCGAAAATCGGTTGCGAGACATAGAAACAAGAGCGCAAAGCGAAGGTGAGTTGACGAGGCGAGTGACAAGTTGGGTTGACAAGGCGAGTGACAAGTTGGGTTGGCAAAGATGCGAAGTTGACCGCATCGCAGTGCAGGGCAAATGCGAATTTGGTTGCGCGCCTGGAAACAATCACGAAAGCGAGGTCTCGTTCGATTGGACGACCATCCGTGCAATTGTAGCTGTTGTTACCGACAACAACCGATGTGTAGTTTGGTATTTGGTGACATCACCGTCTAAAATGCGTCATGACGCGACAGTGATCAAACGCTCTTCTGCTTGGTGAGATGGTGAAACCACCACGACAAGCAGAGGCCTCCCCCCCCCCGCTGCAATACATCACAACAGCAAGCTAGCGCTGGTTTGCACGGAGAAGCGAACGGGAAGAGGGCGGGCGGAACGAGAACCGAGATTAGCATCCGCCCAGCAACAGGAACGCATCCCACGCAAGTCAAAGAAGCAGCAGTCTTTGATCTTGCTGTTTGGCTCACCACTCTGTGCGACATCTGAAGGTAGACTGTGCGACATCTGAAGGTAGAGAAGGACAAAAACCTGTAGCGAGTGAGTCAGTTTGGTTTGGCGAATTGAACCGAGAATAGCGTCCGCAACAACAAGAAGAAGATCAAAGCAGCGCTTTGTCTCGCCCCCCTTAACGAGTGATCCTTGTTTTCGGAGACCCGTCTGTGCGAATTGTGCAACCGTGGATTCGCATACAAAGGTATGCAATCCAAGCCCAAACAACAACGACAACAACAATAACAACAACAACAACAACAGCAACAACAACAACAACAACAACAACAACACTTCTGCCAAAACAAACGGTTGTTGCTTGGGATGAACACTTGTACCATCAAGCCTCCGCGATGGGCAAAATGCTCAGAGACACTCGCTCTTCAATGTTGGTAGTTCCATCCCGGTTGGTACTGGGCTGTGTTGCACGTTGCCGCCGGTTGTTGTTGTGGTAGTGTCAAGGTCGAAAGCGGAACTTCGGACTTGCCATTTTCGTTCCTCCGCTTCGTTTCACGCTCTTGTTCCCTTTTCCTCGCCCTTTCTCTCCCTCTCTCTCGCAATCTCATTCCGCTCCTCCTTCTCTACGACTCGAACAGACAATCAGCGTAGCGAGATGATTAGTGGAATGTTGGCGGTTGTTATTATTTTCGCAAAAAACTCCAATTTGTTCTTTTCATTATTTTTCCATTATTTAAACAATTAAAATCAGAGTATTGGGTTGTGGCTTGTGCTTCGCCCACTGGCTCAAAGACCCCCACTGCCGCCTTCCCAATTCGGTTGTCTATCATGTGGACTCGCTGTCGTGCTTGGTTGCTCGCTTTCGGTGCCGACAAAAACGATGAATTCCCATACCAACCAGCCACAACACGCAACAAATCGAAACGCCAGTCTTTTTTTTTTTTTTTTTTTCTTGTCTTTTCACGTCCGCTCTCTTGCTTTCTTCCACTCTACTTTTCGTGCCTCTCAGAGGATCTCTTTCCCTTTGGATTTCGATTCCCTTGTCGCTCCTATTCTCGTCTCCTTTCGCTCCTCAGCCACTCTTCAGTTTTGTGCCACAGATCAACACTGTTCATACTTTCTTCCCTTTTTTAATTTGTATTTTTGTTTTTGTTTATTTTTGAACTTTTTGTATGTCGCGAACTTCTCGATTCGCGGCGACATTTTTTGTCGCTGTTTTGCTGGTCGTTGCTGCCGCTGATGCCGCCCCGCGCATTCACCAGGCGCAGCCCAATGCTGCCAACACGGACGGCACCAGCACCACTCTCTTGAATCTGAGTGGCGACTTTGGCGTGTCGGCTCCGGCTGCAGGCCAGTTCAAGTGCCTGTTTGGCTCCACCCAACAGCAGTCGGTGGCGGCGACCTGGATTTCTTCGACCACTGCCACCTGCGTCCTGCCGACGCGTGCGACCCTCGTCTCGAACGGCGTCGATGTGATCGTCCGCAACTACCTCAACGTGCTGCTCCCAGCGCCGTTCGTCAAAATGAGCTTGACTTTGGACAATGGCGCGACTTTGATCGCCAACTGGCTTCCCATCTTCTTCCCTGTCGCTCCGGCACTCTCGACGCTTTCGCCCGACCGGTAAGTAGTTGCTGAACAGCAGCATCCCGTTTTGCGCACTCTCGCTCTTTCTTTCTTCCTTTGGCTGCTCCTCGGAGCGAGGGGAGGGGCTCGGAGGTGGAGGTGTTGACTTCTAATTTGTCACAACATTTTTTTTAAAGTTTGAACCGCCTGTTTTATTTTTCCTTTTTTTTTTTTTTTTTTTAACAACTCTTGGGGTTCTGTCCCTCAAGCAGTGGGCTGCTGCGAACATTGAAAACATGTCGGAAGGTGTGCGACTTTTGATTGATTTGTTGCCGCCACTGAATGGCTCGCGAGTGGTGATGATGATGACGATGATTGCGCATCGAACCATGCAAAACAAACGGACCAGAAAAAACAAAACAAACCCGCGACGACGCAAAGGCAGGACAAAAGCAATCAACAACAATCATCAACAAAAGGGGGAAAGGAACAGCTGTTGGCAACAATAACGGCGAACAGGTATTTTTGGTGTGATTTTATTTTGTTTTTGCGCTATTCGCATTTTGCCTTGACGACCGGATTTCTGTTTTTGGATGCCTTCGAAGTTTATTGTCAACCCGATATGACACACCCGCTCCTTATCATCCACTCACTCGACGATGCATCCTGCACAACTTGACTCTCGCAGCGGTCCGACGACTGGCAACACTGTTGTTAGTGTTCAAGGCGCAAAGTAAGTTGCTAATGCCACAATTCTCGCTTGTGGAGGAGTGTACGAAAATTCTAACGATGGAACACAACAGCATTCTTGACAGCCGCGACCTTCGCTGCAAGTTCAATGGGCAAGAAACGGTCGGTGCTTACGTGGACAGCACTCACTTGCAATGCCCGACTGCTCCTCAAGGCTCGGCTGCAAACGTGAACATCGAAGTCAAGTCAACTCCCAAGCACATTAGCATGGCCCACCTGTTTGACGGTGTCAACGACTTTAGCGTCGCGCCCATTCCAACTTCGCTCCTTCAGTTCAACTTGACTGTTGAGATTTGGTTCCGCCCTGCCACGCCCGTTGGCTTGATCCAGGCTCTGGTTGACAGCTGCGTGCCTGGCGAAACTCCAGAGACAAACTGCAACTTTTGGATTGAAACTGGCAAGGCTGTTGCAGACGGCATCCATGGCGAGATTGGCATTGGTCACGAGTTTGGGGCGGGCAGCAATCAGCAATATGTGTACTCGGGGATCTTGGACAACACTTACAAGAACAAGTGGACGCACATTGCGCTCGTGCGCGAAGTGTGGGACAACACTACCATCGAGTGCTCTGGATCGTCGTGCCCCTTCGTTGGCGAGTACCGCACGTACGTCAACGGCGAGCTTCTGCTCCCCACCTACAAGTTTACCGTCAACACTGATTTTGGCGAGACCAACACGTACGTTGGCTCGCTTTACACGACGTCGTTCTACAACGGCGGCATGGATGATTTCCGCATCCTCAACTACCCCATGACTCAAGCGCAGGTTCAGCAGTCGATGGAGGAGGTTTACTCGGGCTTTGAGGATGGCGTGCTTGTTTCGTGGGATTTCGAGCCCAACAACCAACAGTTTACTGTCCTCACGTACAACGCCGATGGCGTGACACCCAACACGTACACCCTCTACGCCCTCACGCCCTCGAACGTGGACGTCAGCCGCCAGCTGAACATGGGTGGCGGGACGAATGTGTTCATTCCGAGCATCATCCAGACCGTTGCTTTTGCTGACTACCCGAGCTCTGCCCCGACTCTGAACTTTTTGTACTACACGCCCGAGACTATTACCACCTTTGCGCCCATGCACGGTGTTGTGTCTGGCGGCACGGTGGTGACTATTCAAGGCACTGGCTTTTTGAACTCGACCTACCTGTACTGCCGCTTTGGTAGTGCCACCGCAACTCCAGCAACCTTTATCGATGCAACCACTCTGGAGTGCACCGCACCCGCCTTCACGGCTTGCTCGCAGAGCTCTGACAGCTTGAGCATTCCCGTTTACGTGTCAAACAACAACCAACAGTTTGTCGTCTCGTCAACCAATTTTACCTACTACCAGGCACCGACAATCCAAAGCGTGGCTCCTTCGCAGGCACCACTCGCTGGTAATGTGCCAGTTACCATCTATGGCTCCGGCTTTGTGAATACCCCCGAGTTCCGCTGTCTGTTTGGCGTTATTGCTGTCGTGCCTGTTAGCGTCACTGCAACCTCTGCAGTTTGCGTGACCCCAGACAATCTGCCCGAGGGTGCTGTTGTGGCAAGTGTGACGATCGACGGCCAGACAGCGACGACTTCGCAAGTGATTTTCACGGCATTCGACCAATGGTCACAGATCGAGTCGACGGCTGTTGGTATTGCCATCATTCTCGGCATTGGCTTTGTGATGGTCGTTTGCGTTCACATCTGGCTATTTATCAATCGAAATCAGAAGATTGTCAAGGCATCTGCACCTCTGTTTGGTCAGTTTATTCTGTTCGGGGCGTACCTCGGCTTCGGCGCAGTTGCCGCCTTCTTCCCCACGCCGACAGACGCCTCTTGCACTGTCGGTATCTGGTTTGTCTTCCTCTCGTTCACCTTCATGTTTGCAAGCCTATTTATCAAGAACTGGCGCATCCAGCGCATCTTCACTGTACGTGGTTGAGTTTTTGCTTGAGTGGTCTTTGCTCATGCTGTTTGTATGCATCGCTAACCTGTGATGCTGTACAACAATTGTAGAACAAGAAGCTTGGAAAGAACGTTTCACGCAATCTCGGGGATTCTCGCCTTGTTTTGGTGCTGTTTGTGTTTGTCGCAATCATGGCCATCATTCTTGCTGTTTGGACGGGCACTTCGAACGACAAGGTGGAGGTTCAGGATGACGGCTTCTCCTCTTGCTACGTTAATCCTACTTTCCAAGGCATCCTGTTCGCCTACATGGGTTTGATGTTGCTGTTCGGTATCGTTCTGGCCTTCCGTACCCGCAACATTCAGGACGAAGCGTTCAATGAAAGCAAGATGGTTTCGGTGGCCATCTACAATGTTGCTTTCGTCACCGTCATCATGATTCCGCTGGTCTCGTTCACCACAGATGTCCGTGCTCTCCTCGTGATGAAGGTACGATTCGTTCTGCGGGTGATGTGAGAGTCAAGTACCACAGCTTGCCTCACAAATGTTCTTTGCAACCATCTTCCTTTTGCTTTCTCTTTGGTACGATAGAGCGTCGGTATCCTGTTTGCAGTCCTTGTTACTGTAGGATTGGTGTTCTTCCCCAAGATTTGGGCCGTTGCCTTGCATAAACGTCGCGCGTGAGTGCCACCATTCCTCGTGGTTGTTGCAACTGACGAATTGATTTTGTTGCTCACATGTCGCTGGTTCATTTCTTTTCTTGTCATTCAGTGCACGCAACCGCACCGACTCTACCAACCCCGACACCTCCAAGCGCACCGGAGCTGCAAGCGCGTCCAACCGACGACCATCCCCACACTCAACCGAGACACACTCCGAGAAGCATCAAATGAGCGAGATGCACGCGTCAGACAACCCAGTGCCGGCCGAACCGCAAGTAGTTGTTTGAGTTTGTTTCGTGCCAGTCGTTTTTGTTTGTTTTGTTTTGCATTTTCGTTTTGTTTTTGCTTAGCTTTCGTTTTGCTACCGCTGTTATTTGTGATGAATTGGGCTGAGCCACCGTTTGAGCTATTATATTTTGAGTAAACAATATTCTAGCATGCTTCGGTAGTTGTGCAGGCGAGGTTGCGACCGTTAAACTTGCAGAGCTGGTCCAACTCCATCCTTCGGCTCAAGCTGCTTAGTCCGCCTGCGTCGCGGACCATGGTGTTTTGCTACTGTTAATGCTACTGTTAATACTTGTGGTGATGCTTGTGGTGATGATGGCGCAGGTGAGTCGTTGCCAAAATCGCACAAGTGTTTCAAGTCGTGTTTCAATCAACTTTGCCACCCATTTCTCGCTGCTGTGAGGATTCTCTCGGCCTGTGCTCGAAACCTCTGCATTCACAGAGGTTTTTTTATTCGGAGACTGAGAAAAGCAGGTTTGGAAGATCAAGTGAGGGGGTGGTGTGAGTTTCAGGGTTGCTCGTTTTTGTCGTGACAATTCCAAGCTCACAATCAGCACGCTTCGAAAAAACGACAGGCCCGGAGATAGTCCCGCATTGGGAACCGACAATTACACGAGATCACTGGCGCAAGGGGAAGGCACACGGAGGTCGGGAAGGCGTGTAACGGTGAGCAGGAAAGTGGGTCCTGGGGACATGTTTGTTTCATTCGTTTCGCTTGAGTAATTTCGGCTAATCCTGACGTCGAATAATCGTTGTTTCATCCCGCAACTGCCCCGCAACTGCCCTGTGAGGCTATTGGCCGGTTTTTCGACAAATGGCGTGTCAGGTGTTTGTGTTTGATTCCGTTTTGTTGTTGGGGAGCAAACACAAACAACAAAACACATAACAAAATGACATGACAATCCAAACGCCACACCTGCTGGCTGATCTGCCGCCGCCGCTTGTTGATTCATAGAGCACAGCGGCAGGCGTCGCCCGCGCCACCCCCCTCTCCCTCCCTCGGCAGAGCGCGTCGACGATGGTCCCACTCGCTGCGTTCTCTGCGTCCGGTGAGCGGCAGTGCGGGTCAATAGACTCCGACAATGGGGGGAAACAAACCAAGCCCCTCGTGGCGCAGAGCTGCGGTTTTTGTTGACCGTTTTTGGCAAATCCCGCTCTTCGGACCAAAAGCCCACTCGCTGCCTCCGCTTCTCTCCGGCGGTGTTGGCCGTTCGTTGCTAGGATCCACTTGCTCTTGTTCCCTACGACCGATGCCCACCAAAGCGAGCCAAACTGCACTGCTAACAACGATGACAAAATTGTTTTTGCATTCTGTTGTGGCGTCGTTTTTTTGTTTTTTTGTATTGTTTTGTATTTTTTGGATTTTTTGGAAAGATCGTCGTCGTTTTCACTCTTCTTTGTTTTCATTGTTTTTTTTTTTTTATTTTATTTGTTCTTGCCTTTTCTGTTTCTCTTTTCGACACTTTCTCCATCGTTTCTTTCACCTTGTCAACAAGTGACAACGATGATGAAGGCTAACGCTTTGCATGCAACGCGCCGTGTTGCGACCGCGTGGGCGAATCGCGCGATGGTGATGATGGCAGCTGTCTTGGTCTGCAATCTTGTTTTGTGCGCCGCTGCGCTTCGCCTCGACGTCGTGCAGCCCAACTGCGCGTCCTCCACCACAACCACCTCACTGACACTCACTGGCAACTTTGGCGCCGTGTCTCCGAGTGCCGGCGATGTCAAGTGCCTGCTCGGATCCACCCGTCAGTTTGCCGTTTCCGCCGCATGGTCGTCCACCTCTGTGACGTGCACCATTCCCTCCCTCACCGCTCTTCTCAATGCCGGCGTCGACCTCGTCACTCGCGACTTTTTGTACCAGCCTCTGCGCGCCAACTATGCACAGTTGCGTGTCACACTTGACAACAATGCCACGGCCGTCGACTCCTGGGTCGCGGTCTTCTTCCCCACCACGTCCACGCTCGCCTCCCTCACTCCTGACCGGTAAGACTTTTCTCTCCTGTTGCTTCTGCTTCTGCATTTGCTTTGGAGCAACTCCCACCGTCATGATTCCTCTTTGTTTCCACCACGATTGTTCGGTCGGATTTCCCATCATTGTCGGGATTCCAAAAAGTCGGAAAAAAAAAAAAAAAAAGAAAGTCGAAAAACAAAAAATCGCCAAAAAAAAAAAAAATCAAACTATGAAACGCCCATTTTTATTATCATTTTGCCTTTTCGCATTGCAAAGTGAAGGCGAGTGGGTCAATCTTTCGATCCCTTTGATGGATGCTTTCATTGAGCAACGAAGCAAGATCAGATAATGATTGGGGATTTGTGAGAGAGTGGGAGTGTCTTTGACTGTCGCATCCAATCTTCAACAAAAACAGACGGCGGAAAACAAAAGAACACAAACAAAAACAAAATCCTTGTTGTCAACAACTAAAGCAAAACCGCAGAAGCGGAGAAGGACAATTTAACACCCAGAACAAACAAAAGTCGTGGATGAATCATCCACTCGGAAGCGAGCAGAGAAAGAACAAACAGACGGAGACGCTGAAGAAACGAGCAGATGAATCAGACAGTGGGAACAAAAAACCGACCAAACAAAAACGCGTCAATCACCACAGTTCGCAGCCCACTTGAGATTGAGCTGCGAAATTCTAAAGGAGGAGCGGTGAAGAAGGAACATTATTGGAAGGAGGAACAAACGGAAACCAGTGTGCGAAAATGATGCGAAAAAACAAAATAAAATGCGAAACTGAAGAACTCACGTCGTGTTTAATTTTCGACGCTATTTGATTTGACTGACTTACTTGTGGTTTGCTGCGACTCCTCGGATTCAAAGTGGCCCAACAACTGGCAACACTGTCGTCACGATTGCCGGCACAAAGTAAGTATCCGCCTGAAGAGCTTGATGTTTTTTGTAACAGAATGCCCTCACCTGTTGACTGTTGACTCGCCACTTTGTTACTTGCAGTGTCCTCGACAGCCGCGACCTTCGCTGCAAGTTCAACGGGCAAGAAACGGTCGGTGCTTACGTGGACAGCACTCACTTGCAATGCCCGACTGCTCCTCAAGGCTCGGCTGCAAACGTGAACATCGAAGTCAAGTCAACTCCCAAGCACATTAGCATGGCCCACCTGTTTGACGGTGTCAACGACTTTAGCGTCGCGCCCATTCCAACTTCGCTCCTTCAGTTCAACTTGACTGTTGAGATTTGGTTCCGCCCTGCCACGCCCGTTGGCTTGATCCAGGCTCTGGTTGACAGCTGCGTGCCTGGCGAAACTCCAGAGACAAACTGCAACTTTTGGATTGAAACTGGCAAGGCTGTTGCAGACGGCATCCATGGCGAGATTGGCATTGGTCACGAGTTTGGGGCGGGCAGCAATCAGCAATATGTGTACTCGGGGACCTTGGACAACACTTACAAGAACAAGTGGACGCACATTGCGCTCGTGCGCGAAGTGTGGGACAACACTACCATCGAGTGCTCTGGATCGTCTTGTCCCTTCGTTGGCGAGTACCGCACGTACGTCAACGGCGAGCTTCTGCTTCCCACCTACAAGTTTACCGTCAACACTGATTTTGGCGAGACCAACACGTACGTTGGCTCGCTTTACACGACGTCGTTCTACAACGGCGGCATGGATGATTTCCGCATCCTCAACTACCCCATGACGCAAGCGCAAGTTCAGCAGTCGATGGAGGAGGTTTACTCGGGCTTTGAGGACGGCGTGCTTGTTTCGTGGGATTTCGAGCCCAACAACCAAGATTTTGACGTCCTCACGTACAACGCCGATGGCGTGACACCCAACACGTACACCCTCTACGCCCTCACGCCCTCGAACGTGGACGTCAGCCGCCAGCTGAACATGGGTGGCGGGACGAATGTGTTCATTCCGAGCATCATCCAGACCGTTGCTTTTGCCGACTACCCGAGCTCTGCCCCGACTCTGAACTTTTTGTACTACACGCCCGAGACTATTACCACCTTTGCACCCATGCACGGTGTTGTATCTGGCGGCACGGTGGTGACTATTCAAGGCACTGGCTTTTTGAACTCGACCTACCTGTACTGCCGCTTTGGTAGTGCCACCGCAACTCCAGCAACCTTTATCGATGCAACCACTCTGGAGTGCACCGCACCCGCCTTCACGGCTTGCTCGCAGAGCTCTGACAGCTTGAGCATTCCCGTTTACGTGTCAAACAACAACCAACAGTTTGTCGTCTCGTCAACCAATTTTACCTACTACCAGGCACCGACAATCCAAAGCGTGGCTCCTTCGCAGGCACCACTCGCTGGTAATGTGCCAGTTACCATCTATGGCTCCGGCTTTGTGAATACCCCCGAGTTCCGCTGTCTGTTTGGCGTTATTGCTGTTGTGCCTGTTAGCGTCACTGCAACCTCTGCAGTTTGCGTGACCCCAGACAATCTGCCTGAGGGTGCTGTTGTGGCAAGTGTGACGATCGACGGCCAGACAGCGACGACTTCGCAAGTGATTTTCACGGCATTCGACCAATGGTCGCAGATCGAGTCGACGGCTGTTGGTATTGCCATCATTCTCGGCATTGGCTTTGTGATGGTCGTTTGCGTTCACATCTGGCTATTTATCAACCGAAATCACAAGATTGTCAAGGCATCTGCGCCTCTGTTTGGCCAGTTTATTCTGTTCGGGGCGTACCTCGGCTTCGGCGCGGTTGCCGCCTTCTTCCCCACGCCGACAGACGCCTCTTGCACTGTCGGTATCTGGTTTGTCTTCCTCTCGTTCACCTTCATGTTTGCAAGTCTGTTTATCAAGAACTGGCGCATCCAGCGCATCTTCACTGTACGTGGTTGAGTTTTGCTTGAGTGGTCTTTGCTCATGCTGCTGTTCGCATCGCTCACCCCCTTCCCCTTGCGCCTGCCCCTTTGGTGATGCTTTACGACTGTCGTAGAACAAAAAGATTGGCAAAACTGCATCGCGCAACCTTAGCGACGATCGCCTCGTCTTGTTCTTGTTCATGCTCGTGACTGGTATGGTTGCCATCCTCGCGGCTTGGACTGGCACGTCGAACGATAAGGTGGATATCCACGATGACGGCTTTGCCTCCTGCTACGTCAATCCTACTTTCCAAGGCATCCTGTTTGCCTACATGGGTGTGATGTTGCTGTTCGGTATCGTTCTGGCCTTCCGTACCCGCAACATTCAGGACGTAGCATTCAATGAGAGCAAGATGATTTCAGTGGCCATCTACAATGTCGCTTTTGTCACCATCATCATGATTCCGCTGGTCTCGTTCACCACGGATGTCCGTGCTCTCCTCGTGATGAAGGTACGGTTGTCTAGAACTGAACGGCACTGACGGGTTTGGCCCTTGACTCACCCTTTCCTCTCCTCGATGCTGTTTGTTGCTGCTGCTACAGAGCGTCGGTATTCTGTTTGCCGTCCTTGTGACTGTCGGTTTGGTGTTCTTCCCCAAGATTTGGGCCGTCGCCATGCATAAGCGTCGCGCGTGAGTGCCACACTCTTGACTTGAATTCAAGGTCTGATTCTTGAAAAAACATACTCACTTGTTTTGCACAACCACATGTCCTTTGGTTTTCAACTTTCAGGGCTCGTGCTGCTGGCTCGTCCGACGCACAACCGACGCCCTCTGGCTCAAACCCCAACGGCGTTTCTGGCCGCGCGAACTCTGTTCATCATTCATCGGGAGATGGCTCTCATTCCAAAAACGAACGGTCCGAGCGACTCAGCATGAAGAAGCCCGAAGTCAAGACCGAAGTCGTCATTTACGGTTAACAACTTGGGTTGATGTTCTTTCAGGACCCGGCGCTGATGCTGGAGTTGTTGGCTTTGTTGTGTTACATTCTGTCGTTTTGCACGTTGTTTCGCTTTTGTTGTTTTCGCTGGCCGATTTTGCTGGGTGTTTTTTTTTTCTGTTTTTGGATCTGATGTATTATTTTCGCAACATGGTGATTTGCTTCGGTTTCTCAAGGGTTGTTGGCCATCGGTTTATTGCAAACGTTGTTCCACTAATGCGGGTCAGCGCTTGTTGATCTCTGCCTCGAGCTGTTGCACCTCTTTGGCAAGCGATTGGTTGGCTGTCTGCAAATGTCGAACCTGTCGGAAGCGAAGAACGTGGTGAGCCAGTTGCCAACAATCGACACTTTATCAGCCCTGTCAAGCTCAATGATAGTCAGGAAACCAACCTGGTGCTCTTCTGAGAATGTGGCTTCGCGCATCTTGTTGATGTACACGGTGGCTTCATGCAAAATGGCTGATCGGGACGGATTCTGCTCTTCGTCCAGCGTTGGAACGACATCTTTCAGCGACGTAAACCGTTCCTTGATGTGATCGCGCTGTTGGTTGAAGACAAAAAGCGGTTCAAGACAGCCATTAGATTCAGTACGAGTGCTTTTGGCATGAGTCGTCGGAAATTTGTAGTTTGCCAAAATTCAAATGACGAGGCATTGAAGCTCCACAGGCAACAACCAACAAGGACCACCACAGACAGATGCGCGGTGGATCGAAGTTTCTCAGAATGATTCAGAATTGTGTCAACAATAAACAAAAACCTTACTCGTTTGCGCTCCAGCAGATTGTGACTGTGTCGCTTGTCCGCATCACGCCTGCATTCAACAGCACACAGTCAAACAATAAAAAACCCAATTGAGCAATTCAAGATCAGCCAGCAGCAGGTTGGACATGTTTCCGACCCCCCCCCCCTCTTCCTCGCTTTTTTCAGCTTTTCTCAGAAGAGTAGCGTTGAGATGGAAAAAATCGGCAACCATCCGAATTTTGAATTTGGATCTGTTTCTGTTGGTTTTTCCCGCTGGGTTTTGCCGGGGACAGAGTGATGAGCTTACGGCGGCTTCTTCTTCTTGGACGCCTTCTCGATCTTGCCCGAGCTGCGCTTGGCTGAGGCCGAGGCGAGCGCTGCGATGGCTGCTGCGGCTGCCGGGGTCATGTTCGAGGTGTCCTGCTGCGGGACGTCCTCGCCACTCGACGTATCAGCGTCCTCACTATCACTCATCGCTCAGATCTTGTTGTTTGTTCTTGCTTCGTTTGTATGTTGTTTGCTTGTGTTGGGTGTCGCTTGGTATCGGGGGCACAAAGGGGGGGAGGGTCGCTGAGCTTGAGCGTTTGCGGCGGTGGTTTCTATTGCAGACAAACAAACGAACGACTGAGCTCTGGATTGAAATGGCAGTGCAGCTCAACACGAGCCATCAAGATCATCAGCATTATCATTATCATCAGCAGCAGCAGGAGTAGTCATAGTAGAACAGAAGGCAGAGCAAAACGAGCGCGTTGCTGGGATTTTGGTTACCGTTCGTTTCCCTACTGTACAGTAATGCATTGTCCCCTTTGTGATCTTCACTCTTCACTCTTCATTTTTTTCTTTTGTTCAATCTCCTCTCATTCTTCTTCCTTCCTTCGAATCACAGTCATGGCTGCTGCAGCGGGATTCACTGGCGTCCCGTCGCTCTTTGGCGTCTACCGTCAGATTCTTCGCTCCATCGACAACATGGTACAGTAACACCCCTCCCCCACTAACAAACGTTTTTCGTTATTCCCCCCTTCTTACAAAGCAAACTGACGCTGTGTTCCATTCTGCGGTCCGTTATGGGGCGGGGGGTCCTCTTCAGTGCACCAAGCCGCTGGGCAACGTGGAGTGGCGCAACAACATGCTCGAGCAGCTCCGCGCGCAGGCCGCTGCAGTCACGCCAGGCGACCGCGAAGCTGCGCGCATTGCACAGCTCAATGCTCAGGACCTCTTGATCATGCTGCAGGCGACCAGGGCGTACCGGGTGAGTGAGCAAGGAAAAATCCCAATGGAAACGCCTGCAATGATGCATGTCGATGATGAAGGCTCCTTCTATTGGGACCATTGCAGTTCCGAGAGAAGCCTCAGATCGTCAAGAGAATGCAATATATGCACTCATATGGCATGGCCTGTCGTTTTTGATTTGCCTGGCGTAGGAATTGCTGTTCACGTACCAAAGCGATCCGCTGTCCCAGTCCGAGCGAATCGCACTCTCCGCGCGCAGAGTTGGTCTCAACCTGCCAAATCTTGAAGACAAGGCGGCATTCAGCACGGCGCTTGATGCGGCAACGATGGCTCCGTCATCGTCGGCGAAATCCCAGGCGTCCGACTCTGGGAATATGAGCGATGTCGTGCAAGGCGCTGCAGCCAAATTCTTTGCGTCAAGCAAGGTGCAAGCTGCTTCGCAAATCCCGACAAGCACCAGCGCTGCTGATATTGCCACGGCAAGCGATCAGCTATCGACTCCTCGTCGCCGATGACCTTGATCGGCATTGGTTTCTGTGGGGAAAATGTCTTGAAATTTGAATGTTTGCTTCTGTCCATACACTTTTGCACTCTGGATCATTGCAGACCTCCTTCAGCTTGACGTTGCGACAGCATGTGATGACGGGGTTTGGTGATTCCATCGATGCTGATCCGTTCTCACAGTTTCGCAGCTTTGGTTGTACGCGCATTTCTGGGATTCATCCAAACCAGCCAACCCAGTCCACACTCCCCAAAGAAAGGTTGATACTGCAACAACGAGTGAATCTTTCCATCTGTGCATACTGTACAATGCCGGTGGTTGAATCCGTCGCGAGAATGGCTTTGAATGCATTGCTTTTGGTCAATCTTCCATCGCACTCGCTCAGATTTGTGCTGTGAGATCCTGCCTTCTGTTTCCATTTTATGTATTATTTTTACTTTTCCTCTTCTTCAGCCCAAAAACTCTCAGAAACCTCTCTGTTTGATTGCCATTCCACCTTTGTTTCGGAGCATTGACTGGGAGGGTGGACATGGCGTCTGCGGCCCAGCAGCTCGAGTTTGCAGAGCAATACCCTCTGCTTAACTCCACAGTAGCATGCCCAACATTTCACGAGGTTAAAAAAAAAAAAGTGCTCGGAGGAGCGCCTGTTGTTGTCGTTGAAGGGGACGGCGGCGGATTGAACTGGATGAACAAAACCGCTTCCACCTTATACTCTTGCTCACTATTTGACCTCATCTACCGGTACCCTGCTTCCCGTACGAAATGTTCACCAGATGGTTTCCACCCAGCGCCAGTTGCCACAGCCAGTGTCGAGCCAGGCGCAAGCGAAGGCGCTGCTCGATCTCGATGCAATGCCAGTGGATGGTCTGCAGCTGCTGCTTGCTGAGATTGAGGCCATGCACGCGATCGCACAGCGCGAGAACGCGCTCTGGACGCGAGACGCGCGCGTGCTGGCTCAGTTTGTCAAGTCATCGCAGCAGCCGAGTGAGTCTGAAGTTGGAGTTTTGAGGGGGGCGGGGCGCGGGGGGTTGAGGCGGGGAAGGGGGGGCTGGAGAACCAACAGTGAAGGTCGAGAGTATCGAAATTCACGCCATAAAAACGCGAGTTCATACGCCCGACTCACCGACCTTGCCTACGATTTTCTTGCCCCCTCCGCTGTAGAAATTGATGTCAACAAGCTGCTGCTCAAGTCGAAAGCCCGATCGCCTTCAAAACAGCAGGGCAAAATGCAAAGTCACACGCTGCCATTCACGTTTGACGAAGGCGATGCTGGGTTGGATGAAACACTGTCTTCGGACGAAGAAACACCGGCTGCAACTTCTGAGACTTCTGAGCAGCACCCGTTCTGGCAATCGATCGAGCCGTACTTTGCTCCCATTGACACAGCACTTGTGGACACACTGTTGCTCGATCCGATTCAACGCAAGGTCCGGCATCCTCTTCCCGTTTCTTGAGTTTTCGGGGTCAATGCCGAATTTTCTGAGTTTGTTTTGTTTGTGTTGTTGTCGTGCCATCAGGAAGGAAACTTTCTCTTTCGATTACCCCCGATTGGGCGCCATTTTGCCGAGATCTGGGCCGAGGACGATCTGCGGGAAGAACAGGCAAAGGTGCGCCAAACAATCGATGTTGGTGCTTCAATGTTGTTGTCAGGTCTTTGAGTGTCTTTGAGACTGACTATCGTCCACTCCGCTTGGCAGAGCTTGGCCACTCCAGCAGCTTCGACACGATCCCACGATGTCGCCCCGTTAATGAACTTGATGCCAACAGCAGCCGACGGATTGGATAAAGGGAGAACAACCAAGCCTCGGTCCAAGACACACCGCGAACTCCGTCTATTACGCGACTCGGACGATGATGCAGTTGACAACAGCGATGCAAACGGCTTGGGCGACCTTTGCGGCTCGTTGCCCCGCCGGCTGATTGCCGCATTGTTGGAGGAAGGCGATATTTCCTTGGCAGACCTCGCCGATGAGCTTGCGGACCCTCCTGCGACTCCATCACTCACTCTTCCGTCACCGCTGGAGGCGAGCGAGACATCCTCAAAAGCCACTTCACCGGATCGGGCGACCGCAGCTGCCGCCGGCCGCAACACTCACCGTCGCTCGGCTCGTGACGCCGACGAGCCCGACGTGAGTGACTCTGACACTGAAGCGCAGCATCCTCGCAAAAAGCCACGAGTGGTCTCGGAAGACGAGACGGAGGAGGCCAACAGCGCGCAAGCAAGCAAGCGGTCTGCGCCGCTCCGCAATCCCCGCTCGCGAGCGGACTCGCGCAGCCTGGAGCAAAATATCGCCCAACAGCTGCAGGCGGTCGGGGTGATGGAGGAGAGCGATGATGTCGACGCAGACGAGGACGACGAGATTTGCGCGGAACTACGGCAGACCGCGCTGCAACTCAAGACACAAATCAACTATAACAATCGTTGGCGAGTCCAGCTCTATCTTAAACTGCTTCCTGCGCTGGTCGATCAAGAGTTTGCTGCCGAGAAAGCCAACGCCGACCAGATGGTGCAGCGAGCGTTTGCGCGGCTGATGGCCGCAAAAAAGAAAAAGCGGCCCTCGAGCAGTGTAGCCCTTGCTTTTGCTCAAAAAGCTCTGGATACTCGTGCAGCGATCCTGGCCAAAATACAAGAGGCAAAACTGCAAGTCACAAAGGAAGAGTTGCACAAGCGCGTCGAGAAACTTCGCGCTGCGGCTGCGCTTGCAAGGGCCACCAGTGCCGCCGCCGCCGCCGCCGCCGCCGCCGCCGCCGCCGCCGCCCCCTCAGCCAGTTCTCACAGTGCAGCACTTGGTAATGACTTTGACTCGACGGACGACGCGGTTGAAGCGAAGCCGGAGCTCTTGCCTACGCCGAAAGCCAAAGAATCGCCCACGAAACAATCCACGTTTCTGGCTCGGGCATCGACGTCCAAGGTCTAATGCGCAGGCTTCCAAGCACAAATGGGTTCCTTCTATTCCGACTGCTTGTGCGGCACGCGTTTTGGAAGTACCCCACATATTCAGTTTGACCAGGGTTGCTGAACTGTCGATCCGGCCCGCCACTTAACTCAATACACATTGTTAGCTCTATTTTTTTGATTTCCTTTTCTGCTTTTCTTGTTTTTCAATCAACGCTAGTCTTTGATTCTTGTCACAAAGCTTCTCAGACAATCATCTACAAAAATGCTAACTGCCAGCGAGTTGCGCGCAATCATGACGCATCCGGCGTCGAGCAATCCCGGTCTCGATCGCAGTCCCGATGCACTCCCCGTACCGAGTGCGCATGTCCCAGCAAGCGAAGGGGCGACTGAGACCGCGGCGAGCATGCGCGCAATGCGAGAATGGTTTGCGCAGATCGCCGACACGCTGATCAACGAGTGCGCACTCGTCGTCAACGGCACGCACCGCTTCCGTCTCTTGGAAATCGAGTTCTATGCGTACAAGGACGGCTCATTGGCACTGCCGTTGGATGGCCCGGGCGCGGTCTCGGTCTCGGTCTCGGTCTCGGAGGCTTCGTCGATTCCTGTGCATCGTGACGTGTTTGCGCACCGGCAGCCGACCCAGCGAGAGTGCCTCACGTGGTACTTTCACAAGCGCGGCAAGTCCTTTGTTGGAGGAACGCACAAAGGTAAAGGGAAAAAAAAAAGTGCCATCCTGTATTTGTATTTGCATTGAACTGCTCAACAATTGCTTGCTTTGCTTGTTCGCGTGGTGGATTTCTCTAGGTTTGGACGTGACCTTTGGTGATTCGACCCTGCTTGGCGGCATTTTGCTGCGCTCAATGCAAAGCTTGGAAAATGATCAGGATGTGGTCTGCGGGCCGTGCTTGCTTGTGGATCGGCTTCTCAAAGACGCAGAAGTGGATTCCATTCAGTCGTTTGTGTCCAAGGCCGCTGGTATGGTGTTACGAAGCGGAGCTCTTTGCAAACGAGCTTGGACGATGCTCCTTGTCAAAGGAAAGCAGTCCATAAAGAGTGCTCGAGAGCGGATGACAGGGGTTCCAACCAACTCACATTTTATCGCTCATTTGCATTGGCTAGATTTATCTGCTGTTCCTGCGCCTTCGGATACCGCGAGCAATCAGCCGTATCTGCGAATAGTGCCATGGAAGCTTGAGAAGCGCTCGCTGTTGAACACTCCGAGAATCGGGTTGACCCTCAAGAAACATGCAGACCAAACCGAGTTGCGGTACCGCTTTCTCATGCAACCGTATCGTGTGCTTGCAGACAGCCCTCCGCTCTCGAAAGGCAAGACTCAGACATTGGTTGCAAGGCTGCACCAAACCTATCAATCTGGAGGGATTGCAAGCGTGGCCACGCAGTCAGAACCATTCGCAAAGGCGTGCCGATGGGTCGAGGCCGCTCGCGCAGCAGACGCGCCAAAGGTGCAGCTACAACGGCGTCTTGTGGGCCTGCACGGAAATGACATGTCTTCTGCCGCCGCAATATGCGAGGCCTATCCGCTGCTCTGTGCATGGTCGGAGCTCGACTTGGCAGACGACGGTTTGCAACAATCCGAACAACCCGAACAATCCGAACAATCCGAACAACCCGAACAACCCGAACTTCCTCCGGCAGCCAGCCATGCCTCACCAGTGCAACTGACGCCCGCGGTTCCTAGCTCACTGTTCCAGTCCATTGTTGCGAAAACAACGCGCGAACGCCCTCGAAGAGGGATTGCGCAGCTCGACCATGAAGACCCGATCGCGGCGAACAAGCGACCGCGGCTCTCGCCCCCGCTTTGAAACTTGTTATTTGACCATTGTGATTTGCTGTTCTTGTAGCCGCGTTCTGTGACAGCCTCGAGTGTGCATGGCGATTGCCATTGAGGACTCTTTTAATTTATTTCTAATTTGGTGTTTATTTGGTGCCGCGCAGAATGAATGCTTCATGACGCACCTTCACCTCGGCCACAATCGCATCTTCAATTTCAACATTCGCCCCAATCTCTGCTTCACTGAGACGGATTTCTTGTGCGGTGTCAGCAGTCACCAAGGTGACAGCGTACTTGCGCGTATTGAGCAGATTGGAGATGACCAGAGAATGACCGTAGTTGCGTAGGGCAGCGCGTGCCTTGTCGGCGACGATATCTGGGTCCGTCTCGAGCTGAAGTACAGATGTGTGTGTGTGTGGGGGGGAGGGGGTGAGATTCAGAGCAAACAAAAAAAAAAAAAGAATGAGTGGCAGGAACACGAAGACTGTGAAAAGTTGGCACCAAAGGATTCGTACTTTGAAAGACACCACAAATGCCTGTGGAACCCATTCTTTCACGAGAGGCTTGAGGAGCTTGGGCACCTGTTGCAGGGTCAGGGTCAGGGCACCCGTTCCGGATTGAATCTTGTGTTGAGCCTAACAAACCAAAAACAAACAAACAAACAAACAAACAACAACAACAACAAAAAAAAAAAAAAAAACACCAGTGAGTCTTGCAATCAAACACAAGCTGTTTCAAGGCTACGCACCATCTGCGCGGCTGGGATGAAAAAGTCAGACACGGCAGCGGCGAGATAGAGCAGGGCCTCGGGTCCGAGGGGACCGAGAATTTTCGCCGCCTCGCGCAACAAAAACAGGTAGTCTGTGACAGTGGTGAAGGGCACTTGCAACAAAAGCTGCTCCTTGACCACACGGTGGTACTTGGTGACGCATTCCCGGATGAGATGCTCTTGGTGTCCTCTCACTTTCAATACGAACAAACAGGTTGGCAAGTTTGAGGTGAGCAAAGCAGCCTTGGGCATGGAACTTTTTTGAATGTACATACCTGCTAAGCTGCCATCTGCGTTGGGTTGAACCACTTCGAGAAGCGTCCGAGGAGTAAAGTGTCGGGCATACGGCTCGAGCGTGTGCACTCGATGAAGGAAGATGACAGCGTAACCCTTCTCGATAAACTGCGTGCACGGTGACAAAACAAACAAGACAGCAGAACCAAAGCAACGAAACACAAAGCAACGAAAGATTCGCAAGCGCATGACACGATGCAAGATACTGGGTCAAGGAAACCAGCGCTGCAAAGCAGACAACAACAAACAAAGAATCCGGCAAACAACCAGTTCAGCAAAACAAAACATCGACAAATTGCAGTATGAAAAGCCGATATTCAGCAGAGGCAGACCCTCGTGTTCCCATGCTAAAGTTATCCAGAAACCGAACAACATTGCGCTCGAGAGGGACGGTTGTTCCACCGCTCTGTGACAGAAACAATAGACAAACGAAATCAGACAAGCATTCACGGAACGAACGCAAGCAAGAGTGTGCAAAGTTGAGAATTGGAAATAAGCCAAGCAATCAAAGAAAAACTCAGACAAGACCCAAAATTGCAGAAAAGCGCGTCCACATTTTCTGAGACTGTCCGACTTTTGTTCGCGTTTCTTTTCCCACCAAACGTCTTCGTCTTCTTCTTCTTCTTCTTCTTTCTCGCTTTCAACTATTGCAAGCATCAAAATGAAGGAGGCGAGGCTTATCAATGTGAAATGAGACGCAACTGTGACGAGTACGATGCGGCGTGATGACGCGGCGTTGCTGGGGTTGCGGTGCTGGGCCACGAACGCAGCCATGCGAGCGGCCTGTGCATCGAGCGACTCTGGCGCAGGAGTGGTCGCAAAGTACTCTTCCCACGAGATTGGGTGCAAATCACTCGGCGGCAGCGACGTCGTGGACGAAGGCGCCTGCAACGGCTGGCTGGACATTTGGCTGAGTGAGTGAGTGAGGCGAGCGAATTGGCGAAAAAAAAGACTGCCAATCCGTCAAATCTCAGAGCAAATCGCGTCAAAGTCACAAAAACCAAAAAGACATCATGATTGCATTTACACCATCCTATACACTAGAGCTTTGCGTCGCAGCACTCGAGCTGAATGAACTCGGTCGTCGCGTCCAATCTCAGTCATCTTCGTCACTGACTTTCGAGTCTGCGTTCAACTGGCGATCGCTTGCTTGGTGTCGCTCTTCATCTTCAACTCTGTCTGTGTGTTTGTTTCCAGAGTCAGTCTCTCTCTCTCCAAACACGACGGCTGCGCTTTGGTTGCTGCTCCAGACAGCGCGAACTGGGACCACTTTGACACTGCGCTGCGCTCAAGCTGCTGCTGCTGCATCAGGACACGTCGTCCACTCGACTCGACCTCACCCAAGCCGATACTCGCAACGGTTGCGCTCAATCACCACAATGGCAAGCCCTGCTTCTGCCGGGGGTAGCTCTTCGTCGAGCTCACCACAAGACCTGATCAACACCCAGCCCGAGCAACTGGCAGAGACCATCCGCAGGTCGGTGGCTACCGCGCGTGCTGCAGGATCGTTGTTCTCCATTGATGCTCGATCCAGCATTCACGTTCAGGAGGGCGTTCAGGTAAACCAAAACCAAATCCCCAGATTCCTCATAACCTGACAGCTGCTCGGCTGGAACTAACGAATCGCCGCTTGCTGCTGTCAAACAGTTCATCATTCGAGTGTCGAACGCGTTAGACAAGAAGAAAGCAGGTACTCGTCAGCGTTGGTTGGAGCGCCAGCCAGAAACAAATTTGCCAACTTTGATCTGCACTCTGCGCTCACTCTTTGCAATCGTGAACAGAAGACAAACGAACAGAGGAAAAGCAGTCCCCAAAAGACCCCTTTATGGCCCCATTCGAGCCAGGCATGTTTGTGGGACGCTTGTCAGACACCCACAGCGCAGTGCTCAACAAGTTCAACATTGTCGAAAACCACACATTGGTCATTACACGCGATTTTGTGCCACAGGGCACGCCATTGACGCTTGCTGATATGACCTCGACACTACAGGTGAAGCATCCATTGCAGCATATGCATGAGGGAGGCTTGAATGTTTCTTTTTTTTTTTTTTTTTTTTTTTTGTCGTATGGTTTATTTGGTCGTTTTGGACGCTGACACCGTCTGCGGTCTTGCCTTGTTTCACAGGTTGTTGATGCGCTGGACGGGTTTGGCTTTTACAACTGTGGTCCGCTCTCCGGGGCAAGGTAGGACGGCTTTGTTTGCTTTGTTTGCTTTGTTGTTTTGTTTTCCGACCCGTTTCGTGCCTCTTTCCCCTCTCCGTCACTGCCCTCGCCGCCTCTCATTCCCCAGCCAACCGCACAAGCACACGCAAGTCTTTCCGCGCAACACTCCGGGCATTGGCTCCAATGTTCCAATTGAGGCGGCTCTTCCGCCTCGACTGGCGAACGAAGCTTCGCAGACGGTGCATCACATCCCCGCATTCTCTCGCGCGTTTCGGCACGCCTTTGTGTGGCTGACTCCCAGCAAGGGAGTATCAGCTTCCGGAACGGCGGCGCACGCACACAACTCGGTCCAACGCGCCCAAGACCTGCACGCTGCATACTTGAAAGCGTTGGACTACCTCGAGATCCCGGCCAACCACCCGCACGAGCCAGCCGATGCAGCGCCGTCGTACAACGTGCTCTTCACTGCTGAATGGCTCTTGGTTGTCCCTCGAGCTGCGGACAGCCACGACGGAATCGGCTGCAACGCCGTTGGATTTACCGGTTCACTGTTCGTTCGCACGCCAGAAGATGCTGCCAAGCTTGAGGTGTTGACGCCGCTTGGGTTGTTGGCAGCTGTCGGCTTCAAGACTCTCTCGTAGTTGTAGCTGTGCAAGAATTCACCTGTTGTTGTCTAGCATTTCAAACTTCTTCTTTTTTTTTCTGTGTGTCTCCCATTCAACTGCCTTGAAATGCGTGCACCCAATCTCCACTTCTTCGTGAGCAACAACAATGACAAGAGAGGAAAGTTTCCACCAGCATGTTCACTATTTGAAGGACAAAAGAGACACGCTTGCACAACAAAGTCAAATGACAACAAACAAGATCGAACGAGGCCATGGCTTGGTCATGCGCACAACGGGACTGTGACAAATGGAATCAGGGGAACAGAAAGAACGGGACCCGAGGTAACACTACCGCCGATGCAGTTTTTAATCGAAAAGACCAAAGCCCATGTCGCCCTCCTCGGACTCCTCCTTCTTCTTCTCCTCCTTCTTGGGCTCCTCCTTCTTGGCCTCCTTGGCGGGGGCGGCAGAAGAAGCAGCGGGGGCAGCGGCAGCGCCGCCAGCGGGGACGGAGGCGAGCTTGGCAGAGCCGGCAGCGATGAGCTGCTCGAGGGACTTGCCAGAGAGCTCGGCGATGACCTTGTTGAGCTTGGTCTCGTCGGCCTCAATGCCAACCGAGCTGAGGATGGCCTTGACGTCGGCAGCGGAGGGGGTCTTGTTGCCACCGAGAGTGGCGAGCAGGTACGCGGCAATGTAACGCATCTTGAGTGTTTAGACTGGATTTTTTCCAACGCAAAAAGCAGAAGAAGAACAAGAGTGAGATGAAGACAAAGACGATGATGATGATGAAAAATGGGCAAAAAGCGTTCAGAGTGAAAGCAAAAGTGATTGAGAAATACAGCGATTGAGCAATGGAAAAAAAAAAAAAAAGAGAAAAGAAAAAAATTACGTTGATCAACCGCGTGGGTTTTTTTTTTTTTTTTAACTTTGGGTTTTTGGAGGAAATGCATTGGAAGGACGAAAAAGGCACAACCGCGGCCCGTCGTTGTGTGCGGCAATGGAGACCGGACTGCTCGGTGCAACAAAGCACCTGTCGAATGCACAGTGCGGCGGAAGCGTCACCAGACCAGCGGGAGGGAGCGCAAAGCACAAGAAGGCGATCTTGGCTTTTTTTTTCGTTTTTTTTTTTTTGCTTTTTGACACGCAAGAAAAGAGACCCCACGCGGCAAGCCACACGAAACAGAGTCGCTTGTCGCTTCGACCGCCAATGCTCGAGTGCTGGCTCAGGTCGTACAACGACAAGCAAAAGCAAAGAGAAAAAAAAAAGGTTCAAGGAAAAAAAAAAGTTCAAGGAAAAAAAAGCCCATATGGGATGGGTTTTGGGCTGGAATGGACACTGTTCGTGTCGATGGACCAGCCGACCCCCGCCCCATCGAGCAATAGAACAGTGAGTGTAGCGGCAATGCCAGGCCGCAGCGAGGTCAGACGAGGAGGAAGATGAGGGAAGGCAAAGACCAAAGGCAAAAGGAAGAAAACGAAAAAAAAAAAAAAAGCCATGCTTTCATTCAAAAAAACAAAGAAAAAAGTCAATCGCTCTCTTCAAGCTGCTTGGCGGTGCTCCATGCCATCCAGGCAGAAAAGAAGCGCGCAAGCTGAAAGAAGCACACACGGTTGGAGGCAGAGGCAGGCGAGGCGAGCAGAGAAGAAAAAGAAGAAGAAGAAGAAGAAGACGAAGAAAACGAAAAAAAAAATCGTTTGATTTTTTTTTTTTTTTTTTTTTTTTGTCGGCTTGAGTTTCTTACGCGATGAACGGGAGAAAGAGCACGTCCACATTCGGAAACGAGTTCAAGAAGCAAAATCGATAAAAAATCAGAACCAATAAAATGAAATAGCAAGGTTCGAGATAGCACGACATTGCAGCAAAAGCAAGAAGAAAAAAAAATAACGTGGAATAGCATGGAGCTGGGAGAAGGGCAACGACCAAAATTGCGTTGAACAATGAGCGAGCATCGGGCGATCGTACTCGCCTAGGGATGGATTGCGATGCACACCACCAAAGGAAACAAGAGTATCGGATTGGAGAGGCCATTGGAGAGCCAAAAAGTGCGTCGTGAAGAAAGCGAGCGAGCGGATTGTGGTCGCGGCAATGCAACTGCGCGAAAATTGATGATGATTGCCACCGATGCTGCAAACCGCAATCCACTGTGAATGCTGAATTATGAATTTGCATGACAATGATGAAATGGCGTCATGATGTTGAACCCTTCAAGCAACTGGAACCAAAAAAAAAAAAAAAAACTTTTGTATGGAGTTTCCATTGGATTTTGGCAGTCTTTTTTTTTTTTTTTTTTTTTTTTTTTTTTTTTTTTTGATGTCCAACCCTTTCGACGACGACAGCGGCACTGCTGCTGCTGCTGCTGCGGCTGCCGAAGGGACGAATCCGTTCGACCAGGACGATGACGACGTCAAGACCAACGCGAACGCGAACGGCAGCGCAAATCCATTCGAGAACGACGACGACGACGACCAAGCGAGCCAAGCTGGGCGCAGTGGCGGCGGCGGTGCGTTCACGTCTTCCTCGCCTGCTGCTGCTGCTGCTGCTGCTGCTGCTGCTGCTCATGCTGGGCCACGGCGTTTCACAGACGGCGATGCACAGCAGCACCATGGGCCGCAGAAGCCGCGTCGGACCATCCGCGACTCGACCGATGCAGCGGGCGTCGTCCATCACAGCAGCAGCAGTGGCAGCAGCAATCACAGCGGTTCAGCGTCCTCGTCATTCACCAACGCTGCTGCTGCTGCTGCTGCTGCTGCTGCTGCTGCTGCTGCGAGTGCTACAAGTGCTACTGCTACGAGTGCTGCTTTGAATGCGAAGGCGGCGAACGCAACAGGCAGCAACAGCAGCAACAACCCGTTCGACAGCAGCGACGATGCCGTGCAGCAACCAGCCAAGCCAAAATCTTCATCTCCATCGACAAGTGCACCAGCAACGCCAACAACAACCTCAGCGACGACGACGACGACGACGACGGCAACTGCATCAGGACTGACTGGATTGGACAAGACTAAGCCCGCTGCTGCTGCTACTGCTGCTGCTGCTGTATCGCGACTCAATTCAATCACACAGGCAACTGGCGCTACGCCACTGCCCAATAGAGTTGCACTGGTTGTGGCTTGCGCTGCGTACGAAGAGCTGAATGCCCACCCAACGGCCATGGCAGATGCCCAGCTGGTGCATGGCGCGCTCACCAATTTGCAATTTCAAAGCCAACTCGTCGTCAATCTCAGCAAGCAAGAGTTGCTCGAAGCCATCTTTGCGTTTGTTGAGCGCGTCAAGCAGCTCGGGCCGCACACACTGGTGGTCTTTTCATTCCATGGCCATGGCTTGCAGATTTGTGACGAAAACTACCTCGTGCCAGCCAACACTCTGCTCAGCAACCCGATTCGAGCTGGACGCCAGTGCTTGCCGGTGGAGGCAGTTCTGTCTCTCCTCAGCGACGCGAACGCTGCATGGATGCTGGTCATGCTGGATTGCGCCCGCACCAACACGTTCAAGTCAAAGTGGCTGGCAACGCTGAGCTCCTCTGCTGGTGCCGATCTTGAAGACGACGAGCGGGCCCGTTTCCAGCGCAGTGCAACGACGGCCGGGCTCACTCACATCGAGCCTCGTGCGCGAACTGTGGTTTTGTGCGCTGCTGCGCCAGGATGTTTGCAGGACCCTGCGTCGTCGGGCGACGCACACTCACTGCTAGCCAAGGCCTTTGCCGACGCTGTTGAAATGAGCATCGATGCTGGCAAGGCTGCTTGCACTCGTGCAGCAGCAGCAGCAGCAGCAGCAGCAGGCGTCGATGGGGACGCAGACGGCGCGCTGACGCTGCTGGCCCAGCCGTGCACGATGCTGTCCATCGTTTCCATGGCTGCGGAAGGCACTCGGCGAAATTCAGATGGCCACCAGGCTCCTTGCTTTGTGTATCTCGTTCATCAAGATGCCTGGTTTGACTTTGCTTCGTCTGGAGTCGTCCGATCCTCGATTCGAGACTTTCCTGGCGACGAGCTTCTGCACCACAACGACCACTCTGCAGCTCTGACCTACGCACGCCAGCTTTTTGATCAGACACATCATCCTCACGCGGCCTTCATTCTGGGCGTATGCAACGAAGACCTGGCGACAGCCTATTTTCATCGCATGAGCCTGGAATGGATGGCTGATTTGCGTCAAGCATCGCCCACCAGAGATGCCGACTCTCCATCATTGTCTGACAAGCACGTCCCTGCAGATCGCACAGCAACCGGCACCCTGCCCCTGAGCAAATCGCTTGGCGCATTGCTCGATCAGATGAAAAAGGCCTACGCCGACGCCATTCGCTTCTTCTCCATTGCTGCGGCGCAAAGCCATGGTCCCGCAATGTACTGTCTTGGAAGAATGCACCAGCGAGGCTTGGGCGTCAGCCAGGACGAGCGGGAAGCCGAGCGGCTGTACCAAACCGCCCGTGGCTTTGGCTTTTTGGAGTGGTTCCGGCGCGCTGCAAGCTGTGGCAGCGTTTACGCGCAGTTCAATCTGGCACGATGCCTTCACCTGGGCATTGGCGTTACGGCCGACGTCAACGAGGCCATGACCTGGTATCGCCGTGCTGCCAATCAGCAACTTGCAACCGCGCAGTTCAACCTGGCTCTCATCCTCTCTGCAAAGCGACACACTGGCGTGACCGACCCCGGCAATGCAAGTGAGGCAGCGGCTCTCTTCCATGCTGCTGCCGATCAAGGCATCCCCGAGGCCATGTTTGAGTACGGCAACATGCTGCAAGAAGGGCGGCACGTCCCGAAAGATCTTGCCGAAGCTGTGCGCTACTTTCGTGTTGCAACTGCTCAGGGCAATGCGCATGCACAAGCTGCACTTGGCCATTGCTTTGCAAACGGAACCGGCGTTGTGCAGGACGAGATGGAGGCCTTCCGCCTGATGCGTGCCGCTGCCGCCCAAAATGAAGCAAGCGCGCTCTTCAACCTCGGTGTCATGTACCTACGTGGCCGTGCTGGCCTTGCCGTCGATCGAGGTGAAGCCGCGCGCTTGTTCAAGCTGAGCAGCGATCGCGGCAACCCGCATGCACAGTACGCGCTTGGTCGCATGTACAAGGATGGCAAAGGTGTTGACCACAACATGAGCGAGGCACTGCGTCTATTCCAAGCTGCTGCACAGCAAGGAGACGCCTCTGCGCAAGTTTGCTTGGGCCTGATGCATTACCATGGCCAAGGCGTGCCCAAGGACATTGCCGCTGCAGTTCAGCTCTTTCAAGTCGCTGCTGCTTGTGATTCCGATGCGAGCTTGCCCCTCGATGCCAAGACGCTGGAAAATGATGCCGAGGCAGCTTCACAGAGTTCCGGCGAGCAGCATGCTGTTGTGACTGCCCGATTCAATCTCGGCTGGGCTTTCATGAACGGCGAGGGCGGTCTGCCTGTCGACAAGGCAAAGGCCGCGGTGCTCTACCGCTTTGCGGCTGATCGCGGGCTCGCCTCTGCTCAGCAGAATTTGGCTCTGATGCTGCTGCATGGTGATGGTGTCGATCGCGACGAGCAACAAGCAGCCCACTACTTGGCGCTTGCTGCGGAATCTGGCGATGGCGAGGCCCAGTTCAATCTCGCACTCATGTACCTTGATGGCGTGGGCGTGGAGGGCAACGAGAAGGAAGCCGTTCGTCTCTTCCGCCTCGCAGCGGACAAGAACTTGCCAGACGCATTGGTCGGGCTCGCGAGCTTGTACATTGAAGGGCGCGGCGTGGAAAAGGACGAAACCGAGGCTGCTGCCTTGTACAAGCGTGCCGCGCAGCTCGGACATGGCTTTGCGCGCGCCAGCCTCGGTGTTTTGCATCTCCATGGCTGCGGGGTGGCCAAGAATGAGCCTGAAGCTCTGCGCCTCATCCGCGCTGCCGCCGAGTTTGACCATGACGACCACGGCCAATTCACGCTCGGCTGGATGTATGCCAAGGGCGTTGGAGTGGCTCGCGATGAACGCGAGGCAGTCAAGTGGCTCAAGGCGGCTGCCGAGCAAGGCAATGGCGACGCGCAAACACATCTCGGCTGGATGTACGAGAACGGGCTCGGTGTCGCCAAGAACGAGAAGGAAGCTGCGCGGCTCTACGGCCAAGCAGCTGAGCGTGGCAATGCTGATGCACGGTACAACCTCGCCGTCATGTACGAGCGGGGCAGAGGCGTTGTCAAGAACGACAAGGAAGCCATCCGGCTCTACGAGCTTGCCTCCGCGCAAGGGCGCAACAATGCGGCAACAGCGCTTGAGCGGCTGCAAAAGAAGCTGGCGGACGCAAACGGGACGGCTGCAAACCTGGTCACTTCAGGGGTGGCGTCGTCCGGCCTCGACTCTGCCATTGAAACGTGAAAAGGTTGTGCACAGAAATAAAAGCGTGTTGGTTGTATTATTTTTTTTTTATTTATTTATTTTTTTTTTTTTTTTTTTTTTTTTTTACGAGAGGGGAGCGTAGATGTCGTTGGAAATTCTATTGTAGAATTCACAACAGGACCCTATCAAATGTTGAAAGAAGTGTAGAGAGGAGAAGGCGAAAAACAAAAAAAAAAGCAAAAAAAAAAAACGTGCGAACGCCGAGAATCGGACTCGGGTCAAGTCGTTGGCAACGACCTATTCTGCCACTGAACCACGTTCGCATTTCAGTACGGGTGGTCATTGGGCAAATGCGTAGGTCAATCTTAAGGATGGTGTTTGAAAGTGCCGGTAGGTCGCGAAACGAACTGCAACAGCTCAAAAAGTCTGCCATTGTTGTAACGATTGAGTTTGTGTGTTCACCATTGATCCGGAAGGTACGTTGATGCCACTGGTTACCTTTTTTTTCGACTTTTGTCATTTAGAGGGGTAATAGAAGAGGACTCTCAATATGAAGCCGGTTTTGTTAAAAGTAAAGACTTTGCCATGTCCCCTTGACCACTATGTGCGCCATACAGCGCCGCCACAACGCGCTATGTGATCAGTACCATGTATACTGCATGCCTATGGCCACCAGAGTGGGCGGGGATCGCTCTAAAGGAGGGCTGTTTTCTGGCTTTTTCGCTATTTTTTACGTTTTTTTTTATGATTTTTGGCGTTCTTCAAGGCATTGGTTTCATATGCGCAAGCGGGCTACTGCCCGCTCAGCATTGCCGGATTTTCGTCATTGTGCTTTGCAAATCGTGTTCTGCAAAGTAGGTACAATAGAGTGCTTCAAAGAGAATGGAAAAATTCGGTCGCTCGGCGGACGATCCGTCGCGTCGCCGAGCGTTGTTCATTGGAATGCGGGTTTTGAGCCTGGCCGTCTGGGACCCGCCCTCCTTCGTGGTTACAAAACAAGAAGAAGCATATTTAATGTACAAAAAACGCGCGGGCGGCGCGGGTGTGAGATTAGGCGCTCGGTGAACGAGCCCAAAAAGAGCGGGATGAATACGGGGAGAGTTGATCTTTGTGGTCCTTCTTCCTTTGATCGTTCTTGTCCGTCAGCCCTTGATGTTCTCCGTGCCGAGCTTCCATCCTCACATTCTAGACATTTTTCTGCATCAAACACAGGACAAACGCACGCACGCGCGCTCCGCATCTTCGCAAAATGAGCGTTCAAGCGCCAGAACGTCCCGCCACAACCTGATCGCCAATACTAACTGTCACCTTCGTGGTTGATATCAAGTCCAACCCAGCCGATCAGTTGAGTTTCCCCCGCGAACAGGCCGGCTCATGGTCTGTTTTTTGTTTTTTTTGTTTTTTTTTTCAAACCGACGTTTATTTGTTTTGACCAGAACTCACGCCATCATAACAAAGTTCGCTGAGCTGCGCCGCTGTTACTGGCGTATGAAGCTCTAGTCAAACATTTGCAGCCCAGATATGATGTCTGGGATGCTAACACAACATTTTGGTCGTCACAGAGGACGAGAATCATCTTTTGGAGAGTCGAGTCGGGCTCGATTGCGAGTGCGTTGCCCCAGAGCTTATGGAAGCCTGGGCTTGTCTTGAGTTCTTGGTTTTTGCGGCACGTGAAGGTGTCTTGCTTCGCGCGATTGAGGACGAGGCTTCGGAAGTGCGCAATAGCGTGGGCCGAGTGGATGGTTGTGAGGTGGAAGCGGGCGCGGCACCGCAACGTCCAGAGTGACCATCTGGCCAGGTGGAACAAGATGGTGAGACACGAGCGAGAGTGGTCGTGCTTCTTGTCCACAATGAGTAGTTCGTATCGGTGTGTGCGCCAAGGTTCGAGCAGCTTCGTTTTGGGCTTTGTTTTGCTTCTTGTTTTTGTTTTCCCTCTCCTTCATGTTTCAAGTCGGCGTCCGTACTTGTCATCCTCGTCTATGCCATTGTTGTGTTGTTGTGTTTTTCAGTCTTCTTGATGTTAGTCTTTGTTCGTTGGGTTGTTGTGGCGCCGCTTTTGTTTTGTTTTGTTTTTTTTCTTTGTTTGCGTCGCTGCCGCACTTTTCGTGCATTTGGCTCTGCACTCTGTGTTTGAGAGATGATTTGTGAAAGCACAACCAATGAGACTGACTGAAACAACCGCGTTGTTCCGATAGATTGAAAGTCAACATGCTGTCGTATGAAAGTATGAGCGCGAGACAGCGCGAGTTGTACGACAAAGTCAAGAATGCGAATGAACGGTTCTTGTAAGAAAAAGCCGGAAGTATTGGAAAGAAAGTGTGACAACATGTGTACTGATGAAATGGTGGATAGACAGCAGTGCGAGAATATTGACGATGCCGGCGCACAAGCGATTGCTGAGGGACTCAAAGGCAACCCGAACGTGGAGAAACTCTTGTGAGTCATCTCGCTTCGAGTGTGGAGCGTGAGTGGCTTCGGCAGTGGACATTAGAGTGGCTCACTATTGGAGGGGACGGACAGTCTGGGTTGGAATCAAATTGGTGATGCTGGAGCGCGGGCGATTGCCGAGACGCTCAAACTCAATATGACGCTAACTAACCTTTAGTAAGGCATCTCACTCAAAAGAATGGTTTGGAGTGAGGGATCAAGTAGAAGGCATTACGAGTGCTAAGTGGTGAATGGGACGGACAAGTCTGACTGAGAATCAGATTGGTGATGCTGGAGCGCTGGCGATTGCTGAGACACTCAGAGTGAATACGACAGTGACCGACCTTGGGTAAGGCAATTCGCTTCGATTGATGCGTGTGAGTGGGTGATGTCAGCAGAGGACATTTAGAGTGCTCACTGATGGACGGACAGCCTATGGCAGAATCAGATTGGTGATGCTGGGGCACAAGCGATTGCTGAGACACTCAAAGTGAACAAGACGTTGATCAAGATCGAGCAAGGAGTGTCACTTTCACTCAACAGGAGGCATTCAGAGTGCTCATTGATGGAGGGGATGTGAATAGGCTATGGAAGAATCAGATTGGCGATGCTGGAGCACAGGCGATTGCTGAGGCGCTCAAAGTCAACACGACGCTCGCTAACCTCGGGTAAGTCATCTCACTTTGATGTGAGTCAGCAGAGGTGCTCAGAATGCTTACTGATGACTGAACAGTTTGCACAATAATAAGCTTGGCGATGCTGGAGCGACTGCGATTGCTGAGATGCTCAAAGTGAACAAGATGCTGACATCGCTCGGGTAAGGCAACTCACGTTCACTGATTGTAAGACCTTGGTAGGGTTAGCCAGGCAATGTTGTTGTAAAGTGTTTTATGTCACTTTGCAGACTGAACTGCAATTCCAAATGCATGCAAACAAACAATACAAAGACATCAACGCCGAGTCTTCTTAGCAAAGAACGACCCAGTCGGGACCGCAGAGCCTGCGGGTCCTGACACTCTACCCCCTCCCGGTCCTCCCCGCGGAGAAGAGAGTCCTCTTTTTTACATTTCCCTCTTTGCTTCTTTCTTCCTTGCTTTCCTTCCCACTTTCGAATCGTCGTAGTGCCATGTCCGACCAACAAGCCTCCTCGTCCACTCGAGACGAGCATCCCCCCACGCGCGCCCACCCCCAAGGCGGCCTCACGGCCGCTCCAGGCATGGGAGCATGGGGTGGCGGGAACCCGCTCGCCAAGACGGGCGCCGCGCTGCCGGCCAAGTCCGGTCTCGAGATGATCGACGTCAACGACCCCGACTACGCTAAGCTGAACGAAGAGCTCAGCCTGAACGCCTCTCAGATGGGTGACGGCTCGAAGCACACTGTCGTGGTCAGCTGGACCTCGCTTCGCGCCAACAAGATCGATGGCAGAGGCAACGAGATCACCAAGCTCCTGATGGAGCACATCCCTGAGGGCTGCTGCGGCATCAACTTTGGCCCGCATGAGCTGAGCATCGTCTTCAAGCACCCGAACCAAGCGACCGAGGCGTGCCAGAAGGGCATCCAGTTTGGAATGACCACCATCTATCCCAATGCGTGCCTGAGGGAAGTCGTGCTGATGCTCTACAACGTCCCGATGCACCACTCCAACGAAGCCATTGCGGATATGCTCAACACCAAAACTGGACTCAAGTTCGAAAAGTGCCATCGCTCCATTGGCAAAGCGCCAAACGGCTGTCCCTTCGAAACGGGCACAAGGATCTACTACGCTACGTTGACCAGCGACACGAACGTCAAGCAGGTGATTGACAAGGTCCCTGACTCCATTCAAGTCACGTCTGCTAGTGGCTTCCCCCGTGACGTCCAAATCCAAGTGAAAGGACAACCCACCAAGTGCTTCCACTGCAAGCAGCACCACAAGTACGCGACGTGCCCGACCCGCCGCACCCAGTACAACCGACATGAAGCCAACGAAAATGAAACGACCCGCCTG